TGTTTCTTATGCTGAAGCATCAAAATTTCATCCTCCCACTTCTAAACTATATTCAGATGTATTAACATCATCATCTCCGTCCAATAAATCTCATTTTCAATCTTCTTTCCTCAAAGAGAAATCATCATTACCACATATTCAATCATCACATAAAAAAACAGTTACACTTAAACCACGCTCTCCTCAAAAAGCACAACAAGGATATGATCGTTCTGCCCATGAAGCCATAGTTAAGGAATATAATATTCCTGCTCCCTCTAATGGTTGTGCATTATCATCAAATAATATTGACAATAATCAATCCATCTTTGATATTATTCTCATGCTTATTAAAGTGTTATCGCAATCGAAAATGATACAAACAACTTTACCACCGTCCAACGATGCCATTTACAATGTATTTTCTCAATTATTAACTTCTCACAATGGATTACAAAGTCCTAATAATTCAGTGGAACTGTCGTAGCATAACAAACAAGAAATCAGACTTATTTTATTTGATTAATAAATATAATCCTTTTATAATAGCTCTCCAAGAGACTTGGTTAAAGCCAGGATATCCTTTTAGGATTTCAGGCTTTACAAGTCTCCGTGATGATAGAGCTGACGGATATGGCGGTGTTGCCATATTGGTCAAAAACTCCCTTCCTTTTTCTTCTTTTTCGCTTCCTGTATATAGCGGCATTAATGCAGCTGCTATAATTATAAATGGTATCTGTTTTGTTACTTTATATATTCCTGATCCTACATGCCAAATATATTCACAACTAGAACAATTATTTTCAATTTTACCTAAACCTTTTCTCGTAATGGGCGATTTTAATGCTCAACACCAATCGTGGGGCAGTTCTACTTCTAATTTTTATGGTGGAAAACTCCTGACGATAATTGACACTTACAACTTATATATTATTAACTCAGATGTACCAACACGTAGAACTGCACCGAATGAAGGGTTTAGTGCTCCTGACATTTCAATATGTTCTTCTGATTTAGCTTCTTCACTGTCGTGGTATCCTCATTCCTCTACTTTCGGAAGCGATCACTTTCCCCTCATTCTTTCTTTTCCAATTTCCATTCCCTCAAGTCGAAAGAGTGGTCCTCGGCTTAAATATAATTTATCAAATGTAGACTGGAATATTTACAAACAATATTTAGATAATAAAATATCGGAGTTACCTATTGTTTACCATGGAAATGAACATCAATGTTGTAATGACTTGATGATAAATATGAAGGAGGTTGCTGATTTATTATTTCCTGTTAAAAATAGTGCTTCAGGGAAAATTCCCTCGCCACCTTGGTGGGACAAAGATTGTACGGAAGCAATTAAAAATCGTAAAGAGGCTGAAAAAAATTATAATAATTACATGACACCAGAAAATTTTGAAATTTACACCGCAGTTTCACGTTCTACTCGAAAACTACTGAAAAAAAAGAAATTAGAAGGCTGGAGAAGATTTTGTTCTTCTATCTGTCCAGAAGTTAATTCATCAGTCGTTTGGAATAATATTAAAAGATTCAGATCTGCCTTTAGTGATCATACATCACGTTCTGCACTCGATTTAACTTTAGCGAATAAATTTTTAGATCGTCTTGCTCCTAGTTATGTGCCGGAATGCCTTTACAATATTTCTCTATCCGTCTCTGACGAATTATTCGAACTTGACTCTCCTTTTACTCTAGTAGAACTTAAAGGTGTTCTAGCTTCTATTAAAGACTCTGCACCGGGAGAAGACGGTATACCGTATTCCTTTTTTAAAAATGCTAGCGATGCGACATTAATTTACTTTTTAAATATAATTAATTCCATAATTATTTCGGGAAATATACCTACTTCATGGAAGTCTCAGATTATTATACCATTTCTAAAGCCTCATAAACCACCTTCTGAACCATCTTCATACCGTCCTGTTGCACTTTCCTCTGTCTTACTAAAGCTAGCTGAACATTTAGTGAAAAACCGTCTAGAATGGTTTTTAGAAAGTAATAACTTACTATCCCCGAACCAGTTTGGTTTTAGGAAAGGTAAGAGCACCTTAGATAATGTGAGCATTCTTATTTCAGATATTCATATAGCTTTCTCACAAAATTTGTCAATCCTCTCAGCCTTTTTAGATATAAATTCTGCCTATGATAATGTAATAATTTCTATTTTAAAAACTAAATTACAAGCTCTAAATGTACCGGTAATGCTTTCTAATTTCATTATTAATATTTTATCAGAAAGAACAATATATATGAATTTAGATGAAGATACCAAATTATCTAGAACAGTATGGAAAGGCCTTCCACAAGGATCTGTTCTCAGTCCAATCTTATTTAACATATACACATACGATCTAGAATTATTCCTTGATAAATCCGTCAAAATTTTACAATATGCTGATGATCTTTTATTATATTTTATTGCGAAGTCCATAGAATCTGCTTCTGCCAAATTATCTGATTCATTAGATTTGTTAAAAACGTGGTTAGATGCAAATGGTCTTAATCTTTCTGTAACCAAGAGTAGTGTAGTTTTGTTTTCAAGAATGAGATCACCGCAACAAATTAAGGTGCTTTATGATAACTCATACATTCCTATAAAGACTGAAATTAAATTTTTAGGTATCGTGCTAGATAATAAATTAACAGGTCTGTCCCACTGTAATTATATTTCTACGAAATGTGAGCGTAACCTCAACATTCTTAGGTGCCTTGCTGGAGTTTGGTGGGGAGCACATCCCGTTTCACTAAAACTTGCTTATAATGGTCTTATAAGGAGTGTCATTGATTATGGAACTTTTTTGTTAGCTCCAGGAAGTTCATTTGCTTTTAAGAAATTGGATTTAATTCAATCAAAGGCCTTGAGGATTATCTCTGGAGCAATGAAATCAAGTCCAATCAATGCTTTACAGCTCGAAGTCGGTGATCCACCTTTGGTTTTAAGAAGACAATATCTATCTGATCGCTTCTTTTTTCGTTGTTTACAATTATCTGATCATCCGCTTATTCAAAAGTTATCTCAACTACATATCTTTATTTCGTCTTCATCTTATTGGAAACATAAAAAACCTCCATGTTTAATACAAAGTTATGAAAAATATAAATCCATAGAATCTCCCACTTTTACATCGTCCTGTTTTCCCATTTATAAATGCTCATATCAATCTTTAGTTTTATCTCCTAATATTAAATATGATTTTGGGTTATTAAAAAATGATTCAGAATTGAATGCCAAATTTATGTTTATAACTGACATTGAATGGAATGAATGGCACTACATCTTTACTGATGCATCAAAACCAGACAATAGCGGTTGTGTAGGTGTGGGTGTGTTTCATTCACAATTTAATATCGTTCAAAAAATTAAACTTCCACCGGAGTCTTCAGTTTTTACCGGGGAATGTTATGGTATTTTAAAAGCTGTAGAATATATACTTTTAATGAAATTACATAAGGCAATAGTTTTCACTGACTCTATGAGCTCTTTGCAAGCTCTAGCCAAATATCCGTTTAAATCAAAACCAGTTTATCCCATTATTTGTGACATAAGACAAAGTCTTTATCTTTGCATGTTGAGAGGTTATTCCGTTTCTTTTGCCTGGTTACCAGGACACAGTGGTATTAGCGGCAATGACAAAGCTGACCTTATTGCAAGAGAGGCTGTAACTTGTGGTGATATGTATCCGTATCATAATTACTGTAGTGACCTAGCTTGTCTCCCAAAAATATATTTAAGGTATGCCTGGAAGGAATATTGGGAAAAAACAAGTACAATAAAAGGAAGATTTTATCGCCTTATACAACCCGATATTCCTTTCAAACCATGGTTTTGTAAATTAAAGCTTGGAAAGACCGCAACAACTATTATAACTCGTATGCGTCTAGGTCACGTATGCACACCTTCTCATTTATACAAGCTTGGTATTGTACAAAGTTCGTCGTGTAATTGCGGTGCTGAAGTGGCGGACTTGAATCATATATTCTTCTCATGTTCTAAATTTGACCACACCTCCCTTTTTAATCATCTCCGATCCATCCGTGTTCCATTCCCAACTTCTATTCTTACTCTACTTTCTTCCAATGATCCTATTATCTATAAAATACTATCTTCATATATATATGATAACAATATTAAGATTTAGTTATATTACATGAATACATTTATAGTTGCATCAATTGCTTTTCCTATATATTTATAAGTATATTCTCATATGTACAAGTATATGTTTCATATCCTATAAATATCCTAGACCTAATCCTTATCCTTTCTAAATTCGTTTGTGTTAGGTATTTTTATTACTATTATCGTTTCCCCGTTTTGTTCTTGGCAAAATACCCTAATATCGGGGTGAACGCCACAAAAAAAAGAAAAAAAAAAAAAAAAAAAAACATTTAAAATTGTTAAATTATTTTTTTAAATTAACTATTGCATCTTTGCCACAACTCAGTAAGCTAACTAAAATACAAGTATAAACCATAGATTAAAAAGACTATATATATAATAAACACTTCTAAAAATTATTAAATAAGACTTAAAAGTAACGAAATTAATAATAACAATTGACAAAATGTAGGTATAGCGCCATCTATAATATTTTTTAACAACTATCGGCTTACAAAAAGAAGCTATAAGTCTCTAAATAGGTATTGTGTTAGTTCGATCAAAAGAATAATAAAATAACTAAGGTATCTGTTTAATAATAGTTATTCATTAATTAAGTCATTATACTAAATTAATAAAATAAAACAAATTGAAACAGTTTTATTTCAAGCGCTTGCAAATTCGTCGTAGTTCGGAACGCAATAATAAAACCAGATTCACACTGTTAACACAAAATTCTGTGTATGTGTTCTAATGTTATTGCAATATAAAATAATGTACTTAGAATAGTGTCTTAAATTAATACTTTCTTAAGAACAAGATATCTGCATTAAGGTACCATGAATAAATATTTAACTACTAATCTTTTATGTGATTATATGAGAAAATTTTCTAGACACTTCAATGTTAGAACGTCAATGTAAACATGCCCTAAACCACAGAAATTCTTGCGTCTATCTATCTCGCCGTCTACAAACCAAAATTGCCTGCCTATCTATCTATTAAAAGACTAATTTACTTTGTTAATATTAAAATTAAAACCCGTAATATTCGACACATTACATAAATTTACCTATTTAAATTGGCATATATCGGAATTCTGGATATTATTCAAGTTTTGGTGTAAAAATGTTATCTACCAGTGCCTTTTGTCAACAGTGCAAGCTTCAAAAATAAACATATGACATGATTACTTGGACTGGCTGTCTTCATTTGTTTTCATTATGACAAAGCGCCGAAGAATCCTGCACGCCGACAAAATTATACAAAATGTTATATATGTGTTTTGTTTGTTAATGTTTTTACAATTAAAAGGTTAGTTTTCGATCTAAACATTGATGTTTGGAGCTTTTAATTAAAAATATGTCACCTACTGATTCATTAATTTGCTATGTATATCAATCAACATATCTATATTATATTACGATGAAATAATAAAAAATAAATACTAATTATTCCACAGGTTATTATGGACTTAACAATAATTCAATTCTACTTTATTCTACCGAGTCTGATATCAGACTTGTCAATGTACAGAAACTAGGTAGGGCAAATGCAATTATCAAAGATCTAAAACAAGGATCAGCAGTTGACTTTATTCATCATAAGAGCTTAATATGCTGGTCTGATCAAACAGCTGAACTAATACAATGTATGCGTTACAATGAAACCCATCCAGGAGAGAAGGTAAGAACACAAGTGTTTATGATACTAATCCTACTTTAATTTATTTATTTAAATTTTATTGACCTGTAAAGTGTGGTACAAAAGGTGGACTTAATGCTATAGGTATTCACTATCACTCAACATTATTACACATTATAACAGTATTACAAAATGTAAAAATATATGTAAAGGTTTCAATATTTTCATATTTATTACATAATTTGTAAGAAACATTTTATCTTAATCTAACTACATCACATAAACAAAACTTAACTACTACTAACAACTGTGCCTATATAAATCAGGATAAAAAGTTATCTATATGTTAATCTTGAATATAGTCTATATGTGGTCTATTCACCAAAAAAAAGTGCTTTGAGTACTAGTTTAACTATCTGTTTGTCGTATTATATAGGAAGTTTATAGACATGAGCAGTACCATGGACATAACAGAGTATCAGAGTATACTGTTTCGCCAATGATACCCCCCATGCGTTGCCATTCCTGAGGACTCAGGTGTTATTCCCCTGTACCCAGTAAATTCACACCATATCCCACCCTTCAAACCGAAACACAACTGCTTCACGGTTGAAACACGAATGGGACAGAGATACCCAAGCAATCGACTTTTGTACAAAGTCTCCCTCTGGTCACTTGAGAATGACTGGGTTAATTTGGTAATTCTGTTTCTTAAAATATTCATATCAGTTTGATTTTGGTTTTGAGGTAAAGAAAACAATTGAGATTTGGCTAGGGTAATTCCAGTTATGTTATCTAATATGTAGTAAAATAAAATTAACTGAACCAATTGTAATTATTTGTATTAAAGCCTTTTTAAAAAATCCTTATATTTTCCACAGTGGCGTAACTATACCATTTGGAGCCTGTGGCAAATTCTTTTGATGGGGCCCTATCAGTAAAAAAAAAGTATTTTTTAAGTAAAATGAAATACTCAGGCACAATGTAAAAAAAATATATTTCTGAGCTTGTAGCCTCTTGAGCCGGGGCCCTTTTGGGTTGGAGGCCCGTGGCATTTTGCCAGCCCTGCCACCCTATTATTACGCCAACGATTTTCCATATTCTTTTGTAAAAACTTGATGGTATCCTTTTATAGTATGAAAAAAAATCTTAAAATAATAATCATTGTTGTTCACAGGTGAAAATAGTATCAGAAGGTCTGATAACACCAACTGGTATTGCAATAGATTGGTATACTGACAAAATATACTGGACTGATGGAGAGACAAATAGAATAGAAGTTATAAGTATAGAGCATAAATACAGAAAGGTCCTATTCTGGTCTGAGGTTGATCTGGCCAGGGCTATTGCTGTAGTTCCTAAAGAAGGGTATGTTTAATAATTACATAATATGTTTTTAGTATTCATAGACAAATGGCAATTGAATCTATCAAATTGCAATTACATACATGAGATAGAGACAGCAGCAATGGACATCTTGTTCTTACCCTTGCATTCTTTACGCTTTTTTTTATTCAGAATAACATTATATCAGCCTTTTCCTGTTCACTGCTGAACATAAGCCTCCCCCAAAAAAAAGGGTTTTGCCAATAGTTGCCACACCTGACAGACGGGTTGGCGACTGTTAGGCTTTGGTGATATTTTAAGAGAGATGTTACCACTCATCGCTCTACCTTTAAATTCCCTCAGTATCCTCTTAAAACACCATGGGAAAGGAAGGGGTGGCCCATTCTATGCCGAGACCACATGGCAATTTAGAATATAAATTCAATCAATTCTCACTTGTTTAGGGGATTGCATTATTAGAATATAAGTTTTTTGTAGAAGACTAAAGATACAATAAACCTTGTAACTCCCAATGACTAATATATGATGTCTTTTATATTACTGTTAATATTTGTAACCAATTATAATAATATTTTAATTTATAATGTCATTGATTATAGTAAATATAATTTAAATAATTTAACACTAAAACTTTAAAAAAAATATTTTTGAAACAATGATTGCAATATATTTGGTTTTTGTCCCTTTAACATTAAATTTTATTTCATTAATGAAATGTAATATTTACTTGTTTACAGTTTATTGTTTTGGACTGATTGGGGTGAAGTGCCCAAGATTGAAAGGGCTGGCATGAATGGGGATCCATCTAGCCGTAGAGTTATTGTGAAAGACAATATTTTCTGGCCAAATGGCATAACAATTGATTACGACAAAAATTTAATCTACTGGGTGGACGCGAAACTTCATTTTGTTGACGTCGTAGATTTTAATGGTGAAAATAGAAGAAAAGTTGTGAATGGTGGATTGGAATACCCATATGCGTTGACTATTTTCAATGATAAACTGTATTGGACAGACTGGAAAACCTGGCAAGTATTTTTCTTCAGTCTCAAGATATTTGTTTGAATAAAATTCTTTTTTTTTTCTTTATTTCGTCCTCTGTGTATGTTTGCTTATTAGTATAACGTATTTTTAACCGACTTTAAAAAGAAAGAAGTTCTCAATTTGGTTACTTTAGATTGATTTGAAAATTCTTTTTTTATCTGAAAGGATATTCTTACAGATTGCTTCCATAAAAATTTTATCAAAATCAGTTCAATAGTTTAATTTTTAGATCAAAATTTTTAATAATTTGTCACAATTGAAGTCTGGTTTGCATTTTGTGGGTCCCGATCTCTTAATTAACTATATAAAGACACCTTATTAAATGTTTTTGTCAGTCATATTAATTTCTTTATAGCTTATTAATCCATGTGAATATCTTCATAATAAACTAAGTCTGAGTCCTCAGGAATGGCAACGCATGGGGGGTATCATGGGCGAAACAGTATACTCTGTTATGTCCATGGTACTGCTCATGTCTATAGGCGATGGTTACCACTTTCCATCAGGTGGACTGTCAGCTTGTTTGCCATTCTAAGTTGTATAAAAAAAAATCTTTGCTAGAAACTTATTAAAACATACAATCTTTAAAGTTAAAAAAAAAAACAATAAAAATAATAATATAAATATTATTTCTAATAAATACCCACTTAATCTGATAAAATGCTTGAAATTTTTTTTTTAATATCCATATATTTCCTGTTAGGTCAATTCACACATGGGACATTTCAACAAATGGCCCCATAAAAGATTTGATAAAGTCTAACCCTGTCCCAGTCGATATCAAAGCATATGATGGCAGCAGACAGCTGATGCCGGCTGTACCACACCCGTGCAATGTCAACAATGGCGGATGCTCACACCTGTGCCTTCTATCACCAAACCCTCCTGGTAAGTCACAAATTAATATCTTATCTAGCTATTCTTATCAGGCGGGCCGTATGCTTATAAACAAGCATACGGCACACCTGATGGTAAACGGTTACCATAGTCTTATAGCCTATGGTAACCGTCTAATACCAAGATAATACGCCTCTAATACCAAGATGCTCTTGGCGCGCGCGTTACCGAGCCTAAAGAAATCTCTATCCATTTTTCGAAGAGCCCCATGCGAGTAGTCTCATAGAAAAACCTCGACAGGGAACTCATTTCATAACCTGAGCATTCGTGGAACTGGAAACATCTCTAAAACCGCGATGTACGCAACCATCTAGGCTCTAGGCACAGAGGTGAACTCCCTGTCGATGTGTGTCTCATAATAGTACTCATAGTAGAAGCTTATTTTAGTTTGAGACTAAATGGTGCTGTGTAGTAGTATCATCATCATCATCATCATACCAGCCTTTAACTGTTCACTGCTGAACATAAGCCTTCCCCTTAAACGGTTTTGCCAGTAGTTGCCATGCTTGGCAGGCGGATTGGCAAACGCAGTTAGGCTTTGGAGATGTTTTAACAAGAACGCTGCTGCCCATCCCTCACCCTCCCTTAGTCGCCTCCTACGATACCAATACGAAGGGAGTGGCCTATTCTATGCCAGAACCACACGGCTGTGTAATAATATTTATTAGTTTCTTTTTTTTTTTTTGTCTACAGGCTACGAATGTGCGTGCCCAACAGGTGTAAAATTAAAAGAGAACAGTAATACCACTTGTTACAATAAACCACAAACGCTGCTACTGATTGCACAGAGCTGGACTATCTCCAAGATATCCCTGGATTCACTAGATTTCACGCCATACTCTCTGTCGTTGAAGGATCTAAAGAAAACCCAGACTGTTGACTTTGATCCGAAAACTGAATATATTTATTGGGCTGATAGCATGGTAAGTAATGTAATAAAATACTTGTTTTTACCTAAAACTTTGTTCGCATGACTGGGATGAAAAGTAGCTTATCTTCGTTTCCACCTTAAAAACCATGTATGTCTTTAGTGACAATTGGTTGAGCTGTTAAAATGCTAAAAACTTATAATTACTTTTAAATTTATAATAATACCTAATGTAGATATTTTTTTTTAATTTATTGTCTGAACTTAACATGATGTAAGAATATTTATATTTATGTATATAGAAATATATGCACTCTGTACTTATTTCAAAAATTTTAATTTTTTCTTATTTTAAACTTTGCTAAAAAAAAAGCAAGGGCCAAACAAGAGATTTATCCGGGCAAATCCCTAAAACACGAAATATAATTCACTGCTAGGATCAAAGTTCTCTTGAATATTATTTAACATGGTTATGTATTGTAGAAAACAGCAAATATATTATTGCCCGGAGCAGCAAATTAACTATAAATTAAAAATGAAATTACTAAATTCCTTAATGGGTAGTTCTATACTCTAGATTAGTGAATGAGTTGTCTCTGCCTGTTAATTACAATATACTGTCTGTAAGGTTTTTTTGAGATTGTCCATGTTTTTTATGTGTACTACAATATTTAAATGTTAGGACACTTGATACGACACGACGAACTTATGAACATTATAATAGAAGATAAGATAGAAGGAAGAAGGTGGAGAGGGAGACCGAGACATAGTTACATCAGGCAGATCAAGGAAGGAGTTGGTGTCGTGTCGTATGAAGAGGTGAAGAGACTCGCTGAAAATCGTAGTGAGTGGCAAGAGCTCCACCGACAAGAGCGCAGCTCTTAAATGGATAGATAGATACAATATTTAATACGATTTATATGTTTACCTCCAATAAATGTATATTCCCACAATAAAAAAACGTTTTAATTTTTCAGACAAAAACAATATCTCGTGCACGTTTGGACGGCAGTGAACAATCAGTTGTGATACACAACAGCGGTGTGGTAGACAACATTGCTATAGACCCATTAGCTCGGAATATATACTGGACGGATCCTATTGCTGACACCATCACTGTGGCTAGACTTGATGGTAGTGCTAGAAAGGTAAGCCAAAACAGATTATTATAACTGTAAATTGATTTACTTGTATGTAAGCAAATGTGAATTAATCTCTGAAAGAGAACTCTTCCAGACTAACACAATGGCCATAGGAAGTAGTGAGTGGGCAGCAGTAGTGCAAAACTGAAATCTAAACAAGAATAATAAATATTTATATAATTTTTATCAAAATAGCTTCAGTTTTTAAATCGAAATCACTGGTTTTGCGACAATTGAAATTGTCTTTTTTTTTTCTAGAACAAGGTCTTAAATAAAAAAATTACTGTAACAAGAAAGCATATCTATGTTGAGTCTATATTTTATGTTATAATGGATCAGGCATAAAATTAGAAAATCTTTATAAATATAGGATAAAATTGAAACGCGTTCTTTGTACGAAAGTATTCAGCTAGTGAAATCGAGTACTTTTGCTAAAGATTTTGATCAGCTCGTACTGGCATGATGCGTTCAGCTGTTTAGCTAGAATGAAAGGATTAAAATATTTTGTCGGTTTTAAATATTGATTAATGAAATTTCTGTCCTAACATATTTTATGGCATTATATTCTTAACATACCACTTTCGATTTAAATAGAATATATTTTTTTTTTCTATTAATTTTCTGCTTACTTATAATAAATCTTTAGGTGTTGATCCACGAAGAGCTCTACGATCCTCGTGCCATAGCCCTCTACCCGACAGCTGGCTGGATGTTCTGGTCCGATTGGAATGAAAAGAAACCCAAAATTGAGCGTGCTAACTTAGATGGCAGCGAGAGAATGTTGATAATCTCCGAGAAACTCACCTGGCCCAATGGTATCGCTTTAGATACAGTCAATAATAAACTCTATTGGGGTGATGGCAGAACGCACAAAATTGAGGTTCGTATTCTTTTAATCTCATTACCAAAGTAATATTCTTCTCTAAACCCTTTTATAAGCTTTCCGTGCATTTAAAAATTCTTAAAATTTTTATTACAAATTCTACATTCTGACAAAAATACAACTCATATGAAATAACGTCTTCTTTAAACCAAAAAATGTTGATTTTTATTTAATAAATAGAAATAAATTTTTTAAATTAAATTCTCATTTATTATTACTATGATATAACTGAAAATTGGCGATATATGTAAATATATATGACCTGTAACTTTGTAGCCGTATGTAGTGAAAGGGGTCGACGGCGCTAATCTGAAAAATACCCGAAGTTGCAAATGAGTGCCCTGTAAATAACCATCTGTGTAAAGTCGGGGCAGATCGCCAGTATATAATAATTTCATTAAAATAGGCATGCAAATGAACGCTCGTAAGATAGTTTCTATGTGAACACTACTGCTAACAGGTGTCAAATATGGACGGCTCGGATCGCCGTGAGGTGCACAGCAGTGACATCCTCCACATCTTCGGGCTAACGCTTCTCGGCGACCGGCTCTACTGGACAGACATACAGAGACGTACTCTGTACAGAGTTAACAAAAATACAGGTACGTAATATTTTTCAAATCATCAAATTAAAATCATCTTTACTCAACTAGACTTGTTTACAAGCACTTTTAAATCGTAATTTTTTTGTTTTATTTACTGCAAGGTACGGAATGTTGTTATCTGCTGAGAAGATAAACTCAACAGTAATTCTTTTAAATCTCTTGGGTAATTTCTACTTACACGACAAAACAACGTAACTTATCTGTGTAATTTTTTGTCGCTAAAATTCATCTGTGGCAAAAGCCAGTCATAAATAAATGAAAAATAGTATTTATAATCCTTAGATTATATAGATAGAGCATCAAGTCTCAAAAACGGGTCAACTTTTTGTCAGCTAATTGTCAAATTAGCTGACTCGTTTTATTATCAGTGTCTATATACTTACGCATACAGTGTAACTTGACGTATTATTTAACAAATAAAATAAGTTACATATTAAAATTGTGCAGAAATTATTAGACAAAATAAATATAGAAGTTATAAAGGAATTACTCATAACTATTTATCACGCAAAATTGTATGAAAAAGTTGACCCGCTTTTCTCGAAGCATTTGTATGAAGAGACTCTATCTATATAATCTAAGGTGTAATCATGTTTATTTCTTATATAGGCCTAGAGAGACAGACAGTGGTGGATCAAATGGCGAACATGATGGGCGTGAAAGCGTTCAAGATGGGCGACCCGCTCGGCTGGAACCCGTGCGCGGACGACAACGGCGGCTGCTCACATTTGTGCTTCAATAGGCCCACCGACTACGTGTGCAGTTGCCCTTTAGGTTTGTATCATATTTATGAACGTTACCTTATAAATGTGTGAGTTTCTTTGTATATTTATATGGACAAGAATGAAATATACATATATTTATTTACAGTATATTTTTAACTATCCTTCACAACAACTTGTACTTAATTTTATTTTTATTTCGCTTGCGCACAACTCGTTTTTCATCAATCTTACGTCGTTCATCGTGTGTCCCCTCTCTCTTTCGCTCCGTACCTTTCATTCACTCTTCGTCCAGTTCCATTTCATGCATCTTTCTATCATTCAATTCCCACATTTATCTAAACTAATATTATAAAGATGAAAGTATTTTTTATTTGTTGTGGATAAACTCAAAAAATACAATGCCGATTTTAGAAATTCTTTCACTTGTAGAAAGCTACATTATCTGCAAATAACATTAGCTATATAATAAAAGACATTTTTTTTTTCAGGCTTAGAGTTGGACAATGACAGGAAAACGTGTATAGAGCCAGAAGCTTTCTTAGTATATAGCCGAAAAAATATAATCGGCCATATTGGAATTGAACATGCGAATAACGATGCCATATTACCTATTAAAGAGTTAAAAGAAGTTAGGTAAGTGAACTACAACACAAACTATTTCGAACAAAATTATAAGCAACAAAATTTTGAATACTACTTTTTATAAAATATGGTTTTTAACGTGATGAAAATGGAATAATATAGTGAGAGATGATATACGATGATCAGTTGGCCCATTATAATGAATTCACCAACAATTTACCATATTTTACAGAGAAACTAGCTGAAAATCAACCAGACAGAGTATATAACTAGCAAGGGGGCCTCTAAATCTCATTACTAACAAATCCGCACCTGTCTTATGTCTTTCAGTTAGTCCACCAAATTATAGCCACTTTTATCAGTTACTATAGTGCTACATCTTACGATTTTATAAGATAACAAAATACATACTATATGAAAAGGCTTTATTTTCCTTCCCTCTTTAAGCACGGTACTCGCAAAGCGTTTCTGTACAATTGCATACATTTTTTTTCTCGTATTATATCGTAATAGTGAAATCGTAAGCTATTGTAATATTTTTAATAGTGAAAATACAATGGTAATCTCATCTACGCTATTACGACATAGCATATACCATACCATAGGATACCAAAGAATGATAATCGGTAAGCATAAAGATGGATCAGTCAACCCTTACCCAGCCCATTCCTGGGCATTTAACCGCGGCTATTTCCATTGGCGACCATGTGGAGGTCGACCTAAAAGAGTATAGTGTTAGCAATAGGGACTACTGCGGAGAAAGGGATTGTTAGTAATGAAGATTGAGAATCCCATTGCTAGCAATATACCCAACCATGTCGACCTCCTCATGGTTCTCCCTGGAAACTATCATGGTTAATTCCTGACGAATTCATCATGATGGGCTAACCGGCCTGTTTTCATTCTTATCTATCACCCTTCACTGGTACTCTGCTAGCGGATCCCTTTAACGCAGGCGGGGTTACCATACCATTTTCACCCATCAAAAAAATAGGGACAACTAACTTCCTCCTTACTAACATTTCCTTTCTGCTTTTATGGTCAATCAATTATAAAGGCACACCATGACACCTGACTCTTTTACTATTACAGTGCGTTAGCAGTCCACATATCTGAAGCGAAGGTGTATTGGTCAGATAGCAAGACGAAAACAATCAATCGATGCTCTATAAATGGTACCAATGTGGAGAAGATACTTGAGTGGACCGGACTGGTTGAAGGTGAGTTTAATTAAATATTTACATTTTAAAAAAAACTCAATCCTTATTTATTTACTTCGTAAACTGTCATAAGCAGAGCTAGTTATGTTGAAATCAGCCATATTTAAAAATTTTTTTTTTTTTTTGATACAACTTATAATGGCAATCAAGCTGACGGCCCACCTGATGGAAAGTGGTAACCGTCGCCTATAGACATGAGCAGTACCATGGACATAACAGAGTATACTGTTTCGCCCATGATACCCCGTATCCGTTGCCATTCCTGAGGACTCGGGTGTTATTCCTCTGTACCCAGTAAATTCACGCCATATCCCACCCTTCAAACCGAAACACAGCCATGCAAACACAACTGCTTCACGGTTGAAACACGAATGGGACAGAGGTACCCAAGCAATCGACTTTTGTGCAAAGTTTCCCTCTGGTATAAATAGGACACATGTATTATTATGGCTGTTCTGAATATATATCCTATTTCAAACTGTCATCATATCATTATTACAAATATATTAGATCTTTTCATTGCAAAATTAAATTATGTTCCAAAAAAACCGACTTCAGTTGTGGCAAAATCGATTTTGATAAAACTTTTATGGAATCAATCTGTAAGGATATATTTCCAGATAGAAAAAAAAAATTCCTAATCAGTTTACATTGGACGACATGTGGTAACAAACATAAAAAAGCATACAACTGAATTGTGAACCTTCTTCTTTTTTTTAAATCAATTAAAAACAATATAAATAATATGTAACTGTTACTTTATTAATGTAGAATTAGTCAATATTTTTAACCCATTGTTAAAAATGTTTTTGGCCATTAATTCAGACTTGGCGTTCCATTGTTTCTGCCTACCGTAATGGGAGACAGGCGTGACAGATTTTTTTTTTCATTTATTTGGGAAAACTAACAGTTACAAAATAAAGAATAATACATAATATTAATCGAAGAAAACATTGAGTAAATTTGCCACCAACACCATTTACCACAGTTTAAATTCAAATATACTCGTAATACAAATAGCTGAAGCAAACAAGAACAGTTAAAAATTACATGAATCTTTTAGAGATAATATGTATGTATGTAATTCAGACTTATGTGCAGACTATCTAATAATATATATTATAACCTTTAACTATTACTCAATATGTTGTATTAAGTTAAAATAAATTTCAACGTCAATTAATAAACACTTTGTAATTTAAAAAATATTGACAAAACTGAACGCAATATTTCCCAGGTCTCGCAATAGACTGGTCAGGGCACAACATCTACTGGACCGACACGACATTGCAACGCATAGAAGTAGCCAGGCTGGATGGCTCCAGCAGACGCACGCTCATCTGGCAAGGGCTGAAGAAACCAAAAAGTATTGCATTGGATCCTAAGAGAGGGTGAGCAAAAAATACTAGTATACAGGGATAGGCTACTTTTATAATTAGTTCATTTAAAAGATACATATAGGATATAACCTACCAGTGTACCAATTTACATTGAATTCCATTCTGTAGTTTATGTATGAAAGAGTAATAACATCCATCCATCATTGCAAACTTTCGCATTTATTTATTTAACTCTTTATTGCACCATAAATAAAAATATACAATGACAAGTGAATAATTCAAGTGAAATACAGTAACATAAATACAAATTGAAATATACACATAAAGGTATAAATGGCGGTCTTATCGCTAGGGCAATCTCTTACAGACAACCTTTGGTTAAAGGAGAACAGATAAAAATTATCATATTTATAGAATTTATTTATTTATAGCAAGGCAACAGATTACAAATCAATACATTAATAAAATAAATATTACATAAAACAGCATTAAATTTTCACTCCAATAACTGCTTTGCATAACATTCGATATTATATACATTAAAAGAATGAGGACTATAGATTTAAAGTAACAAATTGGCAGCCTTAATGTAACATTGCAAGGATTGTTGAAAAATATCAAAGTCCTTACATACATTGTTGTATTTTTTGCAAATGCGGATAATTGGATTGTAATATGATACATTATTATTACAAATCTGTATATAAAATAATTTTTGTATTCTTTTATTATCTGTAAGAAATGAAACAAGGCTCAACAATGTGCTACTATCCCATTTATAGTTTATTACTTTATAGAGAATGACTCATAAGCTGTAAGTAAATAAGTGAATTGTAAGCTAGAAATCATATTCTAACTATTATTAAAAAAAAAAAATCTCACAGATTTTTTTTTAATTAATTAATGTTCTGTTACTTTCTTTTAAACTAAAAATTATGCTCATAAGTAAAAGACAAAGAGCTTCAATTGTTGACATAGGTTTATTAGACGTTTGACATTTAATTTAAACCAACTATCCAAACCTAGTCTAAAAATTAGGGGGGAAAGGGATTGTTAGTAATGGAGATGAGAATCCTATTGCTAGCAATATACCCAACCAGGTCGACCTCCTCGCGGTTCTCCCTGGAAACTATCATGGTTAATTCCTGATGAATACATCATGATGGGCTAACTGGCCTGTCTTCATTCTCATCTATCACCCTTCACTGGTGCTCCGCCAGCATATCCCGTCAGCGCAGGCGAGGTTACCATACCATTTTCACCCGTCAAAAAAAAAACCTAGTCTAATTGAATTTATATAAATTCTAATTATATAAAGTCTAGTTTTAAATTAATAAATTCGATTATCATATTCCTCCTAGATATATGTACTGGTCAGAACTGGGCTCCAAATGTATAAAGCGCGCGACCATGGACGGCTCGTCTCCCACCGTGATAGTGGAGCAAGTTGGTCGGGTACACGCGCTAGCTATCGACCTCGAGCGCCGCGCCCTCTACTGGGCCGCGCTCGACCCGCCCGCGTTGCAGTGCATCTACCTCAATGGCACCGGCAGGACTACTCTAGCCGATAACGTGTCCATGCCGTACGCGCTTACTCTATACGGCGATAGAGTGTTTTGGGGTGATTGGAATACTGGTAAGTTTATATTTTTTGTTGCTTTTTTTTTTATACAACTTAGAATAACGAACAAGCTGACAGCCCACCTGATGGAAAGTGGTAACCGTCGCCTATAGACATGAGTAGTACCATGGACATAACAGAGTATACTCTGTTATGTCCATGATACTACACATGTTTCCCCCATGATATCCCCCTTGCGTTGCCATTCGTGGGGACACAGGTATTATTCCTCTGTACCCTGTAAATTCACGCCATATCCCACCCTTCAAACCTTATTAACATAACCATTACAATTTGAATATTAATGAATTTAAATGCCAAGTTCTAACAAAACATGTATTTAGTGTTTAATAAAATGTTTGTTCAAAAACCCAATTAACTATGTTATAACTTAAATATATCTAAAAAAAAATCGAAATGCTTTTTTCGACTATCATAATTACTGTATTTGCGATAAAACTTGCTTAAGCTTGGTAGGGAGGAGTGAGATGTTTTTGTTCAAGTAAACTTAGATTTAAGCATTTTTGAATAGTAGTTTTTCACTTTTACTTACTTATAACGTTGTACATTGCCTGCCTAATTGTTTCGAGCATATTATTGGTTTGTCTTTTATAAATAAATAAATGAAACATTATCTCTTTCCCAATCGCAGGCAAACATAACCATAAAACTTCATTTTCCTCGCTATATTTCAAGGACTCATAGAATCAGCAAAAAAGACGGACGGCAGCGATCGCCGCAGCCTATACAAGCAGCTGGATTACATTTCCGACCTGAAGATGTTCGGTCGTCGCGACGGCGGCGGCGGCAACCAGTGCGGTGTCGACAACGGCGGCTGCTCCCACCTTTGCCTACCGCTACCCACCGATTACCGCTGCGGTTGTCCCGCGCACTACCGCCTCAATAGAGACAATCTTACCTGCTCCGGTACGTACTTCTTGTAGACTAAAACTAAAACCTAAAGCACGACATATTCTTATTCCATGAAATTTTTTTCATTTGCAAAGTTACTAGCTTCTTCCCCCCCCCCCCTCATATGCACAAATTCCAGAAGTAGGAAAACAAATACTTTACACCATTTTTAAGTAGGTTCTCAAGATATACACCAGATTTAAGACCTTTAGACAGACAAACTGACAAAATTTCTCAAAAATATTATATTGGTTTTTATCGCCCCTATTAAGACCTATTTTTTTTATGGATGATAATGAAATAGTTACCCCACCCGCGCTATCGGTATACACCGGCGGGGCACCAATGAAGGATGATAGATGAAGATGAAACAGGTCAGTTAGCCCATCCTGACAAATTCAACTAGAATTAGCTTATTAATTAGATGTTTTCCAAGGGGAACCACGTGGAGGTCGACTTGACAAGGTATATTGCTAATAATGGGGCTGTTTGACCCCATTACTAACAATCCCTTTCCCCCCTGTTAAGACCTATTATCTCTTATATACAAACATCTAGTTGCAATTTTATTATTTTAGTATTTATTTTTATTTATTTTATTTATAATAATAATATTTATCTATTCAATTTATTTGCAGAACCCGAAGAATTCCTATTATTCGCTCAAAAGAACGCTATAGGAAGGATATTGGTTGCAAATGGCGAATGCGCTGACGCATTTATCCCACTCACTGGACTGAAGAATGTCAAAGCCATAGAATATGATCCTATCAGCAAGTGAGTACTTATTACGTTTTACATGTAATATCTAAGTAATTTTGTAAAAATTCACCTCTATTACAGGAACAGAGGTTAAGTTTTCTCTGTTCCAGGTTTTTAGTTGTTTTCTAGGTAGTCTATCTTGGTCTATGATAGATAACAAAGTTTTTGATCTTGATCTAAAAATCAAACACTTTAATAAAAAAAATATATGGTCAAATAAATTTCTTTATTACAACCGAGACAGTTGCAACGATTCTTTTGGCTATAAAATAAAAATTGTAATTATTTAAATAAACTTGACCACAAGTATTTTTGTCTCTTTTTATATATAACTATCTTTTCCCCCCGACATTGCCCGCACAACCGGGGTATGTTTACTGACCTGGATAAAAAATAAACCTTAATATATAAACGGCTTAACCCTTAAAGAGTTAAGCCGTTAAGGCGCTATAAGATAACAAACTCATGCCCACATTTATAATGTTTAAACGGATAATTAGAAAAGCACTTGTGACACTGGAATAGTACATTTTTTTAATAATATCAATATCTATGTATAATATTTTATCACTAAATTCTAAATGATCTTCATCATCTGTCATCATCATCATCTCAGCCATTACCTGTCCATTGCTGAACATAGACCTATCTATCTATAGTTTATTTAAATTGATAATTGCTTTTCCAGACATCTTTTCTGGATGGAAGAGGACGTCCACACTATACGTCGAGTACCAATATCATATTCGAGCACATCTGCCATCAGCGACGCGTCAGTGGTGGTCGCGAGCATCTCGAGACCGTTCCACATGGTTCTGGACGTCCTCGGCCGCACATTGTATTGGACGTGCATAGACGCGGATTCAATCAACGCCACATCTATTACTAACAATTCGTCTGTAGGCGTCGTACTGAGAGGAGAGGGTACGATGCCCAGACATTTGGCTTTCCATCAAACTAAAAGGTAATTGTCGTCTGTATTTATATTTCTATATTTTTTTTTAAGGTCTGCACAGATGTACACAAGAGAAAGCCCAATAGATGAGAAGGGTTCTCTTAACTCAGATAGTTTTCCACTATAGTACTTTTGGTTCTTCTTACCATATCTAGCCAGCTCAAGCCATACAGCATTCAGTACTATCTAGCAAGCCATACAATATACAGTATCATAAACTTTATTACGATTTATAAAAAGTTTCTTTTTGTCTATGCGAAGACCATTTTCCATAAGATGATACGTCACCTTATCATTTAGAAAAACTAACAAATTTCCACTAAAAGCAAAGACTGTACAGGCCATTTTGTGGTCACGTGACCTATATGGGTCCAATTTTTAATTTTGTAACAAATCTCCTTTACACTGTTCTCCAGATATCTAGTGTGGAACGACGTGGGCTTAAGCGCCATAATGCGGTCGAACGTAGACGGCACTGCCCGCACGTGGCTGGCGGCCGCTGCCAACGCGACCGCGCTCGCGCTTGACCAACCCTCCTCCACTGTCTACTGGGCCGTCAACCGGCAGATCTACGCCGTCGACCTCGACTCCGACAACAACAAAACGTGAGTTACATATATATTTCTTTATTAATGCAACCAAGTAATTTCACATAACTGAATATAGTAATCAAGGTTTGAAAACGAAGCTCTTTGACCAGAGTGTGTTGCCAGTGATAATTTATGGAATCGAAACATGGTCCTATACGATTGCCCGTGTGCAAAAGCTTTTATTCAGCAGGTAATGGAGAAGGCTATGCTCGAAGTTTCTTTACGTAATAGGATCCGAAACCAGGATATCCGCAAAAGAACCAAAATAACCGACAGCTCGAAAGATAAGCAAGCTGAAGTGGCAATGGGCTGATCGCATAGACCGATAACCAATGGGGAAGAAAGGTTCTTAAGTGGCGACTTCATAGGGGCAAACACAGTGAAGGACGACATTTATTTTGTTATATTTTACACTTTATTGCACCATTTATAAAATAGTAAATACTTTTAATTGTAATGAGAAATGAAATTATACATTATCATTGAGTTACATAGGATATGTAACTCGATGTATTATTATTATACGAGGTTTGTCCGGAAAGTACGTATAAAAGTTTTTTAAAAATTTTATTTTACAATTATTCAGGTAAATCAATTTTATCCCCTTCAAAGTACTCCCCCTGTGACATAATGCACTTGTGCCAACGCCGTTTCCACTGTGAGAAGGCTCCTTGAAAGTCCTCTGGTTGTAGGTTTCTCAGCTGCCCCGTCGTAGCTTTTTTTATCTCATTTATGTCCCCCAAATGCCGCCCCCGAAGTACCAATTTGGTTTTTGGGAACAAGAAGAAGTCACACGGGGCCAAATCCGGCGAATAGGGGGGTGTTCGGTCACCGTAATGGAATTTTTACTCAAAAACTCACGGACAACAAGAGAGGTGTGGGCAGGGGCATTGTCGTGGTGAAGAATCCAACGCCCCTCTCGCGCCAATTCTGGACGAACTCGTGCCACACGAGCTTTGAGGCGTCTGAGCACATCGACGTAGAATTTCGTAGAACACAAGTTCGAATTCTTTCCACGTTTTCGTCGGAATGTGAAGTGGAAGGACGTCCTGAACGTGGGTCATCTTGAACGCTTTCTCGGCCCTCTCTGAATCTTTTTAGCCACTTGTGGACGGTTGGTTCCTTCACAGCATCATCCCCATAAACTGTTCTGAGATCGGCAAAAATTTCACGACCATTCTTGCCGAGTTTCGAGAGAAACTTGATTACGACGCGCTGCTCTTCAACGGAAGCGGGCTCCATGCCGACGGGGTTTCGTTAAGAGGTAACTTCACAGATGGCGTGACAAGCCAGTTCGCACCGCACGGCGGTCAGACCAGAACTGAAGCATTGTTAGGGACATAAGGAAGGGGTCCTGCGCTTACCTGGCCTCCCCACTCCTCTTTCTCGCATTCCAGAACACTTTTATACGAACTTTCCGGACAGACCTCGTATGTATTGTTTTCAAAAATTCTGGCTAGCTATACAGAACCGGGCGGGATCACTAGTAAAAATATTAATTTTTCATGCGTGTTAACGAACAATGTTTAATCAAGGCTCTTATAAGACAGGCGTTTTTTGGGTGAAAATGGCATGATAACCCCGCCTACGCTATCCGTATACACTGGCGGGGTACCAGTGAGAGATGACAGTTGAGAATGAAAGCAGGTCAGTTAGCCCATCCTGACAAATTTAACTAGAATTAACCACGATGGTTTCCAGTAGGAACCGCGTGGAGGTTGATCTAATAGCTATGGGGACTAACCTCCCCATTACTAACAATTCCTTCCCCCTAACAGGTGTATAGTTTATTTTTAACGGATAGTAATGGTTAGTAACCTCGCCTGCGCTATCGGTATACACAGACGAGGCACCAGTGAGAGATGACAGTTGAGAATGAAAGCAGGTCAGTTAGCCCATCCTGACAAATTTAACTAGAATTAACCACGATGGTTTCCAGGGGGAACCGCGTGGAGGTCGACCTGACAGGGTGTATTGCTAGTAATTATTATCGAGGTTATTTGACCCCATTATCAATAACCCCTTCCCTCCCACAGGCGTATAGTGTGGCAAGGCGGATGGGTGGGCGGGCTGGCGGCGTACGGCGGCTCGCTGTACCTGTCGGCGGGCGGCACGGGCCCGGCGGCGGCCGAGCGCGCGCTGATGCGGCTGGCGCTGCACAGGCGCGAGGCGCCGGCGGCGCCCGTGCCGCACGTCACCCGCCTCGTCGCCATCGTCACCGTGCACAAGGTACGTGCCTACTATTAATGTGGACCACTTGCTTCAATACAGTTGTTGTTGTTTAATAATGTTGTTCTAATATAGTTAATATATATTTCTCAAACATGCTTGGAAATATGAGCATTATTTTGACAATCTTCTTCGAGATAAATCAAAATTGCCGTACTAGCCAGATACATGCGGACAGCGGCCGGCAAAAGTTGTATGAAAATCCATATCTGTCGTGTTGTGCGGCCAGATAAATTACTATGTAAACTCATATCTGTCCTGTAATTTAAAAATGGAATGACCTTTTACTTCGAAACATGGCTACCAAGGAGGTAACTAATAAAAGGTTTTGTTTAAATTTCGAACTGGCTTGCAAATAGAAAGCTGTTTATTGAAAAAAAAAACAGAAACATTATGGCGCGTGAAAAATTATTATTGTTCGTTATTCGTCATTGAACTTAAAAAGTAAAATTGTGTTTTTGATTTCCGCGCATTGTTTGAGAAAAGTACTATACAAGCCTTGGCCACAATTGGGCATTGATGGACTTACGTGTGTGCCTCGGATACGCCTCGGCCCACATTTACACGTTCGTCCATCAATGCCTCAGTTGCTAGCCCCTGCAGTAATGTACTTTTTTTAATTTGATAATGGTACTTTCTTAATTATACAGTATCATACCTACTTATACAACAATTACCCTAGAGTTGTCTTGAAAAGATTGCTCTCAGTAATAAGACCGCCTTACTGTATTTATACAATTGTATTGTTGTGTTTGTTAATTGTCTTCCTTATTTCCTATATTGTATAATGCAAATAAAGTATACTCAATTATTCGTTCATTGTTTCGTATAAAAAACTTATCCTCAAAATTCCTTCTCTCTCTCTCTCTCTCTCTCTCTCTCTCTATGAACATATGTTTATTTATATATATGTGTAGATATATTTATGTGTGTGTATGTATGTGTAAGTTGCTTGCGCGTTTACCGCTAAGAAAACCCCATTTGCTGTGACCCCACAGTTCCAGGGCACGTCTCTTAACATCTCTAAAAGCATTGGGATCCTTGGTGTCGACATCTCTAGTTTGTTCTAGAAGGTGAAGTTGGCATCCAAAAAACTCGGTGTGCTTAATAGAGCGAAGCATTACTTCACGCCGGATCAGCGATTAATGCTTTACAAATCGCAAATGCGGCCCCATATGGAGTATTGCTGTTACTTATGGGCGGGAGCACCTAGATATCAGCTTGAACCCTTTGATTCAGTGCAACGACGAGCTATGAGAATTGTCGATGATCCTAGGCTTGCAAGCGGTATCGAACCTTTAAGTCTTAGGAGAAATTTTGCCTCACACTGCGTGTTCTACCGCTTGTACAACGGATTGTGCTCAGAGGAATTATTCAATATGATGCCTACGGCCACTTTCTATCATCGTACGGCTCGCCATCAACAGGGAGTTTACCCTTATACCCTACAGCCTAAATGGTCGCGTACAACGCGGTTTCAGAGATGTTTTCTCCCACGAACACTCAGGTTATGGAATGAGCTCCCTGCCGAGGTTTTCCCAAGAGACTACAGCATGAGGTTCTTCAAAAGGGGGGTAAAGAGGTTTCTTCAGGATCGGCAACGCGCGCGTAATACCTCTGGTATTGCAGGCGTCCATAGGCTACGATAACCGCTTACCATCAGGTGGGCCATATACTTGTTTGCCACCTCAGTGGTATAAAAAAAAGGTGTAGGTATATATTTATGTATATGTGTATATATAATTACATTATATGATTAAATGTAATGAATTATGTATAATTTTAAGTTTGTTTAGTTCCTTTGTTTCAAAATTTTCACAATATTGTACACCACTCTATCCACTGACATTGATGCTCATTTCCATTTTGGGTTTGCTTGAAGAGAACTCTTAGTGTTAAGCTCGCCTTTGTATATCGCATTATATACATAGTATCTCCATTTCAATGCTTCGAGAGAACAGATCAAATTTTTCATACAATATTGCGTGATAAATAGTTATGAATGTTTTCTTTATACCTTCTATATTTATTTTGTTTTATAATTTTTGCGTTTTTTTTTTTTTAATGCGTAAAAACTCTGTTTATTTATTAAATAATTAAATATAGAATACGTCAAGATACATTATGTGCGTAAGTATATAGGATACTGATAAAAAAACGTGTCAGCTAATTTGACAAAAAACTGGCCCGTTTTTCAGACTCGATGCTCTATCTTTATAATTTAAATTTTTGACACAAAATTACTTATTTAATATTTTTACAGTGTGCTATTATTAACTTATTTAGCTTACACTGCACTTTTAACTTATTTGAAGGTCCACTTGACTCACGATGTAGGAGACCCTTTGTTCAGGGTTTTATTAAGCCCGGATGATAAATGCAGCTAGTTAATTTTACTGGCCAGACCGGCAGGCAGAAACCAGGTCCGTAGCTGCGCACTAATTTGGCTAGCTAAATTACCACTGACTGATTTAGGGTTTGCATGAAGGTATATAGGCATAATACCGCTAATTTAAATGAAAATAAATCATATTGCTATTCAGCAATAACATGTATACATGCTAAGGTTGTAATAGTACGTTCGTACGTATTACTTGATGAGTGTAATAATGAAATTCGAAAATAATACGATAACTTAATTAATAAAATTTAAAAGGCATTTAAATGTTTGTAGACTTTTTTTTAAAAAAGCACCATATTATGTTATAAGAGCCAAACTAAAGAAGGAAGCTCATTAGTTCATATTATGGGTCTCAATTAATATCAGTTGGCCATTATGCCATTTAAATATGTTCCACTCATCACCAATCTATGCAATTGTTACATTTTATAGTTAGATATGTACTGAATATATGTATTTTTTTTTTTTTCAATATTTTTTGCGACCTTATAATTATTTGGAAAATTATAAAAAAAAATATATAATGTAAAGCTAGTTAGGAGCTTCCATGTCGCTTTGGTTTTATTCGAATATCTGTCATAGTTTTATAGAAAAATAATTTTAGTCCACAAAAACGCCAGTACAGGTTTTATAAGGAAACCCGGCGACAGACTCTTTATATGTTATTGAGGATGCGAAAATTCACATTTTTGTTATATTTTTAATTTCAGACTTTTAGAACTTTATTTGAGTTAGACTAGATATGTTTCCCCACCAGTTTATATAAAAAATTCGTTCTTATTCGTTCTTTAATCAATTTATAGAAATAAATAAATTACCTATACAGATTCGCTAAGTGGCGCGGTACAGTAAACATTGTCTCCACGAAAACTATTTTTTTAAATTCAAAAAGGAATCATTTAGAATTAAAATTATTAAAAATAGACAAATAATAGTATAAACATTACGTGATAGTGTTGGTTGACAGCTAATGTTACTAATTCAGTGAAAACTTAACGTCTGATTAGTGATGATTGGTCGGTTTGATTTGACGGTATGACGTGCATTGTCTCTGTGCAAATTTAAATTTAAAAAATAAACAAATGTGTCTTTAGTGTTCGAAAATTGAAATAATGATGCTAAATATGAGTGAAATAAGTAGTAGTGTAATCTCAATGATAATTAGTTTCACAACATTAATTGTGTGTATTATCATCGAGATAATGTAAGTACCTGCAAAATACAGTATTTCCAATTCAATAAGTACTTAATGACATTAAATGACAATGCATTAAATTACATACAATTAATTATATATATAAAAGATTATACTAACTGAATTATGCATATTTTATAAATATAAAATTGCAATAATATGAATATTAATATATACCTACCGACATTTGTAAAAAAGTTACATTAAAGTTACAATAAAATACAAGATTTATGTTTTGAATTATACATTTTAAGAGAAACGGGTTAATAATAAAAATGCTTAATATTGTAGTTCTCTTTTATCACGTCTTCATCGGTAGGAAAACAATGACTAATAATGACAGAATTGTAAAAACATAAGAACAATAGAAATATAAAAATATGAAAGACGGAATACGATGGCCAGTTATATAAAAGGCGTATTGTGATGGCCAGTAATACGCCACACATTTATTATATTATGACACAGTTATTAGGTGCAGAGCGACATAACTGTTTGAACAGATTGAATGACTTGAAATCTAATTTGGTATAAAATATAAAATTTGTCACTATTTAATTTAATGTTCCCTGACCATGAAAGTTACATTATTTATCAAGATATATTTGCTTTTTAATTGTACTTTTTGCTTCAGGTTTAGGTTTTTTGTTTGCCTTGTTTTCTTTTACCTGCTGTTCTAATTTTTCATCATTAGAATTATGGTTGTATATTATATACAGTAATCCCCCCTATAACACGGTACTCTTATAATGCATTTCCATATTACGCGATTTCAATCCCTTTTATAACTCGGGTATTCCCCCATAAAGCACGGGGATTGAACATTCTATTAAAAAAAGATGACGGTGTAACGTTATTTTAGATGGCTCCGACAGCGAATAAACATGTAATAATACTTAATTTATTCGAAATTAACTGTTTTTTAGTTACTATGCATAAGTTTTTTTATTTAAAATGTTCTTAGTTTTAATTTTAATAAAACACACATTTCGTTCTTAACATAGTTTTTTATTAATATTCGATTTAAACCTCCTTTAACAAGAAAAGTTAAATGTGAATAATTTGTACATAATGCCGCTATACGGGGCCTTTTTTAATAGATGATAATGAAATGGTAGCCCCGCCTGCGCTAACGGTATACACTGGCGGAGCACCAGTATGAATGTAAAGGCAGGTCGGTTAGTCCATCATGATGAATACACCTGGAATTCAGCACGATGCTTACGATGGGGGACCACGTGGAGTTCAACCTGTCAGGGTATATTGCTAGCAATAGAACTGGTAGTCCACGCTATACAGGGTCGTACAAGCTCGAGAATACTCCTACAAATTTACGGTTTTCGGATTTTTTTTTCTTTACATGTGCTACATGACTTTGCTTCTTGTCAAATTTAACGATTCTAAGACAACGGAAAGTGCCCAATAGATTTTCAATGCCTTTGCAAATTTCAAAATATGCGATATAAATAGATAATGATATGAAATAAACGGCCGTATCTTTTAATTGCGTCGTGAGAAATTTGTTTTTTTTTTTTTTCACCGCTTTAAGAGATTGCCGATCTGAGTATATTAATTTCAACTTTATACCTCCACATGTTCCTAAGAAAAAGGGTCTTGACAGACGGACGGACGATGAATGAGTCTATAAGGGTTCCGTTTTTCTTTGAAGGTACGGAACCCTAAAAACTAAACAAATATTCATTATGCTTTATATATGGTATACTCAAAAAGGTTATAAATAAAAAGACGCTGGTAATTGCATATCACGGTTATGGGACTAGTGCATTGCTGTTTGGCATAATATATTAGGGAAATTCTACAGATAAAATTTATTTCTTTATTACACTTGTAAATTATATGTAATATAATTATAAATATTGTGAGCAAGGGTGGACTTATCGCTGACAGAGATCTCTTCCAGTCAACCCAATACATTTAGAAAGCATGTCGTTAGCGGGCAGCTGAAGTGCTACAACTATTAAAGTATTGAGAGCTCAAAAACATGCATACGAGTAATGTTTAAACTCTCAAAGACTGATTCAATCAAGCCGTATTTTAAATAACTAAAAAATTTGGCATTCCCATCAATGTATATTTATGAAATAGCAATTTTTGTGAAGTTTAAGAATAGTTCAAGAATTTAAGTTTATTCAAAAATATATACATCTGTCGGAAATAACGATAAACTGAAACATATGTCGCACAATACATCTATGTTTCAGTAAAAGTATTTTTGCTTCTATATATAAGTTATTATCTTTTTTCTCTTTTACATTTTCAAATCTATATATTTTATAATCTATGGATTGCAAGCGAATTTCAGTCGCCACAAACGTCCGTCACTATCATTTTTGTACAATACCAACATACGAACGCCGTAACATCCCAATACTAAAATTATTAAAAATTAACTAGAACAAAGAATCTGACCAATTGTAAATATAATAAGATGGAATTCAGCCTTATTCGACGCATCTGACAAAAATTATACGTTCGCGTTCACGGACGTAACATATCAGTGAACGCATACATTCGTAACCGACGGCAGACGGCGTCCTAGCCGACTCGCCTCCATACACTGTAAATTGCGGCAGGCCAGAGAACCCCCGACCTAACGGGTTTATAACTGAAACGGTGGTGGTAATGCGGCAGGTGGCACGCGAGCATCCGTGCTACGGGGGCCGCGCGTGCGGCGGCGCGCCGGCAGCGTGCGGCGCGCGCGGCTCGTGCGGCTGCGGCCTGCACTGCGCACGCGCCGCCTGCGCGCCCGGACACTTCCGCTGCGACTCCGCGCATGCGTCACACGCACTCCACGCGCCACACACACCACACGCACCCCGCCTACACTGCATACCAATGAACTGGAGGTGAGTGCTACAATCTTTCAAAGTGCCACTTTACATCAGGTAAGCCGTCAGCTTGTTTGCCATTCTAAGTTGCATAAAATTGACAGGCGGGTGAGCAACCACAGTTAGGCTTTTATTGATATTTTAAGAGGGACGCTGCTGCCCATCTCTCGACTATTAAGTTCCTTTAGTCGCCTCTTACGACACCCGTAGGAGGAAAGGAAGGAATGACCTATTCTATGCCGGGACCACACGGACGATTCTTTATATACGTAAATGATTTTACGTACGACTTCTCTTTCTCTCTCTTCGCAAGCGCTGCTCCTATACTGCATATCCATGGACAGCAAATCGATACCGCAATCTTTATTACATACTAACTTTAACCTGCGACCGGGACATATTAATTGACCGTAATAAAAAGTAGCCTAAGTCTTTCTCTATACCAAACAAACAAACTCACTTTTACATTTATAATATTAATGAGGATTAGCTGTATAGCGCGAATTTGTCCGCATTAGTTAAAATAGAAACTGAAATGTGTTATACATTTGGTTTAATTTTAGGATGATAAGGTTCAATAGCAAAAAAATTAATGCTTGTTCGGATAGACAAATTTAGAATATGAAATACTCTACCTGAAAATTGAACATTATTATTATTTATTACAAAATAGGACATTACTTGTATTTACACAAAGAAACACAACAACACCTGTTTAAAATAAATTATCAATATGTAGAGATAAAATTGAGTCAATAGAGGCGCAGTTGAGTTAGAAATAGACACGCAGCTCAATAGACTTTCTAATTGTGAACACTCTTGAATAAGTAAATTATAATGTCATCAAATCTTTTTTTTATATTGAATGCAGATAGAAAAAACCTCATCTAAAGAAAACAGTACAACCTGAATTGTTATAATCGTTCCAAATATGCCGAAGACGTTGAAACATTGTGGCAAATGCACTACGATCTATCAATTAACGTGACTTCATCTTTACTAGTCTAGAAAACAACCAATTTTCCACTAACAGATTGAACCGAATAATAATATTGTTGATTTTAATAAACTTCTAAGTATTGTTGAGTAGTCATGTTTTATTATTTTACTGGCCATTCGGAACACCCAACATGTGATAAGCCTCTAAAGCATGTTTCCCGCCACGGACAGGTGCGACGGACAGCAGGACTGCCCGGACGGGTCGGACGAGGGCGCGGCGTGCGGCGAGTGCGCGGGCGGCGGCGGCGGCGCGGGGCTGCGCTGCGCCGACGGCGCGTGCGTGGGCGCGCTGCGAGACTGCCGCGCCGGCGCCTACTGCGCACTCGCCGCCATGCCGGAAGCCTTCCGGTAACTGACACTATACTGTTTATATTTTTACATACAACGAGATTCTTGATAGACAACTTTGAAAGTGTTCATAACGAAGTATGGCAACGTCGGAATTATTTAACAGTTTTTAGAAACATTTAGGCATTTTTCTGATTGGTTATTTAAAAAATGCTAGCAAGCTAAAACGTTTATTAAGCTGTCACTGAAAATTGGGATGCAAGAATGAATTGCAAAGTTTTTAATAGTAGATGTATATACAACATTCATTATAATTAGTTGCATTTTAGTTCGCTATCAGAGTACCTCTTAATAATTAATTTTAAATATAGCACTGACCAGATTGACTTACGTATTGTTCAGTCTAGAATGCAAATTTCACAATTATTGACCTTTTTATGTAGCGTAGCAAAGTATACTATGTGTTAATTAAGTTGATTATTTACAAGAGAATTTTCACAAATATTTTTATATATGTTGAAAACATATATAATTTGTGCGTCGTTGAATTAGCTAGCTTCTTTTTATATAGACGTTATAAATATTTTATGAAAATGTTTCCTTAAACAAATAAAGAAAATTTTCTCCTATTTTAAATAAATATTTTGCGATCGAGTCTTTACAGCTTAAATATTTTAATCCTTAATTACTATACTCTTTTAAATTTTATATTTAATTCATTCACAGCTGCGACGACCGTCTGTGTCTGTCGGAAGAGTTAGTATGTGATGGACACCGGCACTGCGAGGACGGTTCCGACGAGCTGCTATCCTCTTGCGAGTTCGCGCAGAAAACTGAGGTTCGATTGTAATATTTGATATTGAATAATATTTAAAAAATAGTTCTATTCTATAACATTTATAAACTGTTCTACTGTACTAATAGTTAAACTGATATTTACTCGTATGTGGAATTAGAGATATTAGCGCTTTGTTGTAACTTAACATGGTTTTAATGTAGATTTGTATAAGGTTACTATTGTCTTTGAAAGACACTAGTGCATAGTAGTAAATTCGATTCAAGTAATAAGTAATGTCTTATTTAATACCTTGTATTCTGGCCCCGATAACTAGCAGTGTGCCGTTACTGAGAGCATGTATTTTCAGGGTCGAGTGTCCGGTCGGCAGTCCAACGCGTTTGTGGTGGGCGGCGTATTAGCTGGTGTCGCGGGCTGCGTGGCGGCCGCGTGGCTGGCGCTGCGCCGCCTGCGCCGGCTGGGGCGCCGGCCGCCCGCCCCCGCCGCCCACCCAGCGCTGCCCGCGATCACCGCCCGTACAAAACTGCCACCCACGCGTGCCCGACCCCTCGGCGCCAGCTGCACCGAGTGAGTACTGCATCACTACACATTACTATGTTATATATATATATATATATATATATATATATATATACACATACATATATATACATACATATCTGTCCCGCCTGTCTCCCATTAGGGTAGGCAAACAATGGAACGCCAAATGCTTCGATTTAAACAAACCTCTATCGCTTCTTCCACATTTATCAATATTTTCATACACGCTCGCCGGTTACGGGTACTTTTAATATATATATGTATATATGATAGACAGGAAAATTATTAAAATAGAACTAGTGACTCTATTGTTAACAATATAAAGGTCAACGTCCCTTTAAAAACTATCGTGATGAATTAGTCATGATAGACCATCTACCTTGACTTCAGTCCCACCATGTATTGTACCTTCCATAAACCGATAGTGCAAGCAAAGTAGTTATAAATATAATTACCGTTCTATTTTCATCCAATTAAGTACATCATGACGCCGTACACGCCAATCCGGTGATAAATTGTCCATACAATTATTTATAAATTTAGGTTTACGTAGTGTAAGATACAATTTTCAATATTAGATTTCAACCCTCACGCATCCTCTCAAGTAACTTACATATTAAACCGAAAACAAAATACAATTTATTTATATAGTTTTGTCTTCGTTCTAATAATAATTCAATCTTTCATCATTCAAATTCATAAATTGTTAATTTCTTTAACTATATTTAAACAACTACTACTAAATAAATAACTTCAGAGAATCTTCTTTAATGGATGATAATGGAATGGTAATCCCACCCGCGCTATCGGTATACACCGGCGAGGCACCAGTGAAGGATGATAGGTGAAGATGAAGTAAGTCAGTTAGCCCATCGTGAATTCAATTTCTAGGGAGAACCGCGAGGAGGTCGACCTGGTAAGGTGTTGTTAACAATAAGGCTGATAGACCCCGCTACTAACAATTCCTTCCACCCATTCCAGGGCATCGGAGAGCCTGTGCGAGCGGTACCCGCGGCCGACCGCGAACCCGCCGCCGAGCCCGGCCACCGCCAGCGGCGCGTCCCTGGCGGCGTCGGCGGGGGCGCCGCGCCGCCGCGCCTACAGGCACTACCGCGCCATGAACCGGCCGCCGCCGCCCACGCCCGCCTCCACCGACGCCTGCGAGTCCGAGCCCGAGCACAGCGCCCGCGCGCCGCCGCCCTCGCCCGCGCCCTGCCTCTATTGACTCAAACGCGCCTCTACTCACTCGTACGCGACTCTAATGTTTCTCACGTGTCTTACTGATTAAAACGCCTCTACTGAGTCATACGTGGTTCTAATCTTTCTCACGTGTCTTACTGATTAAAATGCGCCTCTACTGACTCGTACGCGGCTCTAATGTTTCTCGCGTGTTTTGCTAATTAAAACGCCTCTACTAAGTCATACGTGGTTCTATTTGCTCTTGCGTACCTATACTGACTGAAACGCACTTCTACTGACTGGCGTGCTTTTACTAATTCGCATGGGCATCTCTTAACTTAAAAATGTTTCTAGTAACTCAGACTCGCCACTATTGACTCAGACACGCCTCTATTGACTCAAAGGCATCTCTATTGACTCCAGCGCGCCTCTACTGACACTAGCACGCCTCTACAGTATTATACATCTCTATGGCTACTGCCCATCTAGCTACAGACAGGTAGATCTATTGACAGGTAGTAATGCACACTGATGACTACAGCGCCTCTATTGAGGTACTAACGACTATTCTCATGTACTGACGTCTCTACTACGTCTCCATAGACAACTTTAATGGTAAACTCTACTGCGTCTCTTTCGGCGCCTTTATGTGTTGGCGTTTCTGAGCATAATCTACATATAATTAGATTTTCAATCTCCAAATATTATAATGACAGAGTGTCGGTTACCAGAATCCACTGACAAATAAACCAAAAGATGTTATTTTGGCGAAGTTTCCCTGAATTACTGATATCAAACCAATATCGATAAGGAACAAACAACAATTTAGTTTTACGTTTACCGATAATAACTGATTAATGACTACATCCAATACAAATTGTCACCGTGCGAGTTTTTCTCACACAGTTCCTTAAAATATAAAAATTATATATATTAAGCTATACGCACGCCCTCGTGGAGAACACCGCGCGCGAAAATTTAATACCTTATTAAAAATTCTTTTAAAAAAATCATGCGTTGAAAATGCACAGTGCGAACAGATCATTACGGAAAGAGAGCGATGATATAATGTAATTTTTCTCAAACATGCTTGGAAATGTGAGCATTATTTTGACAATCTTCTTAGAGATAAATCAAAATTGTCGTACTGGCCAGATACATGCGGGCAGCAGCCGGCAAAAGTTGTATGAAAATCCATATCTGTCGTGTAAAATGGAATGACCTTTTACTTCGAAAAATGGCTACCAAGGAGGTAACTAATAAAAGGTCTTATTTAAATTTCGAACTGGCTTGCAAATAGAAAACTGTTTATTGAAAAAAAAAACAAAAGAACACTATGACGCGTGAAAAATTATTATTGTTCGTTATTCGTCATTGAACTTAAAAAGTAAAATTGTGTTTTCGATTTCCGCGCATTGTTTGAGAAAAGTACTATACAAGCCTTGGCCACAACTAGGCATTGATGGACTCACGTATGTGTGCCTCGGCTACGCCTCGGCCCAAATTTCACGTTCGTCCATCAATGCCTCAGTTGCTGGCCGCTGCAGTAATGTACTATAAATTGACACATTAGATTATTTATTTGTCATTGCTTTTGTAGATCTTTCAGAAAAATCGATACTTTATCACTCGCAATGATAGTTGATTTTTTTTTTTAATTATAATCATGACATGTAACGGTACTATCCTGACTGAACAGAGTCAATGAATACGATCAACCGAAAAAACAATGTTTCACTCTCAATGGTTACTATATTTGATGCCATGGTTTAAATCAACGTTGTAGTATTTATTAGCAATATTTAATAAAACTTTGTAGAATTTACTAGAAAAATCGATTACATCACTTGCCACCTGGTATGGCTGATAACGAATGCGACGATAAATTGTGTATTACTCTGTTCAGACATACGCCCCTTTGTTATCAGTAAATGCATCCCAGATGGCACGAAATGGTACTATCAATATATATTTTTTTATATTAATGAGTTATCCGATATCGGTATAACATTGATGCTATTTTTGACAAATTTAAAAAATGTGGTCTTAAGCTTTTTTTGGTTGACGATGTCTTTTAACCGGCTTTTTAAATGAAGGGGGTTATACCAATTATTTTGTGAACTGATTTTAAATAGTTTAATCAAATGTTTATTTTTTAATCGAGAATTTAACATAATTATAGATTTAGGATATTTTTATTAAGTAATCGTCGCCCCTAGACGAAGGTTTCGATAGAATTGTTGTCGCTAGCTAATTTACAAGACAGAATGAGACGGCGACATGCGTTATCTTGTTCTTTCTCATGCTAGCGTTAACTGAAACAATTCTACCAAGACATTCGTCACTTATCTAGAGGGGCACAATTGTCTTATACTAATTTCGAGAAATTGAATTAAATATTTTTTGTTTTTATCGATAATTATTTTTAAAAAATTCTGACGATGCTAACAGCTATAAATTGGTTTTAAAGCACAAATGTCATTATATTAAACACAATTGTAATATTATGAAAATACAGTATTTGCTTTAATTTCATTTATGTCAAAAATTTATTATTGTGCCCCATAACCCAGATAACAAAGTAAGCTCTACGACTATAGAAATCCTTGATTCTCTGTTTCTTTTACAATATTACGTATATTTAGTGACCTAAAGTAACTAAATATACGTATTTTTAAATTCACAGCTGTCACAGAGCTCACCTTGTTCCCTGAAATAGCTGTTAGCTAATTATTACATCATACAATATAAATATGACTATATGATCATTATGCCAATGACAGAGTGCATTTCTGAGCACGGAACACTAATTATTCATTACAATAATTGCAATTTATGTGAATGTGCAAAATATATAATATGTTGTGGTGCTATCTCGCTGTATGTGCCTCATTAGTATATAAGAATACGAATTAAATATAGTATTATATGTGCATATTAATTATAATGTTAATTGTAAATATAGTCTGAAATTTTATGTATAGATGTTAAGGAATTTTTAAGTATTAGTACCCAGTATGACACAGTCTAAAGATCTCTCCTACCAGTCATCTAATAGATATGTCTAAAAAGAGCAATGCGTCCCTAATTAGATTATTATCATATAATTGTTCGGAATATGCTAAAAACACACTATTATTGCCGCAGCACCTAGATGAGAGTACGCTCGAGACTGGTACCTTTGTCCCTACGCACATACATTTTTTTTATACAGCCTGTATTAGCAAACAAATTGACGGCTCACTTGTATAGAAAACACTAATGTCTATGTATGGGCTGTCTTCTATATGTTACATTGCCCAATACTAAGACATCATTCCACGGTCATATCCCAACCTCAATCCTACAAATCCTGCATGGCACAAAAAAATCATAATAGTTTTATAGTTTTAGTGTTCTAAATTCAAATCTGCTTTTCAAATCATAATAATGATTCCATGAATAAACCAAATAGTCTATTAGTGTCTGTGGACTATAAATGAAATGATACATCGCGATGCTACTGATAAACTTTTGTCTATACTTTTTTTTTTTTAATATAAAAATACTAAAACTATCACAAAAAAAATCTATTAGTAAAATTCGTTATTGCATCTTTGGAAGATTTTTTATGTTTTATTCTTCTGACCTCTCGCATTCAACATATCGTATAATACTTCGTATATTATTATTAATTCTTGAATAGAAATCAGTTTAAAAAAATAATTACTGAAATTGAAATCTAGCATTTTAAAATATTCTACTTAATAAAACTCAAAATCTTTTTCCTAAATTAATAATAAAAAAAACTATACCTACCATACTGTCACAGCTATATATATACAATAAAGATGTTTCATATGAATAAGTATTGTGATTGTGCTATAGTTGCCAATTTGCATTTAATTTTTTATTAGTTATAGAAAAGAATGTAACGCTTATTTTAATATGCCTTAATTATTTTATTTCACTTCAATTATGTACATTTGACTTGTAAAAATACTAAATCCGACTGACTTTGAGATTTTCTAAAATAAACTTTTGTACCTGTTACATATAGTTTTATTATTTCCCCAAGAACATTCATTAAATCTTTGTTATTTTCTCTCGATATTATTTACTAAGTACATTATGAAGAACTGTTTCTAATATGACTCCGATACTTTTGAATTTCAATTCATGACTTTAGTTAGAACCTACAAAATACCTAATTGAACCTAAGCTTTTCGTTATGTATTCATTATATAATAAATATTTATGTGCAGGGTGAAAACGAAGTATATAAATAATTTTCTCAAAAAAATAGGTTCTTTGGCCTATTTTTTTTTTTAATAAAAATAGCCTCTAACTTGACAGCTGAGCTTATCCATGTGTGCAAGAGGAGAGACAAGTGTTCTATGAGAGAGGTAGATAGTCCGTGCCCGCTTCAGAATTATCTGGTGGCTACCCTAGGATGCGAACAGAGCTCTCAGCTACTGGCGGAATTATGAGATAACAAACAAAAAAAAATACAAAACGGATTTGGAAACCTCTTTCTTTCTTCGAAGTTAATTGAAACAGAGCTAAAAACTCCGTCAATGATAAATTAATTTGGAAAATTCTTTTATCTGAAACAATGTACTTACAGATTGGAGAATTTTTTTTTGAATCAGTTTTGTAGTTTAGTTTTGAATCAAAAGAACTGTTTTTGCCACAAATAGAGACAGTTTTTTGTGAAATATAATCTTACATTATTTGGCAATTTCAATATCGGAATTTTAAAAAGGGGCGGCACAAAAACAATGACTCGTCTCAATTTATAAATCATAACTGTAACCCGATCTTCGCTTGCTGGAGCGGATGATTAGATAAAGCTTGACTAATTTTTCTCCTATATACGTATGCCTACAACATCAGTGCAGTCTGCAGACACTTTTCATACCAACAACACATGGACGATGATGTCCAGACTATTACGGCATTGCCTATTTTTAACAGTTGCAGTCGAAATCGCAAATTGTCAAATATATACAGACAGACCGAAAATCAAATCAAAAGATGGAGATCTTATTCTTGAACCGGCGTTTGATAAAAGCATATATTTCCTCACAAATGGACCTCAGTCTACCGTCTTCGTTGGCGATGTCAACTTACTAAACATAAGCGTTCCAAACAATGTGAAGCAGTATACACCCGTGCAGAATGATGACATAGAACAATTAATGAAGGGTCGCAATGGAATATTACAAAGGTTACAAACATTGGAAAGCCAGAATGTTATATTACCTAGTGATCTGCAATATAACATATCGACAATCTGGACAAGAATAAATAGACTAACGAACAGAATTCATAATCTTCAACTGCAACTTAATAACAGGGCGAAAGATGATTGTCAACCACATACATGTCAAAATGGAGGTACCTGTTTAAATCTATTGAATGGATATCACTGTTTGTGTCCCTCCAATTGGGAAGGACGAAATTGCGAAGTTGATGTGAATGAATGTCGCAATTTCGTTGGTACAGATTTGGGATGTCAAAATGGAGCAATTTGTATTAACAGACCCGGTACTTATGAATGCTTATGCAGATCAGGGTGGCTTGGAGTTCATTGCACAAGAAGAGAGAAGGATTGTTCTGGGGGAAATTACGAAATGTGTGGTCATGGTACGTGTATACCAGTTACATCAGGCGAGGGTATCAAGTGTATATGTGATCAAGGTTGGACTACAAATGGAACCGGAGTTGCATGTCTCACTGATGTGAATGAATGTGATACGAGTCAAGGCCCTCGATGCTCCATTAATCCAAAAGTAGAGTGTATCAATCTTCCGGGTTCATTTCGCTGTGGTCAATGCCCACCGGGTTATGACGGAGACGGCTACAGTTGTTACGACATAAATGAATGCCAAACTATACCCAACGGTGGCTGTAGTCCTTTGGTAGCATGCCACAATACTATAGGGTCTCGTATTTGTGGACTTTGCCCACCTGGTTACGTAGGAGATGGCATCACATGCTCATGGAGAGGCTCGTGTAATATTAACCATGGAGGATGTCATCCATCAGCACAATGCATAGAGAACGCAGCACTTGGTGGACAAACTGCACAATGCATATGTCCTGATGGCATGGATGGAGATGGTATTGGACTTCATGGGTGTTATGTATCAGCTGGTTATAATTCCACTCTTAACTGTGAAGACAATCCTTGTGGTCCTCATGGACAGTGCCACGTTCTTCGGACGGGATACACCTGCTTGTGCTACAGAGGATTCACTGGCGCTCGTTGTAACATTCCACTAGACTACTGTGCTAATAATCCGTGTCAAAATGGTGGTGTATGTAGAACAGACGAAACTATGGCAAGAGGTTTTCGTTGTGAATGCACTGCTCTATATACAGGAATAATGTGTCAGGTACGTGCTAGAAATTGCGGAGGTTTATTAGATAATGAGGAGGGCAGTATTATTTATCCCATATCCAATACAACTTATGAACATAATTCCAAATGTGCATGGGTTATTCATACTGCACCAAATAAAGTTATCAATGTTACGTTTAGTAAATTTAATTTAGAATTAGAGCCTGAATGTCGTTATGACTTTTTACAAATGCATGATGGTCAAAGTTCCTCTAGTCAACTTATAGGTAGATTCTGTGGCAATACATTTCCTAAAGGTGGCAATATCATATCAAGTCACAATAACTTATATCTCTGGTTTCGTTCAGATAAAACTGTGGCTAGAGATGGCTTTGCATTACATTGGAATAGTATAGATCCGATTTGTGGTGGAGAAATAAATGCAACCACGCATGGGCACATCAGCTCTCCAGGGTCCCCAGGAAAATATCCGCCCAATAGAGATTGCTATTGGCACTTAACTACTTCTTACGGTAAAAAAATACAGTTACATTTCTTTGAATTTGACATTGAAGCACATGCTAATTGTAGTTATGATTATTTAGCTATTTATGATGGAGAACACTCTACTGACCCACTTCTCAACAAATATTGCAACTCAACCCAACCAGCTCCAACACAGTCAGCTGGCTCAGAATTATTAATTCATTTTCATTCCGATGCTTATAGTTCCGGCCACGGATTTCAAATAGCGTATGCCCCCATAGACGGCGTGCCAGGTTGCGGTGGATACTTTACTGGGGAACAAGGTGACATTGTGTCACCGTCGTACAACGGATTGTATCTAAATAATTTATTGTGTGAATATAAAATTAAAACTGGTCCGGATACTAAAATAAAAATTGAAATTAAAAGTTTTAATTTGGAAAGGTCTCTAAAGTGCATCTATGACTATTTAAAAATCTATGATGGACCATCGTCCGATTCACGTCTCGTTGGTAAATTTTGTGGTAATGTCTATTATCCAAAATCTTATATTTCATCTTCAAATTCTTTGTTCATTATATTTAAAACTGATCGCACCAAATCATCCGAGGGCTTTAGAATCAGTTATAAAACAATATGCCAATATAGTATAACTGGTGATAGTGGTGTAATAAAATCACCTGGATATCCTTTCAACTATCCAGGAAATAAAGTATGTGAATATATTATTGAGACTATACCTGGAAAGGCGATACAGTTAACCTTCCAAGATTTTGATATTGAAGATAATCGATACTATAATTGTCAATATGATAATATCGAAATAAGAGATGGGCCTAATATGAATTCAACTCTTCTAGGAATATTCTGTGGAAGTGCAGATCATACCCCACCTACACAAACGTCCACTCATAATTTCCTGTATTTAAAATTTACTTCCGATATAAGTATTTCCGGTACTGGTTTCTATGCAAACTATACAACAATAGACGTAGAATGTGGTGGTATATATAAACAGACAACCGGTCTTATAAACCACCCATCTGGTGATACAGCACTATACAACAACGGTCAAAACTGTACTTGGATGTTGATAGCACCCGAGGGAATGCACATAAAATTAAGTTGGAATCGATTTGACTTGGAAGAAATGCCATCGTGTGACAGTGACTACTTGGAAATTATCGAAATAGATAATAACAATATGAATGAAACAATGGGCAAATATTGCGGTACCGTTCTACCTCCAGCTATAACGACGATGACTAATCGCCTTATGCTTCAATTTGTGTCTGATCGAACTATTCGCTCAGCTGGTTTCTCAGTATCCTACACATTTTTAAATGAAAAAACACATTGCGGAGGAACATATGTTAAAACGCATGGTTTCATTTATTCTCCTGGTTGGCCTAAGAATTATGAAGCTAATCGTGACTGTACATGGACCATCAAAGTGCCTGCAGGACAACAAATTTCTCTCAATGTTTCTCAATTTGACTTAGAGCGATCTATTCGCAACAAATGTGATATAGGGGATTATTTGGAAATACGAAATGGTGCTACAGAAAATGCACCATTGATTGGTAAATATTGTGGTTACTTCAATTGGAAGCGTTTTATTTCAACAGGGAATTCATTATATTTACATTTTCATTCTGACTTCTATATGGGTGGTGCCGGATTTAAAATCGAATGGGATGGTACTCTGCAGGGTTGTGGAGGTACACTTACAAGTTCTAGTGGATCTATATCCTCTCCTAATTATCCAGAAGTATATAATGAAAATGCTGAATGCTTTTATAAAATTATTACAAGTCATGGCTCCCGAATCAGAATTAACTTCAAAGAGTTGGATTTGGAGCGTACTCCGCATTGTAGAGACGATTATGTAGAAATATTTGACGGCAGAGATGCTAATGCCGATAGTTTAGGAAAGTTTTGTTACATGTCACCCGCAGCAAATAGTATCCATACTACGACAAATATAGCATTTATTAAATTCAGATCTGATTTCTACATGGGAGGTAAAGGATTTTTACTTGATTATACTACAGTTTGTATGAACAATATTACTGGAAGTTATGGTGTTATTGAAAGCCCTGATTATCCAAATAATTATCCATTTAATTTGAACTGTTTATGGACAATAAACGTTTCTAAAGGAAGTAAAATAAATATAACATTTACACATTTTGATATCTATAAATCATTTCACCGGCCACATTATCGCCGTTGGTGGAGTACACCGCGGCGACCAGGTTGTGAAAGAGATTATTTGCAGCTGAAAGAACCATCTCAACTTCAAGAGCCTAATAAACTTTGTGGAACATCTATTCCTTCTGCTTTGAGCACAACAGATAACACATTACAAATAAAATTTGTAACAGGATTCTTTAATTTTCATTCAGGGTTTAGATTAGAGTGGGTAAGGTATGGTTGTGGAGGGCACATCAAAAAAAGTTATGGCACTTTGTATAAAACAATAGATTCCAATGGAGAGTTGGAATGTGAATGGATTATAGAAGCACAGGCAGGAATGAGTATCTTTTTAGCTTTGACAAAATTATATGTTGCAGATTCTGAAAACTGCACAACCGATTCATTAGAAATTTATAATGGACCAAATATTCAATCGCCACTAATAACAAAAATATGTCACAAGAAAGATGTAACAATACAAGGTAATACCAATTTCTTATTTGTGAGATTAATAAAACAATCGACACTAAAGAATGTTCACTTTGAGATCCAATACTCGTCAAGTAAATCCGTTTGCGGTGGCGTATATAATTCAGCAACAGGGTTTATTACATCGAAAAATTACCCCAAAAATTATGAAAATAACATGGATTGTACTTGGTCGATTACAGTAACTGCAAATCGTCGAATAGAACTAAATTTCCTTGACTTTGATCTATATTCAATCGCCAACTTTGAATCAGATTCTTCTATTTGTGGAGATTCAATTAGAATATATGATAGCACAGATATTTCAAATGCAAACTATACAAGCATTATTTGCCCCAATACTGGTTTGTCACAATATATATCAAAGAGTAACACATTATTATTACAGTTTGTGACTGACAATTATGGAACAGCTAAAGGTTTTAAAGCAAATTTTAGTGAAACATGTGGTGCTACAATAACAGCAGTATATGAAGGAATAATAACGAATGATAAATTCATTAGTCGTACCAATTTAAGTTGTATCTGGACAATTCTTGCTCCCACCCCAGACAAGAAAATATCATTAACAATAACTCATATATCATTGCCTTATACGAATGAAATATCAAACAGAAGTTGTCCATCCTCTTTTCTCAGAATTTATGATGGAAATGATGAAAATGCTCCCCTCATTGACGAATATTGTGGACACAAAATACCCTCTATGATTGTTAGTCACGGAAGCGCCATTACTGTTAAACTCGGTACCAATACTAATAAAATTATAGGTCATTTTTCTGCACACTATACTGCAACTGACTCTGCGTGTGGAGGTACATTAACTTCAGAGGAAGGTGCTATAGCTTCACCTGGTTTCCCACGTTCATATCCAATAAACACTGATTGTGAATGGATTTTAAAAACATCGCCTGGAAATAAAGTGTACTTGACGTTTGAATCATTTAAGATAGAATATTCCGAACAATGTAATCAAGATTATTTAGAAATTCGTGAAAACAATGCTGGCGGTCGTCTGTTAGGTGTCTACTGTGGTGACAATATACCAATAAATACAACCATAGCTTCAGAATTATTCATTAAATTTCACAGCGATAATATATACAGCGATCAAGGATTTTTCATTCGTTACGGATTTATACATGGAAACGAAATCACAAACATTGAAAGTGGAGAAATAGCGTCACCTTTGTACCCATATCCATACGATAGACCAAGTGAATATTGGTGGCGAATTACAAGTGGCGTTGAAATTATTACTCTTATTATTGATAAATTAGAAATTCATACTTATGGAGAAATATGTTATAGTAGTTTAACTATTTATGATGGACATGATGATGAAGCTCCGGTTTTGGGACAACTTTGTGGCATTTTATCTGAAGAGAAAGTAATACATACATCTTCTAATGCCGTTTATATCAAGTTATCATTGCATGAATCAAACAGTGGTGGTCTTTTCCATCTACGGTGGGCGCAAGAAAATAAAATTACAGAAACTGATAGTTCTACATTTAATTGTGGTTCCAATGACACCAAAATTATAACGCCAGGTCACGTCACTATTTTCAGGTCACCTAATTATCCTAAAAATTATGATGATAACTTAAACTGTCAGTGGATATTTAAAGCTATACCGGGACAACATTTGATATTAAATTTTAATGATTTTCAACTGGAGGAAATAAACAGTTGTTTTGCTGATTCTATTTCTATTTATAAATCAGACGACCCATCTCAATGGACTCCTATCAAAGAGAATATATGTACTGCCGACATTACGTCACTAGGTTTTAATTCAAGTATGTATTTAAAAGTGAATTTCCGTACTGATTCATCGGTAACAAGGAAAGGTTTCCAGGCTCAAGTACGGTCTGTATGTGGTGGTACATTCACAGATTTATCTGGTGTGTTCGGTCCAACTATGTCCGACTACATGAATATTTATCAACCAACAATAAGATGCAATTGGATAGTAAAAGTTCGTCCAGGAAAACACATAAAATTAAATTTTGAATATTTCAATATTACAAACAAAGATAATGAATGTAAGACATTTGTTGTTTTACACAATGGTGATTCAATGGAGTCACCATTGTTATCAAGCGGAAAATATTGCGGTTACTCACATGAAAATACAAATGAAGTAGTTACTTCAAGTAATGCATTATTTGTGTCGTATGAGAGTAGTTTCTTTCATAATCCTCAGCATATGTTTCAAACTTTCAAAATACGATATGAAGAGGAAGGTGTTTATTGTGGTACGGTTAGTAAATTAGACATTGATCATCCATGGGAAATTATAAGTTCGCCAAATTACCCTTCAATACCTGATCCATATACCGAATGCATTTGGAAATTCAGTGGACCACTAGGTGAAATATTAAAAATAGATTTTATAGATAGATTTGACTTAGATTATATAGAAGATTGTCCTACAGAATCCATTGAAATTCATGATGGTCTATCGGATTTAGCTCCTCTAAAAGGAAAGTTTTGTGGAGAGAAGCCAGGAACCATTAAAACTAGTAGTAACACACTTTATATTAAATACTTTACTGCTTTGTCAGAACCAAAAAATGGGTTCAAAGCTAATATTTCTATTGATGTTTGTGGTGGTACCGTCTTTTCCCCCGAAGGAGAATTGAAGTCGCCAGGATATCCTAATATGGTAAAATTATCTTCTGGCACAGTTTGTGAATGGCGCTTAAGAGGAAAACCTCGGCATATCTTATTTATTAAGGTACTAGACTTGGATTTGCCTGAATCAGAATCACCGTGTGGTACAAAAGTTACGATTGAAGAAAATTTACCTGGTAACCATACAGTAGTATCTGAGTTGAAAACATTTTGTGGTGACGATATTGTAGATGTTGGATCAGTAGTTGAAACATCTACAAATGAGGTAACAATCAAACTACACCTTGGTAAACCAAGCGAATATACAGCAGTAACTCAATCACGTGGTTTCCGATTTACATTTAATACTTCTGTACCATCATGCAACGGAATTATTACAACACCAGAAGGATATTTAACAACACCAGGGTATCCTCGGGAAACCTCGATACGTCAGTGTCAATGGCGTATTATAGTTCCAGATAAAAAACGTAGAGTTCGATTAGAGTTATTAGATTTTGCTATTAACAAGCAAAGAATCGGAATATATAATGACAAAAACTTCCAAACCAGCATAGGATATGTCTCTAACAGTTATAATACAACTATATTCGAATCTTCGGGAAATGAACTAGCTTTATACGTATGGTTAAATTCTTACGGAGAAACGCATCGATTTAAAGCAAGGTTTAGTTCTGACCAAGAAGCGTTATGCGGCGGCACATTGGGTGGAGTAATGGGAGAATTAGTATCTCCAATTCTTGACAGATCGTATTCTTGTAATTGGCAGTACAATCCAAACCTAATAAGAGACTTTAAAAATTATAGCACATTGTACATTACTGCCACAGTAAACTCTTCTGTGACTAGAACACGATGTAGATATGCAGACCCAAAATTAAAGATAAAATCAGCAAATGATCGTGGAATTGTCGGTTTCCATCGCGAAATTTGCGGTAATACCGAAATGTCGTATAGGATACCAACTACTGTAGTCGACTATAGAGCGACAAAGAGCCACAGTGATTCTTTTTACTTTCGCGTTCAGTGGAAATTACAACAATGTGGTGGGTTTATACATGCGGGAGATAATGCTGTTAATATTATAAATATTCCAAACGCAGCTCATAATGATACTATAGATTGTGCTTGGAATATTGAATTGCCTCTAGGAAATAAAATTGAATTGAAATTAGAGGGGTCTTTTCTATTAGAATGCGCCGACGAATTCATAAAAATATCGCGTAATGTAGCTTTTTCGGCTTATATAGGTGATTACTGTAAGAATAAAATGCAAGATACTGTTATTATCGAATCATTTTCAAATGTTTTAGTCGAGTACCACTCCAATCCAAAGAATTCAACTAATATAAAACTAATGGTAAAAACAACCAGACATAGTTGTGGGGCATTTTTGGGAACCTACGATAGAATATTTGCATCGCCTAATTATCCCAACAATTATCCTAATAACCAAGAATGTTCTTGGGAAATTAAATCTGATTTGGGTTTCAGAATATCCCTTTCCTTTATCAATCGGTTTGGTATAGAAAGCAGACCAAACTGTACAAAAGATGCTGTCATAATTTATGACTGGAAAGACGAAGTATATACTGAGATCGCTAGACTATGTGGTCGAGATTTGCCGCCAATATATAATTCCACATATAATCGCATGAAAGTAGTATTACGTACCGACGACGATATCAATTTATATGGGTTTCAAGCTATGTGGAATCCTTTATGTGGAGGAACGTATGTAGCCACAGAGAAAGAACAGTTTTTATACAGTCCTGGATATCCTTATGGCTACAGACCACATATGGATTGTACATACACAATAAAAAAATCAGTTTCAGGTCAAAAGATCTCAATCAATTTTTTGGAATTCGATGTAGAAGGTCCATATCCTAGCTGTGAGAGTGATAACGTTACAATATCATCAATCGGTGAATATGAATATTATTACGACACATATTGTGGAAAAGAAATTCCTCATTTCACTCCTAGTTACGAAGACGTAATAATAAATTTCAAAACCGATACCTTTGTTCAAAGAAAAGGTTTTAAATTATCTTTTTCGTTATTTTCTTGTGGTGGTCAAATAAGGGAACCCAAAATTCTGACGGCAGTACCCCTAGGTAATTATTATAATAATATGAATTGTACATGGCTTATTGAAGGCCCTAAAAATAAAACAGTGGCTTTAAAGTTGCGTTATGTTGATTTAGAAAATAATTACATGTGCCGCTCCGATTATCTAGCAGTATTTGATGGTTTAATAGCAACAGATGACAAACGTCTGGCATTAATCTGCGGTAGTGATAATTCTACAACTGTAATTAGAAGCACGGGCAACACCATGGTTTTACAGTTCATTACTGATGGCAGTATGGTATACAAGGGTTTCAAAGCTGACGTTTTCTTTAGTTATTCCGAATCTGTAGGTTGCGGTGGAAAAATTAATATGTTGCCTACTTCATCTTATGTTTTAAAATCTCCATTTATCAATTCGAAAAAAATTTATGAAAATTACTTAGACTGCCATTGGAAAATTTTAGCACCTGCTGATTATTCTATCAAAATTCAGTTTATGTCTTTTCATATTGCACCATGTAAAAATGAAAACCAGACCGCATTAGGTTATAAATGTGACTGTGATTTAGTAGAAATAAAAAATGGAATAAATCCTGACAGTTACACTATAGGTACTTACTGTGGCCACATATTGCCACCACCGCTTACTACGTCTAGTAACGAAATGAGCGTCAGACTTTCCACAGATGGTGAAATAGTGAGTTCTGGATTTGAAGCTACTTTAACTGTTCAACGATCACAGTGTGGTCAATCTAAATTTAACGTATCATACGAAACTACTACTATAAAGTCACCAGGGTACGATATGGGACTAATTCCAAGAGAAAGTCGATGTATTTATCACTTGATAACAGATAACAACATGAATTCCCCTATTCACATCCGTATTGTAAACCTCGATTTAAAACCTGGTACTTCAACCACAGAATGTGACAAAGATAAATTAGTATTAAGTGTTTCCAAATCTGTTCTCAATACACCCCTTGGTAAAGATTATATTATAAAAGGGAATACTGACGAATTCTACGTGAACATGGCCTCCATTGTAGATTTTAATACACCTAAACAAATAACACTTTGTGGATCTAAAAAAATGTCAGACATATATGTTAGTGGAAGTGTTACCATACACTTAGAGACATCACCTGATTACGATACTACAAAGTATCAAGGTGTATCAATGGAAGTATCTTTATGCGGTGTCTGTGGAAAAAACTATACTGAAAGGCAAGGTAGAATAAAAACGGCATACTCAAATATCGACGAAGGAAGCAAAGATTGTTATACCCTCATAACTGCACCTGAAAACTATACCATATCTCTATATTTCATATCAGTTAATCCTGATTACTGGAGCAAAGATGTCTTTTTAGATATTTATGATGGTAACAACATCACGTCTACAAAAGTAGTAAGCATTAATACTGAATACTATAATAATCCTGTATTTTCTTCAGGGAGATATCTTTTAATACATAGTCATCAATTAAACGATGCTCAAATTACTTACGATTTAAACTATGTTGTTACTAATAAAGGTCGTGGATGTGGAGGACAATTATTCAATGAACAGGGTATAATAACTAGCCCCTTGTATCCAGACATTTATCGCAAGAAAAACAAATGCGAATGGGAACTAGAAACACCTGTAGGAACGCGTCTAGCGTTGCATTTCAGCACCTTCGACTTAGGCAAAGACTGTGATAATAATTACGTGGAAATAGTAAATAAACAAGGTAACAGCATGTCAACATTCTGTTCCGAAACTCCCGCAGATTATATAAGCACCGACAACTACGTAAAGATAGTTTTCATCACAACCATGAACAATGGTGGCTCAGGATGGGTTGCAGAATTTGTTGGAATTTTATAAATTATATAGATATACCTTTTGTAAAGCAGTAGTTGGTAGACACATTAACTAACATTAAAATATACATATAGGTAGGTAATTATTCCAAAATGCAATCATTCGACTCATTTTTCAATTAAATATTTTGTAGCCTCCCCGAGAGGCACTCGACGTGGATAGCTAAAAATATCTCTCATTGCTTTCCCAGTTACATTACTAGGAACGAATAAAAAAAGCCAACGCTACGTTATACTACGATCATGCAACCAACGGTTCCCTCTAATGAAGAACTCAACCGCTGACGACATTCATTATTTACAACTTACCTTACAGGATAATATAATTTACCAACAAATTAATTAAAAATAATTGCAAATATTCAAATACGGAACTGCAATTTAAGAGATTTTTCTAATATGTTTGGATAGTTCCCGTCCATAATTATAATCTTGTTCTTAAGGAAGAAATAAAAAATTTACTATTGCCATCTATAATAGGTAATACATAAAGATGACTTCTTCCATGGAGCCTAATTGACCGGATGACCAAATGCGGAATCCTAAGATTCCTTAGGGTAACTTGCACAGCTCTACCTAATAGCAATTCTCATTGTAAAGGTAGTACTCCTCACGTTGGGACCCACCTAATGTTTGTTCCTTTTAGTATTATTTATTTATTATAAAATTAAATGTTTGTCAATGAAAAATCTGTAAGTACAGTGTTGAATTATCTAAGTTTACCTAGATACTATCTGTACATTTGCTTACATTAAAAATATGCAAGTAGCTGTACTTAAATAGTTGCCTAGTTGCGTACTTTGTTATAGATATTTATACCTAAACCTCATCCTATGTATGACAATAAAAAACATTATAAATACATAAATGTTTTTGTTTTCATCCCTCAATATATTTTAACCGTCGCTAGTTTATTTGGTCGCTCGTCCTCCTGAATAAGAGTTCCCTAGCCCTATAGCAGCAGTGCTATTCTCTAAGATCTCTCTGATCTGCTGGACTACGGTAATGCAGCTTTACTGGCGACACGGAGAACTATAGGCCGAATATATAATTCTATTACCGATAGTTTTTGACTGAAATATATTAAAAATAATATTTGCCAATTTCAATTACAATCCAAGTTATATAGTAAGATAACGGTAAGTGTCAAATAGAAAATACATAATCACATAACTATCAGTTGATGTGATTTTCAATATATTTCAGTCAAAAAGTATCGTCAACAGAATAACATAATCGACCTACTTATCTTAAGGTACTGTTTTGTTAATAGGTGATATCAATTATCACCCATAGTAAGTTCGCTTGTGCTACGGTATCGCTGGAGAGGTACCAGTGAGAGGTGATAGATAGGTGAGGATGAAAGCAGGTCAATTAGCTCACCGTGACGAATTCCACGAGAATTAATCAAGATTATTTCCAGAGAGAATCGCGTGGGAATCGACTTGATAAGGTATATTTCTAGTAATGGGGCTATTTTTTTAATGGATAAAAATAGAATGGTAATGCCGCCTGCGCTATCCGCAAACACTGGTTTCATGCTCATCCATTACCAGTTACTAGTACCCCGCTACATATAGCCATAGTACAAGCTGGATTACCATCCTATTAATATCAGTAAAACAACGTAGTGTGATCGGTATGTTGAAAAGAGCCTAGTGATTTTTAGAGTGAGTATTCGCTCTGACAAGCAGTGACGGATTTACACATTTGTCGCCAATATGCTATTTAAATTTTACCAAACGGGTTCGCCATCTCATCTTCACCCTTAATGAGTGAAAATATATTATTCCTTAAAAAGTCGAAAAAAACTTTAGTAAGGTGAAAAAGTAAGAAAGGCCTTTATCGCAGCTCAAGTTTGTAACAGCAAATAAACACAAGTGTTCGTCAGAAATATAAATAAGAAAAACAGCGAAACAAATAAAATAAAAAAAAAGAAGGGCCTTTTTCAAATAAGGGACAAAGCAAAAAGTCCAACCTTAATATAATACTTCTAATAAATACCATTTGATATAATATTATACACTAAGATTATTATATATTAAGCACATCCAGCCCCGAAGTAGAGCTTCATCATCATCATCATATCAGCCATTAACTGCTCACTGTTAAACATAAGCCTTACCTAAAAGAGGAGTTTTATCAGTAGTTGCCACGCTCGGTAGGAGAATTAGCAACCACAAATAGGGTTTGGTGATGTTGTAAGAGGGACGCTGCTGCCCATCCCTCGACCATTAAGGTCCCTTGGCCACCTCTTACGACGGGACCCACGGAAAAGGAAGGGGTGGCCCATTCTATGCCGGGACCACCCTACTATTTTTTTCGGTCTGTACTTACTGTTGGCCACAGATAGAGATGGGCAGTGGGAAAAAACCCAACGGGAATATACCCAGGTTTTTTCCCATTTGGGAAAAAACCGGGTATTTATATGGGAAAAAACCCAATAGACGGGTATTTTCATTATTTACCGTAATTATCACGATCTTAAAAAAATTTATATATTTTTTTATGTTTAAAACAAATGCAGCGAAAAATAGGTAGATTGTGATGCGTACATATTTTGTGCCAGCGTATATAAGGCACTAGCTATTGACTGTTGTTCGAAACGTCAAAATGTGTAGCCTGATTCAGAAACTAGAATAAAACCAGCAGTTTTTTGTAACAACAAAAAGACGTCTTCTTGTTTTATCATAAATTTTTTTGCGCATTGTGATGGAATGTTACTTAATTGCAGAAAGAATCTCTATTAAAGCTTTTAAGAATATTTGACCAAAAAAAAATAAAACAAAGAGAGATACTTACTAACAATTATTTATTACACTTTATAAAAGTTACAACACTTTTGTAAAGTTTTTTACAATTGAAAATTTTTAGTCACTGTCGCTACTGTCATAGTCATTAAATATATTATTAATATTACAAAATTCTATTTCTTGTGTATATCCACGAGATGTTGAAGGTTGTTCTTCATTTATTGGGCTACCCAACGGACTTGATAATTGCCTGGGCGTAGATAACGTCTCGTCATCATCGTCATTGTCATCATTTTTATGTTTGTGTAACAGGTTCCAATTATACGATATAAAAGCTATTTTTGCTGCCCTGTCTGTAGTCAATCTATTTCGTTTATGACTATGTATATGCGCATGCGTGCTAAAAGATCGTTCAGTGGCTGCTGAAGTACAGGGAGCAGTAAGAATACGTACTGCAACCCTACTAAGCAATTTGGACTTGCAGAGTCCTCTCCACCAAACTACCGGGTCAATTTCAGCGACATTCTTCCATATAAATGGTTTGCTCCATAAACCCTGTTTAGCTCTATAATTGGCTAAATCTACACCAACGTCAATATTGAGCGATTGGCTCACGTCGTGTATAAATTCCATTGCATCCACCTCGTGTTCTTCTTCTAATTCAATGCCTTGCGATCTTGGATCTAATAAATATGCAGCATAATGAATGGGTTTCAAACAGTTATCTGCTCGCCTAATTACAGCATTTGTAATATGTTGTTTATGATGCTCATTTAGAACAGATATATCTGGAAATGCAAAATTTAATGTAGACTTAATATCTTTGAAAGCCATGTAAACTTCATTTATAAGTATTTCATTGCCTTCCAGTTTGAAAATTTTGTCTGTTATAGGTTCCAGTAGCTTTATACAATTTTCTACCATGGTCCAAAAATTTAAATCCAATAAATTTGATTTTATTTCGTCTAAAATAGTGGCATCTTCGTGAACAGCTAAAGTCTGTAATGCAACTTTGGATTTTTTTAAACTTTTTAACGCAGTGCAGTAACTGCCCCAGCGGGTTTTCCCTGGCAATTTTAATGTTTCACCTGAACCTTTTTCTTTTACAATCTGAGCTAATAAAGCGCTCATACTTTGGTTTCTTTTTATTGCTTTTATCGTATCTGTGGCAATCGATATGAACGCATTAATAGGCTCTAGTTTTAAGCAATCTTCGCAAAGCAAATTCAATGTATGCGCTACACATCTCAGCGGTATTATATGTGCATATGAATTTTTAACTATCTGAAATGCTCTTTGAATATTATTTGCGTTATCTCCGATAAGAGTTACAAATTTGTGGCCTCCATACACTTTTATAACTTTGATTATTTCTTGAGATACATATTGGCTTGTATGTCGGTTTGTAAGAGTATTAAGGCTTTTAATAAAAACAGGCTCGGGTTTGCAATAATGAAGTTGATGATGCCTTCATTGCGCTGATTACTCCAGCCATCACATTGCAAATGCAAATCATTTATAGACTTCAGTTCGTCTGTAATTTCATTGACCATTTCATTATAAATAGTTTCCAAATGTGTTGTGGAGATAGCTTTTCTAGATGGTAACTTATAAAGTGGTTGCAAATCGTCAAAAAATCGTACCCACAGCGGATGTTCAACGATGGATAAAGGAGAACCGCTAACAAATATTGCCTTCGATAAGAGCTGATCTAGATAAAGTTTTCTTTCTGTTGAAATTTCTGATGAAGTCGTAATAATAGAAATTGTATCCGTCAAACTTTTATCCTGTGACAATTCATGATGTGATTCCTCTTGCAAGGGCAGATTTGTGGCAGTTGTGCTAGTAACAGGTATTTTCTGTAGTTTGTTTTTGATAACAGTTGGACATCTATAACATTTCAACAGATGGCTGGTCATCTTGCTAACATTGCCGAATTGGTAAACTTTATCACAGTGTTTGCATTTTACTGTTTTACTGGTTGCCGAATGAAAATAGTTTTCCCATACATCAGTATTTTTCTTTCTGGGCATGATGTGATCTAAGGAAAAAAAAATGTAAAAACAGTAGAAATGCATAGAGTTGTTCTAAAGTATTGTATATTTACAGAGTAGGTGAACATTCGGAACTAATATGAAATAAATATAAATGGCCAAAAGAAGGAATTTATATTTTGCCCAATTTGCCTAAAACGCCCGAGCGTTTGGCCATTTCTATACATGACTCATTTCTACTTTTGTAAAATATTTATTTCCTACAGTAAATAAACTTGGAAAATCAAAATATATCAATTTCAATGAATAAAAGTACAAGGTTTGCAAGGAATCCACAAATATAGTACCTAAAACTTTTATAGTCTAATATAACAATTATTAAAGCTTAAACTTACCGGTAAATTACCGTTCATAAAAAGAAGTAGGTATCGAAGTCCGTAAGAGTAGCAGTAGTTGTCAATACAAAGGAAAAAACGTATTTAATCACTAGGAAATCAAAAGTCCACAAAACAAAATCCAAGTCGTCAATTAAACCAACAAATTAAAGCAAGTGCGAACAGTACGAAGCCAAAACAACGTGTGAGATAGACAGATACGCGTACGCCACTGCTATTACCTGCTACCCCGCCCCCCTACCCGCATACGTAGTTTCGGGTTACTTGTCGCTACACACAAACAGAAAGGTTTTTTATTTAATTTCATTTAATTTAATTAGATAGCATGGAGTACATGTATATAAAGTATTTATTGAATTATGAAAGTAAACAAAGTTAGATTAGCTCTAACTAGTACTAATAGTACTTAAATAGTATGTATCATTTGACATATACATGTATCTACACATTACCTAGATGTTACATATGCTAAATATGAAAAAACCCGAATATTTTCCCATTCGGGAATTTTCCCCGGGTTTTTTCCCTATTTTTTCCCACATTGGGGTTTTTTCCGGGTAAAATCCCATCTCTAGCCACAGATACCCTTTAGAACTTCACTGAGCGCGTACAGGGTCGTGTGCAGAAGGCACTCCAAAGCCACGAGAGGGGAACAACGAAGTGTCGAGTCTTACCAATGGATAAAGTTGAGTTTGTATGTACTAAATACTAAACAACTGATAGACAAATACTTTTTATATACATACCTAGGTATATGTTATAAACATAATAAAAAATAGAAAATGGTAATACAAAATATTATAATGTGCAGAGATAAAAGACATATACGTCGGACGGTGAGAGACTAGTGCATAGAAAATGTTATACGGCCGTATAATCTTACCAAATTCAAATACAACCTGCTTGCATACTTTCTACCTTAACTGTATCGAATATATAATCTAGTAATGTAAAATTTGTTATTGTCAAATAATTAACATATCAAACATTTACTGTCTTTCATTCATTTCTAGCTTACTATGAATCGAGAGAAAAAGTAATTGGTATTATATCTCACGTCCTCTTTTTGCTAATAATATTAGCATAAAAAGAAAAGAGGCAACCATATGATTTACTGTTTATATTTTATCATTATTTCTATGTAATTTCTTGTTCTTAGGTAGGAACATACTCAGAAATCTTTGACGTTCAGTCAGTAAAAATGACCCGTGGTATTAGTGTCAGTCAAAGAAGTCATTCATTCATACAACTTATTGTCAACATCTATCAAAGTGCCAACTGTCATTTAAATTTATAAAAATTATACTCTTTATTTTGTATTTGTTTAATTGTTTATAAGTTAGGAGTCATATGTAATTAATGCAATTTCGGTAAACATAAAAGTTTTAAACTATTTAAACAATGGACTTACTTTTAGTACTATGGAATTTTCTCATTTACAGTTCTGTTGCAGCCGCAGCCGTGCTTGTATTAGTAAGTTTTCCACATTAAAAACTACACGTCAGCATTATCGGATTAAAATACATTTGCAATTAAATATTACTTATATACCAACAAACTATTTGGTTTTATCATTCTGTAAATAATCCAGAAATAAATTATGCTCTATGCTACTTTGTGTCTTCTTATGGGTCCGCCGGTTTTTAACGAACAAAAAATATTTCTATGTATCTGCATTTATCTAGTATAAGAGCTCTCTTAATAGATTAACAGTATTTCAATGTTATAAATAGTTGTCCTGTTTTCTATTAGTATATACCTAATATATTATGAATATTATTATTATTATATATATTGTAAAATACATACCGTTCATAATAAAAAATATATAATAATAGTAAATCCTTTATCAGAATCATTTACGTGGTTTAGAAGAAATAAACAGTGAAACCAATATTAGTCAATATTGTTTTATACTATGTAGAATTTCTAGAGATATTTTGTATGCAAAAACTGCAAAATAGTTTAATGGAGCTATGAATGTTTTTTATGTATATATTATTTAAATGATAGTATAAATTTCTTTACCAATAATACTGACAAATAATGAAATTATGTATTATTAGTTTTTAATTAAATTTGTTCTCTTTTTAGTTGACTTTCACACTGTATATAACAACAAAACCATACCCAATAGTTGAGAAGTACACTGAAGAAGAAACATTCCTGGATAGCAAAAAAAATGAAAGATTAAAATTTCCCAGTATCACTGAACCTTGCAGTGTGAATTTGAGTGTTGTTGTACCTGCATACAATGAAGAGGATAGATGTAAGTTTCTTTACTGTAATATATGTATATGTTCTGTTATCAAAATCATATATTTAAAACTATTACATGATATGTAAAGCCATAAATAAAACTCGAGATCAAAATTGTAAACAAAAGGTTGCCATGACAAAAAAGTAATAAATTGCACACATAGTTTGTTGAAAAGTAGAATAAGTATACCTAAAATTCATTATTCAAATATCATTTTTATAATGAATTTTAAGTTCAACAATTATAAAAGTAATAAATTAACATAAACAGTAAATTTATAAAGGTTTACTTATGTGTAAAACTTTATCAACATTCATACTATAATCATCACCATCATCGTATTAGTCATTATCTGTTCACTGCTGAAGATAGGCCTTCCCTATAGGCAGTTTATCATTAGAAGATTTTTGCCAATAGTTGCCATGCTTGGCAGACGAATTGGCAACCGCAGTTAGGCTTTAGTGATGTTTAATGATAGACACTACTGCTCAACAATTGAGTTCCTTTAGTCACCTCTTACTACAACAATGGAAAGGAATTGATAGCCCATTCTATGTCAAGACCAAATGGTCATTTGTTTCATACTATAGTGATTCTAAATTCAAAACCATAACTATTTTCAGCTTACTTTTTTTTTATTTATTATCACAAAAATACAGAGTCACAGAAATTATGTTACATTAGCATTCAGAAACCACGTAGGTAAAGCAACACAACACTTAAACAACTATATATAGTCATAATAAGTGTTGCATTAAAACTTACAGTGCCACCAATGCTTGATGAAACCATAGAGTTCCTTGAACAGAGGCTGAAAGAATATCCCTCATACAAGTATGAGATAATAGTTGTCAGTGATGGAAGCAGAGATAAAACAGTAACAGTGGCTCAATCTTATGCAGAAAAGTTGGGGACTGACAAACTTCGGTGTTTAGAACTCATCAAAAATAGGGGGAAAGGTGGTGCAGTACGGTTGGTAAGTAAAGGCTTATATCAGAATTTTATTAATAAATTTAATTTCATTTATGAAATCTTATTACAAAAATTCAGTAGATACTGAGTATGTAATGGTAATGCATTATGTTTTGCATTAACATATAAATGCAATTCCTTGTGTAATTCAGTGTAATATAGTAAAAAAAATTTAATTAGACACATTGAAATAAAATGGAAATTCTTAATAAATTTTGAAATTAATAAATAGATAAATAAAATTCAGTACTTGTTTTTTATACATAGTTTTCTTACTGGTTCATAAAATATGTTTATAATTTATGTTTATACTTTTTTCTGTGTTCTAAATATGTACAGAAACATGAGCACAACAATATAAACTTAATTTGCGTCAGTTTCCAGGCATTCATATATCTCATTAAAATTAATGCAAATAATCTCATAAAATGATATTAGCTTCTTTTAATACAGAAACATAATTGAAAATCAACATATATAGGGTAGAAGGGTCAGATGAGCCAAAACAAAAACAGCTGATTCAGATGAATAGTCTGTTTCAGATGGCAGATTATTTTCCCACGGGAAAAACCACAGCCATATTATTAACGATTCTTAGTTTTGACGCCACACAATGTATTTTAAATTTTCGACGTACTATGTTCCACGCGACGCGAGATATCTACAGCGCGCAGTAAATGGCGCTTTTTTGTAGGTAGTGCATTGCGATAGGATTTTAATACATTGCATAGTATTTCACTGTATATATCATAGATTACATGATTTTAAATTAAAAAAAAAAATCCGGAAAGTATTTTCATTGGTTTTCAGTTCAGTAAAATGGTCTGAATTCACTGTTTCAGTTTTTGCCAACCTATCCCTTATACCCTGTATATGACTATGTATAATTTAGGTAGGTATATAATATTTTTTCAGGGAGTACAAAGTTGCAGAGGAGCATTAATTTTATTTGCTGATGCAGATGGCGCTTCAAAGTTTGAGGATTTAACAAAACTGGAAGCTGCTCTAAAGAGTATTGCTAAATATGACCCTATTACACAGCCAGCTGAAATAAGCAACTGTGACATATTAGTCATTGGATCCAGAGCACATTTAGAAAAGGAATCTCTAGCTAAGAGAAGTGTTTTCAGGTATATGTAGAGCCGAAAAAATGCTCATTAAGACTTTCTTATAGGAACCAAAATTAGTCACTTTTAAAAGTCACATTTATGTCTGTATGTATATGTGACCATCACAGAAAAAAAATTAAACAAATTCCTACTAATTTTTAATATCTAGCAGCCCAAATAAAATATTGAAATGTTTTATCAGAATCGGTCTATTAAATTACCTCCATTATATAAACTTGGAAGATGACAATTTTTGTTTATTTAATGGTTGTATCTAAGAGAACAAGTAGTTATGTAGTAACCAGTAGGTGAGACTTCTTCACATGTAGATGTACTCTAAGAGCTAGTTTTTTCATAAACATACAATGTACTCAATTCTGAGGCTGCATTTCTCTTAATATTATAATAATTTCACAGAATGTTTTGTGGATCATCAATAACTAAATTTATAATAATTTTGTCTTAAATGTATTAGAAATTTAGTTCATATTGGTCATTAGAATAAAGTTTTCATTGTAATATCAAATTTAAATTTAAGAGTATTAATGACTCAGAAGCAACGCCAATACTGTGCGGAATACAGTCAGATTATTAATGAAAAATCTAGAAGTATATATCATCATAACTAATTGCAGCGTATGTGTTTCTCTATTGTGATTGGAGCTATTTTTATCAAAGCTATTGTAAAGAGTAAAATCTATAAACGTATTTTATATTTTGTTTTCCAGAAACATTTTGATGTATGGCTTTCACTTCCTTGTGTGGCTGTTTACTGTAAAAGGCATCAAAGACACACAGTGCGGGTTCAAATTGTTCACCAGAAAGTCTGCAAATGCTTGCTTTGAAAGTTTGCATGTCAATCGATGGTAATTTTTCACTGAAGTATTTCCTATTTTTTTTATTTATTAATTAAAATATATTAATTAAAATAATAACAGTAATAGCATTTATACTGTATATAACGCCATTATTCACATAACTTCTTTTTTTGGTGTAAAAATATTATTAACACTATTATATCTATACTTATAATAAATCTGTAGAGAGGTTAATTCTGTACATGAAATATATTCCCAAAATAACTATCAGGGGGTGATTAGTGATCGATACTGATGCCAAAAATGCAAACAGTAAAATTGTTGTCTGTCTGTCTGTTTGTTTGTATGTTCGTTATAGAAACAAAAACAACTAGACGGATTTTAACGAAACTTGGTACAATTATTCTTCATACTCCTGGGCAGGTTATAATATACTTTTCATCACGCTACGATAAATAGGAGCAGAGCCGGGAACGGAAATTTTAAAAATGTCTACCCGTGCGACGCCGGGACGGGACGCTAGTTCATTAATAATAACAATATCAGTCAATAATAATATTATTTCAGGGCTTTTGATGTAGAAATACTGTACATAGCAAGAAAACTAAACATTCCCATCGCTGAGATTCCTGTACGGTGGACAGAGATTGATGGATCAAAAGTGACTCCGGTACTGTCATGGATACAGATGGGCGTTGATTTAGGTCTCATATGGTTGAAATACACGATTGGCGCTTGGAAAATAAAGAGTGAAAAAGTAGAATAAGACAATTTATTGAGCTAAGTGGCCTGTCAGCCTTAAATGTTGCGCAAAATATCGTACATAGGTATACATAATTATATTTATAAATATTTTAAAAGCATTTTCATTCAATAAATATACAGCCAATGTTATGTTGAGTATCTGAAATAAAAAAAGTAGCCTATGTCCTTCTCTATCAGAATAGTAAGTATATAGAGGATTTAGTCCCGAATAGTAAGTATATATAAAATTTTGCAGTTGCCATGCTTGGCAGGTGAATTGGCAACCGCAGTTAGGCTTTGGTAACTTCTAGGAGGGATACTGCCATCCCTCGACCATTAAATTCCCTTAATAGCCTGTTACAGGAAAAGGAAGGGATAAATTCTATGTCAGGACTGTATGGCATTATAATATTTATATGTGTATATTTATTCTCGAGGTGGCGTTATCTTCTAGTTAACTTTATGCAGGTATTAGAATTCACCTATGCGGGTAACAAACACGGTACTAAAACTTACCAATATAATGACATATGTAATCAAATAATGATATTTATTGACAATTTATTATTATTTGAAATATCTCTTGCTATAAAATAATGTGTCCCTTTTAAAATACCACCCAAAGGCTAACTGTGGTTACCAACCCATCTGCCAAACTTGGCAACTACTGGCAAAACTCCTCTTATAGGGGGGGAGGGACGTTTATGTGCAGTAAGCAGCTGATATGATGTAATATTTTTCTTTTTTATTATAAGTTTTTGAACCGTAATAATAAAGGCTAATTTTTATTTTTAACAGTACATATTGTAAATCTAAAAAGACAAAATTCTAACTGAGCGATTGGGATAGAATACTATGTAGGCACGGTAAATGAAACGAAATAGATGCGACATAAGAATATGTATTAAATATAAAAGTTTATAATAAATCAGTACAAAATTGTATATTAAATCATGTACATACTAAATACATATATTATTAAATTAGAGAAACTATCGTGAATAAGCTTTGTTTACGGAAAGGCTGAGTTTTAAGCTGGATGTAACGCACTTCGCAGATTGTAGCTAGAAACTAGAATAGTTCACACATGTCTTACAAATAATGTATACTTAAGAGAGGCATTGTTAGTAACAGATCTGCTGTCAATATAACTTTTTTTTTTATACAACTTAGAATGTCAAACAAGCTGACGGCCCACCTGATGGAAAGTGGTAACCGTCGCCTAAAGACATGAACAGTACCATGGACATAACAGAGTATACTGTTTCGTCCATGATACCCCCCATGCGTTGCCATCCTGAGGACTCAGGTGTTATTCCTCTGTTCCCTGGAAACTATCATAAATCATCATAATTATATCATTCGTTATCTGTCCACTACTGAACATAGGCCCCCACCATATACAGCCATAAGGAACGGTTCTGAGCCACCTGCATCCGCATAAATCATCACGAAGACCTAATTAAACTAATTTCAATTCCCACTTATCGTCTCTAAATAAAACACCGTCTGCAAAAACAAATTACAATTATACAAAGATACCATTCCAATTTTAGTCATTAAAACAGCAATTTATTGTCTCGTTGACTCTCACAATTTCATATTAACATAAGACAGCGCCATCTAGTTTCAAACAAAGCAAATTTTGTAATATCCAAATAACTTTTGTAAGAGACTTCAAAGAAGAGATTCTTAATTCGAATATATTTTTGTGTATTTCATTTAATTATATGTAAGTATATTATTACATAATAAACGCCTATAACGATTATAATAAATATATTCAAGTATACAAATATATTGTTTAAGAATCGAACCAAGAGCTATCGAAAGTTGAAAAAATCCGCTTTACCCCTCGAATACTCCATAGATACTTATATTTAGATTAATCCCATAAAACGCTTAACTGTGTCTATTCGTAAACGAAGCTTTAGTAGCTAGAAATCAAAAAGTTAAATGCGTATTTCTTATAGGTATAATAACTACAACTAGTCAATTGCCAACTGAAAATATAATGAATGATAAATAATGATTTATACAAGGAAAGTACTTGACAGATCTTAAAAACTTTGTAAATCAATAATATTGTTCAGTTAATTTTTTTTTTTTTTTAGTAGTAGAATCTTTTTTTATAAGAATATCTAAACACGACTTCTTTCTTCTATAGTAGAAAATGTACAAACATTCTATAGTAGAAATTTTACAAATAAACAACTACGAAACGTTCATTACGTTGAGCAGTTGTAGATATACATAGAAGTATGAAGAACTAGTTAAGAAAATTTGGCAAAATGAGCTGATTCATGAGCTGTTTTTACCCAACTGCTAAAGTTGAATAATAATTTCACGTGGCATCATGTATAATAATAATAATAATAAACTCTTTATTGCGCACAGTAGAGATGTATACAAGGAGTATTTATACAGAATGTGCATATACAAAAGGCGGCCTTATCGCTAAAAGCAATCTCTTACAGACAACCTGGCATAAAGAATGGATGTATACAGGAATTATAGAACTTTTTTTTTCTACCAGTTAAACTGGACATTTCCCCCAAAGAAACATGGACTGAAAAACAGCTAACCAGTGACAGCTGGATACGCTGTGTAGAAACATGCTGATAATACCGTTTTCACCTGTATGAGATGTACTTATTTTGGCGCACCGTGGCAACTTGTTGAATTACTATATGGTGTTGTATGGTGATTTATATTAAATGTGAGAGTGCTATAAGCTACATAGTTAACGATCGTGTAAAATATTATGTACAGAAATGTAGCAACGTCTGAATCATATTTATTATTATATACTGCCGACGTTGCCACACTTTATGAAAATTCTTAAACGGTACGGTACACACTTATTGTGCGTAGTTCTACAAATTTGAAGCAAAGGACCTTCGTTTGATCCTTCGAAGAGGCGTGATCTGGCTTTCTACCATGAAATGAAATTCCGATTTTTCGGACTCAATTTCGCGTTTTTGTTCAGACCAAAATAGGTGCAGCAGTTTGTTCATCATAAATCCTATCATAAAAGTCTAAAGGAACGATATTTTAATATATTTAAACGGTATGTATTATGTAATTTTAATTTCGGCTTCAAAATTTCGGAAACCATTTCATGGTAGGCCCTCAGGTTTATTTATTCATTGCATTCAATTAGGTAGTTGGTAAATATTGAAACAATTCTAATTACGGACTCTGTTGGATACAGCGAGTAGGAGAGAGAAGGACAACCTTTGTTAAATGAATTTAAAACAATATTATTCATTCTATAAATTCTTTCATAATAAGTATGTATTTTCTATATTTATTATAAATAAAAATTATTAGGTTGTCTCGTTTGCGTTATTGTTGGAGCTTATCGCTATAAATCTATCGTTCAACGTTAAATGTATACGTAACTATATCAATTTTCAATTAAACTTATCTAAGAATGTATACTTAATACATTCCTTCTTTTAACCTAAAATGAGGGTCATAACCTGTCAATGCATGCGAAAATTATTTTACTGTTTTACAGTAATTAGTATATAAAAGGCCAGGGTTTTATGACTTTGTCACATCCACTTATTATGTATCATAGTAGAAACTACGTTTATGTAAAATACTTAGCAACGAATCATTCTACATATAAACTATATGTACCTCTACTTTGGCGCTTCTTTAACAAATGTGCTATTAAGACGAGTCGAGTCGTTGATGCAAATTTTTACTTTTCATCTGAGACAGTTTCATCAGTTTCAGATTTGCGACAACAAAAAAAATAATACAATTAATATCTTTACTTATAGTTTAGCTACAAGGGTTACATTGTCAAATTTTATACGGAACCCTATTATCTAATATTACTGCGTCGTCAATATATAGTACCTAAAACAAAATTTCTCCATTATAACATTAATAAAAAAAAATAGTTGGTCCCTATGAAACAAAAATATTAGGTTAAAATAACAAATACACATTATATTTTGATGTATTAAATAATAACTACCGGTTTAACTTACATATAATTTGGTCAAGAAAGCTCGACTAGTTTCAGGACTATTCGGGACCCTTAATCTAGAGCGGCTATAACGCCATCCAAATAAATATGAGCCTGACTAACTAAATTACATGGAAGTCAAACCGATAGATATTAATTTAAAACAACAATATGTACATAGTATTTATGTCAAATATAGGGAGAAATCGTACTTGTTGTTGTAATATAAATTAATTACAAATAAAATTACATAAACCACGCACTATGTAAGCAACTTAGATAATATCGTGATCTAGTAAGATACACCATTTTTTATTCAAACTTTATCGATATAGATTTTTACGAGTAATTTCATCAGGTGACTAAAGTACAGAAATATATAAGAAAATCCAAAGATTCTAAGGAGTGATGGTTTGTGCTGGGAGTGATACGTATTTCAGGGGGGAAGGGGGGAGATTATACTTATGTATGCAGAACTACCACTGTTTTACATACTTTTTTAAAACACAATCCCCATATAAATATTATCTTTAGATATTTCTATCAGGTTTTCTATATTTATCAGATTTCAAAATATTAAAGGAATACGTAACACAAGTTACAAATACTATACACAATTATTGACCCCTATATCAGTATATTATATATTGAAGAAATTCATATATTGTAGGTACTATATACTACATAACTCAGCTACACACTATACAGAAATTTATATAAAAATATATATATATTCATACTTAAAAACATATCTTTTAAAGCCCGCAGAGAAAGTGACATAGTTTATCTTTTTTATTGTTTTAGACTTTTTCTCGGATTTTTAAATCCTTAGAAAGTGTATGTACATAACATTCTCCATTACTAACTACATTCTAAATTCTTTGCTTACCCCGTAAGGGAGCTGGCGTGAAGATTTTTTTTATACATAACTTAGAATGGCAAACAAGCCAACGGCCCACCCGATGGAAAGTGGCAACCGTCGCCCATAGACACAAGCAGCACCATGGACACAACAGAGCATACTGTTTCGCCCATGATACCCCTTATGCGTTGCCATTCCTTGAAGACTCGGGTGTTATTCCTTTGTACCTAGTAACAACGTATAACTAACGAAAAGGACGAAATAACCTAAAATCCAGTAATAGTATTCTTAAAAATTTTCTTCAAAAGACATATTGATTTCACAATATCTACTAATATTAATAAAACTGACAGCGCTGACTATTGCTGGATTTCCAATTTTTATACCCTTTCCGCTATAGCTTGTATAGTATAGATGTAAAATTCTTTTCGAACTTTTCTCTTATTTTGCATGCTTTAAATAGCTAGTTAAAGTTGTTCACTAAGGCAAAAGTTATAATTAAGAGCCGAATTAGAGTGAAAGCGACGTGAAATATTCAATACAATCCCATGCATTACCCATCGGTACTTGAAACTACAGATAGTGTGATCATACCACTAAGCTGTAAGGATTAGCACTCACTGACAAAAAAATATTTATGGTTTACATTGACATTAATCTTTAGTCGATTTCATAACCAAACGCCAGTCTGTAGTATGCTGTAACTAACTCGAATAAAATTTAGCTCATCATCTTATTAACGACAGAGGTTGCCAAGTTTCAGTTCACATCACAAAGCACTTACGAATTTTGTATTTCACCATCGTTTACAAAGCCATTGTCAAAACAAATTACGTCACGGACTACTTTGAGAACCTCTGCTATACCTAGTGTACTATGTATGCTATGCTGTATATATTATTATGTACCATGCTGTTCTGCTAGTGAGTGCTAATCCTAAAACAGATTTACACTGGAATGTACAGTCGGCGGCAAACAACTTGAACAAAAAAAAGCATGCTCATGTTACTTGCCGGTATCTATAAACAGTTTGGTATATCGCATCGTTGGTGGGAAGAGCTATAACAACATAATATCTAATTATAATGCGGGTAAGTACAGTACACAAATATGATAATGGTATCGAAAATAAAATATTCCACTGTCAAATATGTACAATCATATTCATATTTTATACTAAATGCAAGAGAATAGTTAGACATTAATTAGACTATTTCTAAACTGTACAAAATATTGTAAAATTAAATATTAAAAGTCTAAAATCCATACTAATATTTCAAATTTAAGGTGTTAAGGATGAAGAAAAGGACATAGACTTGTTTTATATCCAGTCACGCGAACGAATGATGAAAAGCCATTAGCTTCATAAAGGAATAAATTCATTTAGCTATGATTATATATATATATTTGACAGTGTTATATATATTTGTAGTATGTATGACGTTTAATAATAAATAAATATTACATACATATATTACCCAGACCTCTGTAGAACTGTGAGCATGGCAACTGGCGGGTCTACGGCCAACACTGGACGGAAGAGAAATTACCTAGTTAGTGCGCCGACAAAGCCGGTGAATACGAAATACAAATAGACAATTAGAAAACTCCACATTATCATTGGCATTTAATTTGAATAGAAAAAGGTCTTTTCATTTAAATTAATATTAACATATAAAAGGATAATAGAAAAATTCCGTACAATAATAAATTGAAATGAAAATTCGTTTTCGAAATAACAATATCTGTTTTAATTGAAAAAAAAAATATAATCAAAATTAATAATTTATTATTTCAAAAACAGAATTTTCGCAGTGGAATATTATTTCTTATAACAATAACAAATAGGAAATAAAGCAAAATAATCATACAATAGATGGGGAGAGCCAATTTATCGATCATAACTATTAGATACAAATACCCCATTCATTAGAGAAATAACATTTATTTATAGTTTAATCCATATACATATATTATCAAAATATAAGAAAGCTACGATTAATACCATTCCAGAACAATAAGAGTATAAATTATTTGATTTGTTTGTTTTACAAACAGACCAAAATCCTTTAAATGTAAATATTATTTGCTTAATATTACTTAGCCAATATAATTATGTATAGGTACTAAAATATAATAGCATATTTTGTGCTAACTGTAAAGTTATTGTAACATTCCAATTATATGTTATATTAAGTTGTAAAGGGTACACCAATGTAAAATTTAACAATAGTATTCTATTAACTGAAAATCTTCTCCAAGGATATAAATCAACATGAAATATATCTAAGCTGTTAAAAAACAATATATATGTTGGTAAAAACCATATAAATGGTTCTTAAAACAAAACAGAATGCGACTAGGTATTTTCCTTGGAGCAAGTTATATACTCCTGGTATCCAAAAAGAGGGGCCATAAATGCAAAATGAAGTTACCTGCCTACTTTTAAAGAGAATAACAATTTATAATTAATTTATATACGTAATAATAACGAAAAAACTAAGATCATAAGAATAAAATTACATACAAAATTTGAAAAATTTTGCATTTTATAATAACGTTGCATTTTTTGCATATTGTATTCAGTATTTCTTTTTTTATATATATATATATATATAATAGATAATTCAAATACGATGTTACAAAATGAGAGTATAGTACCTAACTAAATATTAACATTCAGATATTAATATAAAATGTTCTTAATAATATTAACGAGAAACAGTTGCGCTCCCAATTATACCTTTAATCCAAAGACCATTTTGAGGAATTGCTCGTAATGTATTGTAATAACGCCATCTTGATCCGTGTCATACTGGCGAAATGCTGAAGTTAATGTCTGAAAATATAAATAATGAATTTTTTTTAATATTTAAAAATAACTATACAAAAACAGGTAATAAGTATAAATATTTGGAGGAAAGCCTTTGTTAATAATGAGGTCTAAAAGCCCCATTGCTAACAATATACCCTATCAGGTCGACCTCCATGCAGTTCCCCTTGGAAATCCTCATGGTTAATTCTTGTCGAATTCGTCATGATGGGCCAACTGACCTGCATTCATTCTCACCTATCATCCCTCACTAGTGCCTCGTCAGCGCATTAGCCCATTAGCACAGGCGGGGTTCAATTCCATTAAAAAAAAATGTATATATATATGGATATGATAATAAAAAATATAATCTATTTTCATAATAAAATTGTAATAACAAAATCAACTAAAGAGAAAATAGTGTAAATATATTTGAAAATATTTTAAAATGTTAAATCTAACCCTCGAGCCTGTTAGCTATTCGAACCCAATATTTCTTTTATCTGAGTCGAAAATATTTCCAATTATAGTAATATAAATAAGTACGAGTAGTATTTCTCCACCACGTTTTCAAATTACGCTTAACTTAGACGTCATGTACCAATGTAAATGACTGGTACTTACATACAACGTAACACAGCATTGGATAAAATCGTCGAACAGTATGGTTCCGCGGCCAAACCTGTCAAATTTCTGAACCATAATGCCGACCACTTCATCGGACAATCTGTAGCCAAACGCCGTCAAGGCATTCTTCAATTCTTGCCTGTCGATGTTTCCAGAATTGTCCCTGTCGAATGATCTGAAGCAGTTTTGCCATTCACTGACATATTTCCAGAGTGCACCAAAATCTTCAAATGATATTACGCCTCTGCTTTGTTTGTCAAACATACCTGCATCACAAAAAAAATCTTTAGACGCAATAAATTAATATTTTCTCTGCTATATTTATATTCTGTTGAAAGGCAACTACATACAATTGCATTGCGAATGTTGAGTGGGAATGTGGTGTAACAAGAATGGATAAGATCAAGAATGAGAATGTAAGAGGAAATTTGGTACAGACATGTGATACGCAGGAAAAAAGGGAAAGTGTTAAGAAAGGTATTACTGTAATGGTATTACTGTATGTGTCAAGTAAGGATCGTAGATGGTTATAAATAAAAAGACCCAGAAAGAAATGGATAGATTGTGTGAAAAATGACAAAGCCAGAAAAGAAATGAATAGCGAGATGACTACAAATAGATGTGAATGAAAGAAAAAAAAACATAGTATGCCGACCCCAAATACATATGGAAAAAGGTTAGGAAGAAGTCTCCTTTTTCAATGAAAGTTTATTTACAAATAAACATAAAAAAAAATCAAATAAAACATTTCCAAAGGTCTTATTATGTCATACCTATCATGAGCCTCACAGTTTCTGGATTGAATGGGTTCCATGTGCCATTTGATAAAGCTTGTTGAAGTTCATCAGCCGAAATATATCCACTGCGGTCTTTGTCAACTCTATAAATAAAAATTAAAACAATTAAATATAATTGACCTTTCTATAAACCCTATAGAATAGAATGCGGTGAGTATTTTTTTAATCCTAACAGCAAATTTTGGGTGTTTTCAGCTAATGATGTCTCTGACAAACTGATTTAACAAACTTTTTATAGAGATATCCATCCCCTATGAAGCTGGCATACCCATTGTCACCCATGAGTCAATAAAATTATAATATACTAGCGGCCCGCCCCGGCTTCGCACAGGTGCAATGCTGATACTAAAAATACCTACCTACTACAGAATGTCCTTATAAACAACGTTTACAGTTTTTTTGTCATTAGACAATACAAACATAATAAAGTGCTAACTGATACAACGACAACGATATATAGCAACTATTGTTACACATAGGCATATCAAAAATTACTTCATGTTATTATGACGTCATACTTAACAAGCATTGCTAATAATTGCGCAATAAAACAGGTCGTGGAAGCTCATGGTCATATATACTTGAATTAAATTTGGTATTAACAAAACTATTCAATATTAAATGTTAAAAGACATTAGAAATACTTCTATATTTCCTGTCATTAGGTAGATACATTATAAATATGTTTTGATTTTCCGCATTTGTATGTTTGTTACACAAAACTAAATTAATAAATAAATGGCTGAACAGAAATCAATGAAATTTACTACACACAGTTATATATTTATTTACGCAAAGATGCGGGAAACAGCTAGTATTTGCATACCTACATAATAACCATTTTACAGTTATAAATACCATGAAAATTCTAGTACAGTTTATTAATTTCTATGAATTGGTTATCCCTATACTGATTCAGGAATTTTACCTTATTAAATAATACATAAATATTTAAAAAAAAAGAATCTTATCTCTCTTTTATCATCATTATCATATCAGCTTTGAATTGTCCACTGCTGAACATAAACCTCCTACTTGAGAGGTTTTGTCAATAGTCGCCACGCTTGACAGGTGGATTGGCAATCGCAGGTTAGGCTTTAGAGATGTTTTAAGAGGGATGCTGCGGCCCATCCCTCTCCCTCCCTTAGTCATCTCTTACGACACCCATGGGAATGAAAGTGGTGGTCTATTCTATGCCGGGACCACACGGCTAACTATAGTCTTTTATATCCATATAAATCTAAATATATAAAACAAAGTTGGATTAGTTACACCTTTATAATTCAAGAATGACTGATTTTTGTTTGACTTGAAAAATTGGTAGAGAATGCCTATAGCATTAAGTACACATTTTGTACAAAATTTCATTGGTCAATAAAGTTTAAATAAATACATAAACAGCCGGACCGATTTTAATGATGTCTGATTTGTTAGATTCGTCTCCGCTCCGAATAGCAGAATAACTATTAATACATTGAAAAAATTAAAAAAAAATTTAACACGATAACAGCTAACAGGATATTAATTGACTGTTATGTCGTAGGAATTTACTACTATAATTATAACTAAATAATTCTACTTACTAATCATTTAAGCACAAGGCAATTTTTGCAGTAGGAGCATGCATTATGCTCTGAACAATACCCACATCAAATTTATTTATGTAATATAAAATAATTGTGTACTCTTGTGTAAATTTAAAATATAATACATAGACTTGAAAAGTCATTTCTGAATTTTTTAAGTGTTTTTTTCAGCAAATAACAATACTATAGTGACAGGATCATAAAGAAGTGACAATTTAAAAGAGCTTGTAAACAAGTCTATACAAAGTGAAACCATTGAAATTATGTAAAACTACGAATCTACCCATGCTATAATTTTATACATTAATATAAGTTTTGTGAGTAAAAAATAACAACTAAATATTATCAATCAATATTACCAAAGAATCATGGGTCGTAAAATAATAAAAAAATATTATTATTTTACGACCCATGATTCTATGGTGGAACTGGTTAGTTTCACTAGTCAAACACTCCCTTCAAAGAATGATAATGATTTTGACTTCATTCCATTAAGATTAGAAAAATCTATTCTGTTAGTTTATATCATCACATCAGCCATTAACTATCCACTGTTGAACATAGGCCTCCCCCATGACAAGAGGGTTGGCAACTACAGTTAGGCTTATAGTTATTTTTAAGAGGGATGCTGCTGCCTATCCTTCAACCATTAAATTCCCTTAGTCACCTCTTATGACACCAATGGGTAAGGAAGAGGTGGCACATTTATTCAATATATATACATACATACAATTATTTACTCATTAATACATTTTATTCATACACTTAGTGACACTTCACATTTTCTTTTTTTACAACACCTCACTCTACAAATTGTTGGTGCAAACCAATTGTAATACCCACTTGTAATCTGTTCATGTATAACTATTACTGCCATAACATGAACTTAAATATCCTAGGCCAATAACATAATAACATCCTTAAACTTAATAATATATCAATAATTAAAATATGACATATTCTATACCAGGGCAACACAGCAAATTAGTTTATATACAATTAGACAATGAGAGTTTGATGAACTGATTAGATTTGTCATATCTGACCATCTTTTTTATTCATCCAGTAGTGTCCTTTAAATTTTAAAATAAAATTTTGCTTTAAGGGGATGCAAATAATATACTGCACAGTACAAGGCATATACATACAGAGCTGTGCAAAATAAATGCTTGGCTTTAAATAGAATACAAATTACAAAATATAGTCAGGTATTATGAATTGATTTTATTTATTAATGTACTGTATTATAGGTTCTAGAACCATTTCTTGTTTGCTTTATTGTGACTTACTATACACACTCTTGTTATTTATGGAAAATTTAAAATAAAATAATACTATTTAGAACTATTATTTTCATATTATGTGTGAATATCTAATGTTCACATATGAAATAGACCAAACAAGAGGTACATATTTTGAAGTACAGGCATCAACAGATAGCTACTATTAAATAAAATTTTATTTATATTTCATTGAAAATAAAAGAATAAAAATTGCTTTACCTTCTGAAAATATCCATCAAAAAGTCTCTACTGGGCATAGGTGATTGGAAGGCCATTGTCTGCAAACGATAATTAAAATAATATGTTGTTGTAACAATATTTCCTATTGTTTACAAAAGTTCTATGCCAAAACTCTTGAAACATATCAGTTTACCTATACAGTGAAATACAGCCCCAAGGCTCAGAACTGTCAATATTTTTTTAATTATTATATGGATGATTCATAAACATTTCACAATTCATTTGTATTGCTACCAGCTCATGATCCACAGACAGTTAACCAATTAAATGTATAATATATTAAATTTAATTTTCTCTGTTGTGTTAAAAATGGAAAAATAGCTATATTAATCATGAAGATTTCTTAAAGTTACCAAGACGGAGATACCGCACAAACATTTTGAAATATTATATTGAAAGTATAAACAGGACAAATGTTACCTTTATTACGAAATTACAATAAGTTTTTCTTTTGAAGTGTAGGTATAATTCCTACAGCATCACACCAGGTTTTAGAGTAAATAGACCTTTCTGGGTTTTTCTTAATAGTTCAAAGGGACCACATAATACCGTTTGCTCCAAACATAACAGGTCCTATGTAAAATAATATAAAAACAGACTTATAACAACTTACCTATTCGATTGTTGTAAACAGAAAAGTGCTATACAATTCTAAATAAATAAAATTTCTCTGTATGATGGTAATGTATGAGTCAATTTTAAGAAATGAAATGAAATCAAGAAAACTGATCACATCACAAACACCTGTCACTATAGAACACTTTTACTTTACAAGCCGTCAATTGTCACAGACTCCAATGACGACAATGACACCAAGTAATCACTTCGTCTTCCAAAAAGAATAAGCACTACAATAATAACGAAATTGAAAAATAATTCTCTATAAATTAAAGTATACTGATACTTAATAAATAAGTATAATATTAAATAACTAATTATAATATTCTTTTGTAAAAATATTAATATTAATAGGTGTCATCCTTGTCAGCCTTACCCAATATATAGTGTAAAATTTTCAAAGTCAATTAACTTAAAGAAATGTTATAATTACAAATATTATGGCTACTTCTCTTATATACAGATAATATAGTTTGTATATATTCTTTAGAACTGAATACTTTTTTTTTAAATTCTGTTTGACTTGGTACAATACTTCTTAGTTAGAAATATTGTTAATATTATTGTCCATGTTTCTTGTAAAATTTGAAAAATATATGTTACGAAATAGTTAGGTTTATTATGGCAACTGTGTTTCGATATATTAAATGGAGACATATATCGATAATGATACAACACTACAGATATTCTTTTGGTATTTTATTTTAATAATTTTTTACATATTGTTGATTTGGAAAGGTAACATGCATTATTTTTTTCCAAGATTCCGTAAATATCAACTCGGTCCAACTCTTACAACGTAATTATTGCTTGCTCTGTGATTACAGAGTACTTTTGACATAGATTGAAGGTTAGTGCCCGTCGTAGAAAGAAGATACTACGTAATTATGTGAGAGTACATATTATATGTATTATAAAAATAACAATACAATGATGTTATGGAGCAAACGAAAAAATAACAATATACCTCCTAGCTAACTACAAAAAAAACTCGATTTTTATCAATCTACGGTTAAAATTTACTGGATATCATAGTTTTTTTTTTAAATAAAGTAATTGCTATGTAACTCTACAACTATAATATTAAATCTTACTTGTAAAACATTAAATTCTCTTATAGATCATTTTGATCATAATAAACAAAAATCCAATAAATATATATGTCTATGTCGTCCCGGCATAAAATAAACCTTCCCTTTCTTTACCGTGGGTATCGAAAAAGGTAATTAAGGGAGGGCGAGGGATGGGCAGTAGCATTCCTCTTAAAATATTTCCAAAACCTAACTGCAGTTGCTAATCCATCTGCCAAGCGTAGCAACTACTGGTGTAACCCCCCAAGAAGAAGTCAACAGTGGACAGTTAAAGACCGATTTGATAATACTAATATAATAAGATAATAATAATATAATATATTTTCATTACTAAAATATAAAACAAAAATATTTTTTAATCAATATTATAACATTATGGCAAGATCGCGTTCACGTATCGCACAGTTTCACATTTTTCTTTCTATGTTCTATTGACGATCCGAACGAAAATTATTACAATATTAATTTCTCCTTTACTTAATTTGATTCTTTGATGAATTCTTTATCCTAAAAACCAATATGAACTATTGTAAATATAAAGACTTGTTGTTTGTTACAAACGTAGTATAATATAGGCAGGTACTCGATTATTGAAGTTATAAATATAAAAGCAACCATTCGATGTAGTCATTTTTTAATGTATCTACAAATTATCTTATTCGATTGCATACTTTATCTTTGCTCTATTTATCTATCTATACTTCATACTGCGCTACTCACTCATTCAATTTTGCTTTGATACCAAAATGGCCGATGTCTCAACTAATGACCGAAAAATAAAGCTTAATAAAAACGGCAAAGTTGTAAAGAGACGTACACGAAATCCAGAAGGTAGGTTTAAGATTTTACAGTCAAGATATTTTGAAAGAATATTGTAAAAATCATCTTCCGCTGCCTACTTGCATCAAATGATAGATCTATAATAAGTTGTTACATTTTTGACTCTTACTACTTTTTGATACGAAAGACAAAGATTTGAAATAGTTTTCCCTGTCTTTTTTTCTGTATTTTCATTTAGATTAGACTTTTGTTTATAATTTTTTAATTACACTCATTCAACATATTCATTAACGAAAGCATGTCTATTATAGTTATAGATGTGTGTTAACGGATACGGTCGTATTTATCTTCATTATTCATAATAAATAAAGATATACAGGCTTAAAATTTTACTTTCAGAATGGCACAAACAAAAGCAAAAACGTTTAAGAATAGCTGGACTAGAATATATAAACGCAAATGGAAAAGTTGTGCCTCCGAAGCAACCTGGCCCCGATTGCAACTGTCGGCGTCTGTGTTTTCAAAAAGTTCCAGAAGATGTTCGATTAAAAACTTTTCAAGGTTTCTACTCGATGAAAACTCACGATGAACAAAATGCGTACTTGTTTGGTCTTATGAGACAAGTTGATGTAAAAAGGAAAAGAGTAAAATCAAGCAGCAGGAGAACATGCACATTTGAATATTTTGTAAGGGTTAAAGGGCGAGAAACTCAAGTATGTCAAACAGCTTTTAAAAATATTCATGCAATAACTGAAAGAAAAGTCCGTGTTCTGTGTAAGAAAATGGATGATGGAGTGATGTTTCCTAGTGATAACCGAGGGAAAAATAGTCATAGGCGTTCAGGGGAAGTGCGTTTACCTACAGGTGTTGTTGATCAAATAAAAAATCATATTTATTCAATAGTTCATACTCATCGTTTGAAAGACTTCATTCGATTGGATAAAATAGCAGGTTTGGAAATCAATATCTCTAAAATGTGGAAAGACTATATAAAGACATATGATCCAGATAACATATCAGCAACAATGCCTAAATCAAAACGTAATGTGGAAATAGCTATAGTTAATGAACCAGTCCAGTCACAGCCACCTCCAGAGCCTTCTTTTGGAACCCTGTCTTATCCTGGTAGTGGTCATTTAGTGAATATTGCTGAGAACTACTTTCAGAATCAGTATCAAACAGCAACACTAACCACTTCGACGCCAACAAACTTCTACCAGCCTCAAAACGGAACTCAGAGTATGGGAATACTACTGCAGTCAACTGCAACCCGGCCTGCACAGCCCCCTACAACATATATTGTACTGCAAACTAAGCCTGAACCTCCACAGAACACAACCCTTGCAATAGACAACACTCCATACCAAAATGCTCAAACTACAGAAATTATACAAAACAATGAAATTAAGATGGAAAAGAAAATTAAAAAAGAAAGAAAAAGAGGTCCTCTGGTAAAACAATGGAGATATACTAACATATTTCATGAAGAGATAAATGGTGCCGCTTTGGCTGCTATAAAGACTAGACTTGGTATGTACTATGCTGAGAGTGATGCTGCAAGAAAAAAAGCTAAGCAACCAAGACCGACAGAAGCTGTTCAAACTCAGACCCAAACTCAAACAGAGCAAATAAGACCCACACACACTGTAACTATATATACATAAAGTAATATTTATTTGGATATCATTTTTCCACAAATGACTGATTGCATAATTTTGCTTGTCCCTAAGGCTAATAGTTTTAAGTAAATAGTACAATCTTTTTTATAATCTGTTGTTAATTATCAGATAGATAATGAACTATTACGGTCTATTAGTAATTTGCCAACTTGTGTCTTCAGTCATTTTGATGTTCATACTGCCATAAGTTTGTTTTGTAAAAACCTATGAAACTATAATGAAATCAATAGAATTTTATTTATGCAACTTAGAATGGCAGACAAGCTAATGGCCCACCTGATGGAAAGTGGTAACTGTCGTCTATAGACGTAATATACTGTTTGATCCATTATATCTCCCCCCCCCCCCCCTTGTGTTGCCATTCCTGAGGACACAGGTGTTATTTCTTTGTACCTTGTAAATTAACTGCCGTTCAAACAACCATGCAAACACAACTGCTTCATGGTAGAACTATAAAGGGACAGATATATCCAAGCAAATGACTTTTGTACATTCTCCCTCTAGTAATATTAGTTGATATTCTATTTTCAGACATTTAGTTGTGTACTAATTAAACTCTACACACTACATATTATACAGCGCCATCTAGTTGCAAACTAAGTAGACCTTGTACTATGGGTTAGAACCCATAGTACAAGGTCTACTTATACGAGGTCTGTCCGGAAAGTTCGTATAAAAGTGTTCTGGAATGCGAGAAAGAGGAGTGGGGAGGCCAGGTAAGCGCAGGACCCCTTCCTTATGTCCCTAACAATGCTTCAGTTCTGGTCTGACCGCCGTACGGTGCGAACTGGCTTGTCACGCCATCTGTGAAGTTACCTCTTAACGAAACCCCGTCGGCATGGAGCCCGCTTCCGTTGAAGAGCAGCGCGTCGTAATCAAGTTTCTCTCGAAACTCGGCAAGAATGGCCGTGAAATTTTTGCCGATCTCAGAACAGTTTATGGGGATGATGCTGTGAAGGAACCAACCGTCCACAAGTGGCTAAAAAGATTCAGAGAGGGCCGAGAAAGAGTTCGATGTTCGGGGGATTGTCCATCAAGAATTCGTCCCTCCAGGCCAGACAGTTGATGGAAAATTCTACGTCGATGTGCTCAGACGCCTCAAAGCTCGTGTGGCACGAGTTCGTCCAGAATTGGCGCGAGAGGGGCATTGGATTCTTCACAACGACAATGCCCCTGCCCACACCTCTCTTGTTGTCCGTGAGTTTTTGAGTAAAAATTCCATTACGGTGACCGAACACCCCCCTATTCGCCGGATTTGGCCCCGTGTGACTTCTTCTTGTTCCCAAAAACCAAATTGGTACTTCGGGGGCGGCATTTGGGGGACATAAATGAGATAAAAAAAGCTACGACGGGGCAGCTGAGAAACCTACAACCAGAGGACTTTCAAGGAGCCTTCTCACAGTGGAAACGGCGTTGGCACAAGTGCATTATGTCACAGGGGGAGTACTTTGAAGGGGATAAAATTGATTTACCTGAATAATTGTAAAATAAAATTTTTAAAAAACTTTTATACGTACTTTCCGGACAAACCTCGTATATATCTAGTGATATGAAGACAAATTGTTAGTTTGAAGTTTATTAGACATAAAACAGACATGACTAATAGCTAATGGACCATTTTTGATAGTACTTGTGAGTTATGCATTAGATATATACTTATACATAATTTGCAGCAACAATTTATTTCATCTGAATCATGTAACACAGATATAATTTTTTAAATATTTTATCAATATAATTTATTAAAGTATCTACAGTGTCATAAGAATAGAGTAATTATTTATTAATTTGTATGACATTAAGATCTTGAATCATCATTTACAAATGTATTAAGTAGTAAGATAAGTTTAATATTTTATTGCAATAAAGTATTACATCTAATTTAAAATTAGATTTTTACTTATTATAAAGATTTGTTTTTTTATTAGTCCTCAACAGAGATCCTGCCAAAATCTTTTTTATCCTAGACTAGCAAAAGGTTATTAAATGAATGTTAATGGAGTGATAACCCTGCCTGTGCTATCAGTATACGCTGGCGGGGCGCCATCAAGTGAATCTCTTTCTCCCTACTGAGAGTAGACATGACACCCCTAGCTGTGCTATATTTGCAATTTATGGTTAAGAGATTATTAGTAGTAGTCTAATAGCCCCATTGCTAGCGATATACCCTGTAAGGTTTACCTTTGTGTTTCCTCTGGAAATTATCGCGGTAAATTTTCGAATTCGCCTTGATAAGCTGATCTACATTTATACTTACCATCCCTCATTACACATTTCTCACCTCATTCACATTAAGTGAATTCTAATTATGTCTGGTGTATTTAAACCAATCAATTTTTTTAGGTCAATAGTTTTGTATTCACAGTAATTCAAGGGTCATATTACATCTAGCATAAATCAAAACTGTCATTTAAATGTCTACCTTTCTGGCGATCGTTAATGCTGTTAAGTTAGGGGGAACGGGGTTGTTAGTAATTGGTTCTAACAGTCCTATTTTTAGCAATATACTTTATGAGGTCGACTTCCACGCAGTTCCCCCTGAAAACCATCGTGGTTAATTCTTGTGGGATTTGTCATAATGAGCAAACTGATCTACTTCCATCCTCACCGATCATCTCTCACTGGTGCCCTACCAGCGTATACCGATAGCGCAGGTGGGGTTATCATTTAATTTCATTTAATGTCATTAGTAGCATTTCATATTATTATTTACAATTTTTAACCTTTATACATTATAGTAACCTTACAGAATTTAACCAGCATTTTCTTATTGATATCCTCTGGGACTTCGACACTTACAATTTAAATATAAAAATATTGTGAAAATATATTTTCTTAATAAATAAAAGATATTATAGCTTTTATATTTTATTTTTTTTACACTTAAAATTACGCAGACAATACGCACGCACCACCCACAGCCTTTATTTTTCTCTCTGCAGATTTTGAGAAGAATTTCGCTTTAACAATAACAGGCTGCTTGGGGAGTTTACCCTTGCCTAGTAATTTGTAGTAACCCTGAAAATTAAAAATATATCGTGTTACAGATGAGATATCTCATACCATATTTTTAATTCTGGGGAATCTACATCTATATTAATATTATACACAGAAAAATTTGTTTCTATTTAAATGAATAAAAAACTACTCAACTGATTTTAAAAATTCATTTACCTATAGAAATCTATTATAAAGGAATAACATATGATAATGTTATTTGAGAAATTTGTCTACTGATCGGATATGGGTTTTAGGAGTTATAATAACTCGTAACAAAACAATGCAACCATCCATATAAATAAATCGCAAAATAATTAAAGCATAAGAAAAAAAGACCTGCGGGTCTACCATGAAATGAAATTCCGAAATTTCAGACTCAGTTTCGTGTTTTTGTTTATACCAAAATCGGACCAATAAATGGAGTTTAACATTTCGCTCATCATACATCCTATCATAAAAGTCCAAAAAAACAATATTTTAACTTTTTTAATATTTCCAAACGGCATGTATTATGTAATTTTAACGTCAAATTTCTGTTTAGACTCTGAAATTTCGGAAAACATTTCATGGTAGGCCAGCTGGTCTCTGTATATGTCTAGCATTACAACTTCCATAAAAATTAACATTAAAAAAAAAATAACTATTTGGTTATTTTAAAACTGATTATAGAATATAGAGCTTGGATATAAACAGTTTGGATAAAGCCTATTCTTATTAATATTATAAATATGAAAGTAAGTTTGTTTGTTTCTTATCTTATCCTTTCAAAACTTGCAGTTCAGTGGCACTTCAAATTGGTCCCTTTTAATTTTTTGTTTTTATATTATATGTAAATCATATCAAATAAGTAAAGTGAACTTACAGCCTTCACAATGTTGATGACAGGTACTTTATTGTCTGTGGCATTGGCATATTTCAAGCGAGCTTGCTCTGACACCAATGTCCACAACTTATCCAAATTAAGGACTGGGCAGAAATCCTTGTTCTTGCGGGCATGGAAATTTCTCATGCCAAGCTGAAAATTAAATTAAATACAGTTGTATATTTAATTAATAAATTTACTACTACTATCAGACTATCAAATTGTTACCTTTCCTGTAATGCAAAAATATCACTGTTAGTAATTTTTACTATCATCATTTTGTCCATTGCTAAATAATCTTTACCCATAAATTGCCTTAAAGAATGGTACTGTGTAACCCAGATAAAATTTTTATATTTTTGAGAGGCGACAATATAAGTGTTTATTAACTTTAAGAGGAATAATTATGGACATAATTAAGATTTCATTCCCTCTGTCCTATAGAGAAAATGGTGTAAAAACATACCTATCAAACTAAATCAAACAAAGATAGAAGTAAAACTTCTGAATTAACCTATTTTTACTAGAGAGAAATACAATTATAAAATAGTACATACATATAATATTTTTGAGAGCATGTTCCATTTCAAATCACATACAATGCATTTACATAAATTGTATATGTGGTATGATATAATAAAAGAAACACAAAATAAACATCTAAAATTACAAGTTTTTTTTCACCTTACTGATAAAAAAAAATCTGAGTAAAATAAGCTATTTTCCCATGAAGATGAGAAATACTAGGTACATAAACAAGGCTTTAATTTCTATCAATATAGCCATAAAATACACAGGAAATCTAAAATTATGATATTTATGTTGAATATTTTAAATACAACTTACTTTTCCAAAGTATCCTGGGTGGTACTTGTCCATATTAATTCTGTGGTGATGTTCACCACCAGCATTACCGCGACCGCCAGGGTGCTTACGGTGCTTGCCTGGAATATTACAAGTAAAACTTTTTTAGCAATAGCATTAATATTACTTGTATAATTATAATATATATTGTTTCTTTTGCCATTCAACTGCCAATTTAAATTAGTAGGTAGCCTCTACAATACCTGAATGAACATAATGAGGATGGTGTTAAGGTTAAGTTGGTGGCATGAAGGATCTTGTGAATCTCTGTTCTTTAAAGAATTATAAATGTGATAGGAACATACCGATACGTCCATGGCCGTGGCTGACGTGTCCTCTCAACTTCCTAGTCTTCTTTTTGGATGTGGCCTGCAGAAGAACAATAATTCAAGTAACGATCTTGTACATTATAAAAATAAATAGTGAAATATCACAAGACATTGATATAAATCGTAAAATATAATAGAATTTGTATTTATATTGTACGATCTTTGTAATTATTATGGATAATAAACATTAAAAATAAGCACAAACCATAATTTCGCCTTTCGACAAGAATTATCAAAGAAAGAAAGAGACAGAAAAATAAAATGAAACAAGTGTCAGTGTCAATTTTGATTGTCATATACAATACGCTTACTACTATAGTAAAAGTATTGTAGGTATTTAACGAAAAACTACTAAAAAGTAAAACAAATATTTAAATAATATTTATTACTATAATAAAAGTATTGTAGGTTTTTAATAAAAAACTACTAAAAACTTAAAACTAATAAATTTTTAACCGACTTTAAACAGGATAAAGTGCTTAATTTATCTATTTTTTTAAATGTAATGTATATCTATCAACAGTTAATAATAAAAATTATAAATAGTTATCGATATATAAATCTCGTAATCATAATAAATTCTGAAAAAGGGTAAAATTAAATTATATTAGCACATGTAGACTAAATTGTTATATTTTAATATTATATTTCATTCATTCATAATATTTCAACAATTGTATTAAAAGACAAAAAATACATTCAAACACAAATAACAGTTTATATATAGCCTTTTTTAGTCTTTTTCATATTTTAATTTTATTCTATGTTACAAAAATTATTTTTCGATTTGGTAGAATACAGTCTCTTATTAATTCTTATTGTGTGGAGGTTTTTTTTTATTTATTTTTTTACTTTTTGGCGGGCTTTTCAAGTAGATAGGCGCGAATTGAAATTAAAAAAAAAAAAATATTTGTGTAATTTTATATTTTACTGTAAATAGCATATTTCATATTATTTTAGATTGTAAATAGTCTTCTATATATCTAAACAACATGCCTGAGTGGGACGGCGACGTCCCGCCTAATAAAATTTGAAATCAAATTTTAAAGTCTCATGTGTTTTTTTTTCTGTTTGTATGGATTTTGGTGATTTACTTATATATTATAGTGTGTAAATATTAGGTATAATATAGATATATATATATATATATATATATATAATTATAGATATGGTGATATTTATGACATATGGTAAAGACTTCAAATTTAAAGTGAATTCTTTATAATATCGGGCTATAAAGAATTGGTATCCAGAGCCGTAAAACATATTAATAAAAAGTTTTTTTTTTTTTATAGAAATTAAATAGAGACGAACCTAAACGATAACGTTCTTATCGAAAAATTCTCGATTATAGATTTATATAATTATAGATATTAATGCAATAAAAATATTTTATTAAAAACTAAATACCATGTAAATGAATGAAAAATAAGAATGATACCAAGTCACGTGAAACCGTCGTGCTGGATTTTAGATGTATTCATCACGATGGGCTAACTGACCAGCCTTTTCTTTTTCATCTGTTATTCCTCATTGATACCCTGCTGGCGTATACGTTAACACAGCTGAGGTTACCGTTACATTATCATTCTTAAAAAAATATAAAAAAGCCATTGAGCTAAAATGATCAACGCAAGAGCAGCAGGCCATCGCAGAACGCCTGGGCAATGATTTTACAAATGCCCGCACCTACACTCTGTAAGGACTAACAGACGATCTTATCTCTTCGTCTAATGTTCTTAACACCTAGCGAATTCTCCCATCTCCCAGTTCTATTTGTGTGCCAAAATATTTCGAAAAACTGGTAATTTAGCGCAGTATTATTCATGTCTAGTGGAATAATGGGATTGGTGAAACTGCGTCAAATTTAACCTAAATACCATATATCAGTCTTCTCTCTCTAGTGCACTATCATTGTCATATTTTTTAATAATAGAGTTTATTTTCTTTTAATTTAAATTATTACTATATCTATATATAGAGACAAAAAATATTCGATTTATTTGATTGTTTAGTCGATATTTATTTAAAGTCGTGATTCTAATATTTTCGATATGAAGTAACAACTCTATTTAGTACCTTTCCAGAAAATGGTTGGATTGTTCGTTCAAGTTATTTCTGACACGTATTTTCATGAAAATCGTAAATAGTTTGTGAAATTTAAACAATGTTTACGCTTTAGTGTTATTATTAAGAGTGTAGTCTATTTACTTGTCTAAAAATGGAATTTCGAGAGACACTGCTAGCTGCTCAACGAAATCAACAACAAAAATCATCTGTAAGTTTTAGTTTTAATTTTACAAACTATGCAATTACTTTGACTTAATTGCCATTTCTTTTTGCTATTCTTTATGTTGTTATGTACACTAAGATAACCAACAAACTACTCTACCAAATTATGTTTTGTTATATTCAATAAGATAACTAACAGATTGCTAAAACCTTATTGTCCAATATGTATTTGTCGTATCCAACTTCTTTCGTCATATTACAGGATAACCTATATTATAAGGCTCGATTTGATCCGCCAAAAAAAGAACAAAAACAGAGGGATAGGTTATCAGCTAATATACAGAAGTTTTTGGCAAAAAAAGATGAAGAAGAAAGGCAGAAAAAATTGGAGGCTGATAGGAAAAGGCAAGAATTATTGGCAATGCGTGACCCTAAGGCTCTGCGAAAAATTCAAAAGACTCTAAAAGTTATAAAGTCAGCTAATAAATCAGTGATAGAAGATGCAGTGGATAGAGATAACACAGCCATCACACGAGATGGTCCTGATCAACCGGATCAGGATGACTATGGTTATGAGTCTCAAGAAGCGGCCGCACTCTATCAGAAAATGATGCAGAAGTATAGTAAAATACCTGATGAACCGAAGTTTCCAGTGTCAAGTAAGTAACTGCATTTTATTCTAATATTATTGGTATGAATGATTTTGTTTCAGTGGATAAACTACTGGATAAGTTAATTTTGTCAATTTTAATCATATATTGTAAGAGGCGACTAATTAGTGGTTGAGAGATGAGCAGTAGCATTTCTCTTAAAATATCACCAAAGTTTAACTGTGATTGCCAATCTGCCTGCCAAGACTGGCAACTACTGGTAAAGCCTCTCAATAGGGGGAAGCAAATGTTCAGCAGTGGACAGTTAATGGCTGACATGATGATCATCATTATTTGCAATTTTTCATTTCTTTTTTTTTTGCAATGATTGATTTGAAACTGATTGCAATTTCTTCAGTATTAATAATCTTGGTAGGTAGTGTTTTGACAAACTGATAGTTGTGGGTTCAATCCCCATGCAATACAAATATTTGTGTTCATGAGTATGTTTGTTTGTATTGGTGACAATGGAATGATAGTCTTAGATTGTGATAGACCAAAGGGAGACTGTACAAAAATTGTTTGCTTGGGTACCTCTGTCCCATTGGTGTTTCAACTGTAAAGCAGTTGTGTTTGCATGGCTGTGTTTCGGTTTGAAAGGTTTTTAATGGATGATAATGGAATGCTAACCCCACACGCGCTATTGGTATACACCGGCGGAGCACCAGTGAAGGATGATAGGTTAGGATGAAGCAGGTTAGTTAGCCCATTGTGACAAATTCAACAAGAATTGTTCATACGGGTTTCCAGGGGGAACTACATGGAGGTCGACCTAATAGAGCATATTGCTAGCAACGGGGCTGTCAAATTCCATTGCTAACAATCCCTTTCCCCCCTGTTTGCAGGGTGGGATATGGCATGAATTTACAGGGTACAAAGGAATAACACTTGAGTCTAGGGGAAAAGGGATTGTTAGTAATGGAGACTAAAAATCCCATTGCTAGCAATATACTTAACCTGATTAATTCTTCATGATGAATTCATCATGATAGGCTTACTAGCCTGTTTTCATTCTCATCGATCACCCTTCACTGGTGCTCCGCCAGCGTATCCCGTTAGCGCGGGCGGGGTTACCAATCCATTTTCATCCAACAAAAAAAAAACACCTGAGTCCTCAGGAATGGCAACGCATGGGGGGTATCACGGGCGAAACAGTATACTCTGTTATGTCCATGGTATTGCACATGTCTATAGGCGAAATGAAATGAAATTAAATGAAATGAAATGAAATGAATTTATTTTGCTAAATTGCAGGTAATTTTAAATGATAGAGGTTTATATTTCCCGTGTACATTCTGCCTCTATGTCGGCGTGCAAATTTTTAACAATATAATAAATTTATATATATATTCTACATTATATTTCCTTTTCTTAGTCATACAATATATTATTATTATTTATTACAGTAAACAGAAAAAATAAAAGCCTGTACAATAATTGTCCAAATTAATAAAATATTTTAACAACTGTATCTCTAGTGTAGGTTGTGAAGTGCATTTGTTTTTTTAGCGAAATATTCATTAATGGTATAAAACCCGTTACATAACAGCCAATTTTTAAGTTTTTTTTTTTTTTTTTTATACAACTTAGAATGGCAAACAAGCTGACGGCCCACCTGATGTAAAGTGGTAACCGTCGCCTATAGACATGAGCAGTACCATGGACATAACAGAGTATACTGTTTCGCCCATGATACTCCCCATGCGTTGCCACTCCTGAGGACTCAGATGTTATTCCTCTGTACCCAGTAAATTCACGCCATATCCCACCCTTCAAACCGAAACACAGCCATGCAAACACAACTGCTTCACGGTAGAAACACGAATGGGACAGAGGTACCCAAGCAATCGACTTTTGTACAAAGTCTCCCTCTGGTAACGTTTAAACACTGTATGAGCTGTTACTTCTCTAATGTAATTTGGTAGATGGTTGTAAACTTTAATAGCCATACAGTATGCGTTTCTTTTATGTAAATCTAACCTGCACTTTGGTACATATAATTTGTCGTTTGGTCTAGTTGTACGTGTTCTCGAATCCGATATTCTTTTGAAAAAGCCAGCATGTTCCCTTACAAATATACACAAATCTCTAATGTACATACATGGCAGTGGAAGAATATTTAATTTCTTAAAAAGAGGGCGACAACTTTCTCTAATTTTTGCACCACATATAGCTTTAACACACCTCTTTTGCACAACAAAGGCTCTGGAAATTTCTGCAGAGTTTCCCCATATTAGTAATCCATATGAAAGTATGGAGGATACGTATCCATGATAAGCACTCAGTGCAGCCTGTTCTGATACTGACAATCTTAATTTTCGTATCGCATGCACGAATCTATGGAGATTGTTACACGAGGCCTCTATATGGGCCTTCCAGTTACAATTTCTATCTATAATTATGCCTAAGAATCTGGTACTATCCACTAATTCCACTGATTGATTTTGGTAATTTATATTTATTTTTACAGATTTTGAATGATGTGTGCCAAAATGTATTATTTTGGTTTTATTTAAATTAACTTTTAAATTATTTTCTGTTAACCATTTTATAACATTTTGTAATGTGTCATTAATTTGTGTTTCTAAGTCATCTTTATTTTTACATTTTATTAATATAGTTGTATCGTCAGCATATAGTATACATTTATGTGTGATTATATTAGGCAAATCATTTATATAAGTCAAAAAAATATATGGTCCAAGAATGCTTCCTTGAGGAATTCCTACTTTATTTAATTTTGGGATAGATCTATAGATTTTTTTATAGCCATTAATAATTTTAAACGTCTCGGTACATTGTTAGCGATCTTGTAAATAGCTTTTTAGCCAACTATGTGCATTTCCTCTTATTCCGTATTTATATAATTTGTTTAATGCTATATTATGATCTAAACAGTCAAAAGCTTTAGTCATATCCAAAAATATTGCAGCTACGTGCTCCCTATTATTCAATCCCTCCATTACAGATTTTATTAAATCGAAACAAGCCAAAGATGCTGAGCTATTTTTCCTAAATCCATATTGTTCTTGTTTTAAGATATTATTTTTAGTCATAAAGTCATTGAGCCTTTTTAACATAGCTCTCTCAAATATTTGCGACGGTTACCACTTTCCATCAGGTGGGTTGTCAGCTTGTTTGCCATTCAAAGTTGTATAAAAAAATTTTTTAATGTGCTATGGGTATTTAGTGGCAGGCCATAAGTACAGATAAAAAGGAGTTAGTTGATCTGCACATGATTGATGACTTTATAGGGTATATTGCTAGCAATGGGACAGTTAGACCCCATTAGTTTATAATCCTTTTCCTTCTTTTATATGTATATATATATATATATATATATATATATATATATATATATATATATATATATATATATATATATATATATATATAAAGATTATATGTCCATTAGTGGTCTATTATCCATAGTGCAAGGTCTTCTTAGTTAGGTACCAAATACTGCAGTATAATATAAATATTACATATCAGAAACTATACAAAAATGCCACAATTTGTAACTGTCACAACTACAGAAACTAGTAACATCTGTACATTTGACAATGTCTGAAAGGGGATGTGGTCAAATTGTAATTGGCAGTAAGGTGTGTCTATACTTTTTTTTTAATGGGTGAAAATGGTATGGTAACCCCGCCTGCGCTAACGGGATATGCTGGCGGAGCACCAATGAAGGGTGGTCGATGAGAATGAAAACAGGCCAGTTAGCCCATCATGATGAATTCATCAGGAATTAACCATGATAGTTTCCAGGGGGTCCCGCGAGGAGGTCGACCTGGTTGGGTATATTGCTAGCAATGGGATTCTTAGTCTCCATTACTAACAATCCCTTTCCCCCTGGTGTGTCCATACTGTGTCATATCAGCTGTTAACTTTCCATTGCTGTTCATAGGTTTCTTACTTGGGTTTTACTCGTAGTTGCCATGATTGGCAGTCTAATTGGCAGTCGTTCTTGTAAAAGCCGAAAGGTTAACCTTTTTGAGTAGGAACATGAGTGGGATGCCCATCCGTTAACCATTAAATTCCGTTAGTCGCCTTTTATGACATCCACGAGAAAGAAAACAGTGGCCCGTTTTATGCCAGAATCACAGAGCATAGAAAAGGAAGATACAAATACCAAAATTATGTTTTTAATATGTCAAGTGTAAAAGAACAATGATGGTGCTTCAGAATTAACTCCAATCTTTTTATGCAGACTCTACTGTAAAGAAAGACTTAAACGGGACTAGAGAAAGAGTGAAACATGCACTGCAACATGAAGATGATCCTGTTCCTCATAAAAGGAGGCGTAAAGGAGAAGTTGGGGGTAAGTCAATTCATCACCTCAAATTGTTATTGCTTTTTTTTAAGTAAATTTAGTAAATTAGTATTTCAAATATAATTTATTGTATGAAGTGAAATTTTTAATATGGGCCTAAAAAGGAAAAAAGACTTGTCAGGATTAAAATACTATCTACAATTTATTTTGTTTTCTGCATAGAAGGATAGGGCTTACTATTATTATACAGGTAAAATAGATTATTTAGTTTTATTTCGATTTTTTCTTCCCTTGCACAGGTGTATTGTGCTTTGTTCCCTTACCCATTTCTCAGATATTCTGAAAATGAAAAGATGTGACACTGTATTTTTAATACATATAACCAAATCTTTAAATATGTTAATATTGTATAAAAAGCAAATTATAGTTTTATTATTGGTATAAAATTTAAAAAAATTATACCTTTTTAGAAAGAGAATCTAGTCCTCCAACGAAATATGAACCGGAGAAAAAGAAAGAGGATTCAAAACCAGAAAAACCTAAAATTCGAAAACAAGCACCTCCACCAATAGATTTCAATCAATTGCTCAAACTGGCTGAACAGAAAAAGAGTGAACCCATAGAAGTAGCTGCAAAGAAGCAAAGTATAGAGCAAGAAACAGATAGACTGATGACTAAAAAGCAGAAAAAGGAGTATGAAGAGGAATTAGCGCGCCGCCAACGGAGGCAAGAACGGTTAGAAGCAGAAAAAGCGGCCTCAAGGAAAGGTAAATACATTAACTTAAACCTGCAATTATATTATTGGGTATTATAATATTAATAGATAGTATTGACAGAATCATTAGTTTGTTATTTCAAGTATAATTTAGTACTACATATAAATGTTGCGATTTGCTCCGGTTCTAATTGTTCTGCTTCTGCACTCTTGTTCACGGTTACAACTTTTTCAACTTGTCAATATTGCAATAAAATATGGATTATTTGTAAATATATACATTTTATTCATATATTTTATTAAAATATATAAATTTTGTTTCAGGACCAAGAGAAGAAAAACCGAATGAAAGAAAATCTGATGCTGGTTTTGGTCGAATTCCCAAACTAGGCGATAAAGGTAGAAATGAAAGCCCTAAGGTCGACAGAGACAGACAAGAAGAAAAAGAAAGAATTGAAAGAGATAGAGTTGAAAAACAGCAGAGGGAAAAAGACAGAATTAGAATGGAAAAGGAGAAAAATGAAAGGGAAAGATTAGACAGGGAGAGGTTAGATAAATTAAAAGCAGAGAGAGATAGGATAGATAGGGAAATGGATCGACTCAACCGAGACCGTGATAGATTAGATAAGACAAGGTTGAAATTGGAAAGTAGTAAATCAATGGAAAAGTCGAGCAAACCTGTAGAGAAAGTGGTAGATAGATCAAAATTGTTTTCCAAGGATCAAAGTGGAAGACAAGATGTAAATAAAAATATTGATTTAAAAAGCCAAAACACTTACAGGATAGACAAAAACACCATTGAAAAAAAATCTACTGTTCCAATTAAAAGTAACAATGGTAAATATTTGAATGAACACAGCTCTCAAGGGAAACCAATGACAAAACAAAATAGGGAATCAATAAAAAATGAAACTAGAGATAAAGTTACGTCAGTAAAGGAAAAAATCTCTAGCAATGGATCTACTAAACTAAATGGTAAGCTTGATAATGGCAAACGTCTTCCGGAAACAAGTAAAGGAATGCCTGTTAAGAGACCTGATGATAGGAGTACACAAAGTAAACCTCAAGCTGGAACCAGTAAGCCTAAATTTGCAAGTACATTTGATTTTGACAAACATGTCAGTTCACTTAAAAAGAATGGGCATGTTGATGGTGGGCGCCAGTTCCCACCAGGTGATGTCAAAAGAAAAATGCATCCTGATGATATAAGAAGAAAGCAAAAACGTAAGTAACTGGTTAAAACAGAATTGATTTTACACAACACTTTAGACAAGGGTTATAGTAGTTGTCATGTCATCAAGGTTATAGTATCATGAGGTCTTATCCACACTATGGTGCTTTAGACAAGGGTTATAGTAGTTGTCATGTCATCAAGGTTATAGTATCATGAGGTCTTATCCACATTATGGTGCCGTCTCAGTTCACTTTCACTCCACTCTCAGTCTGGTAAAATATTATTACATAAAAAACAATATGTGTATTTACACTACAATGCAGTCCTGTTCCGATCAAACTCGAATAGTTCCTACTGACCATATGAGAGTGGAGCAAAGCGAATCGAGACCAGCACTACAGTGGAGATCGGACCTAAAAGTCCCATCCCACCGAATTTAATAAAAGTAATTTGGCTGCTGGTAAATGTATATTGAGTGAGCAAGGTGACAAATACGAGGTCTGTCCGGAAAGTTCGTATAAAAGTGTTCTGGAATGCGAGAAAGAGGAGTGGGGAGGCCAGGTAAGCGCAGGACCCCTTCCTTATGTCCCTAACAATGCTTCAGTTCTGGTCTGACCGCCGTGCGGTGCGAACTGGCTTGTCACGCCATCTGTGAAGTTACCTCTTAACGAAACCCCGTCGGCATGGAGCCCGCTTCCGTTGAAGAGCAGCGCGTCGTAATCAAGTTTCTCTCGAAACTCGGCAAGAATGGCCGTGAAATTTTTGCCGATCTCAGAACAGTTTATGGGGATGATGCTGTGAAGGAACCAACCGTCCACAAGTGGCTAAAAAGATTCAGAGAGGGCCGAGAAAGCGTTCAAGATGACCCACGTTCAGGACGTCCTTCCACTTCACATTCCGACGAAAACGTGGAAAGAATTCGAACTTGTGTTAATGGGGACCGTCGTTTAACGGTCAGACAGGTGGCTGAAGAGCTTAATTTGGGCAAAACCGTGGTCCACGAAATTCTAAGAAACGAACTTCAAATGAAAAAAATTTGCGCCAAGATCGTTCCGTGAGTTTTTGAGTAAAAATTCCATTACGGTGACCGAACACCCCCCCTATTCGCCGGATTTGGCCCCGTGTGACTTCTTCTTGTTCCCAAAAACCAAATTGGTACTTCGGGGGCGGCATTTGGGGGACATAAATGAGATAAAAAAAGCTACGACGGGGCAGCTGAGAAACCTACAACCAGAGGACTTTCAAGGAGCCTTCTCACAGTGGAAACGGCGTTGGCACAAGTGCATTATGTCACAGGGGGAGTACTTTGAAGGGGATAAAATTGATTTACCTGAATAATTGTAAAATAAAATTTTTAAAAAACTTTTATACGTACTTTTCGGACAAACCTCGTATAGCATATACATACAGTAGATTAATGTAAATTGTAAGAATACTAAGGCAATTAGTTTAAATTATATAAGAAGGTAGATATATCGAGGATTTACTTCCAAACTTAGACTATATAACTTAGAATGGCAGTCATCTGCCCATCTGATGGAAAATGGTAACTATCGCCAATAAACATGAACAGTAGCATGCACATAACAGAGTATAATTTGTCACTCATAATAACCCTTCATGTGTTACCATTTCTGAGGAGTAAGGTGTCATGTATCAGCCATTTTAGTTCTGTCTACCATTTTAGTTTGGCAATTAATTCTCATATTAGTTTCCGATTTGTATCAGGTTTTTAAATTTATATACTTTTATTTCAGAACGTATAGTACATTCAGACTCTGAATATGATTCTGAAATGGACGATTTCATAGATGATGGCGAGGAGAATATGGATTATTCAAGGCATATCAAAGAGATATTTGGTTATGACAAATCCAAGTACGTATTACTATTATTTAATTTTTGTTTTCATATAATGTATTTTGGTGTATAATTTCTCCTTATTACAGTATTAAATATATATATATATATATATATATATTATGTTTTTATAAATGAGATCGGTAATTAATAAGTGCAGTGAATAATATACACATATAATTTCTAGGTATCGAGATATTGACGATGATGATGATCCAACAATGGAATCGAGTTTTGCAAGGCAACAGCGAGAGGAGTACATTAGCAAAAAAATTGGTAAGTATTGTTGAATAATAACAATTGTAGTTATACTGTATTGGAATTTATGTCGGCTTTACTCGTGTTGAAATTCGGGGATGCCTGACTAGTTTCTAACCCAATAGGAGCCCTTATTCATGAGCGCGGTTCATGGCTGTGTCGCGAGTATGTTAAATTTATAGTTTATACTATATAACACCTTTTTAACTACTTTTAATTAATTACATTTAGATCAATATTCATGAAAATATAATAAAGGTTGTTAAATAAAAAAAAAAACTTTAAAAATACATATAGCCTTACATGTCTTTTTAAGCATGCTATCATTTTGTCAACGTACATCTATCTTAAGTATTACAGCCCCTATCAATGAATAACAATCGAGTCTATAAATAAAAAAAACTAAGAAATAATCGAAAAATATATTAAAAATTTTTATATGATTTTAGGTATTATGGAAGACTTAGAAGATATGAAATTAGAAGCAATGGAGAAGAAGAAAAAGAAGAAGTTACGTCGAATAAGCGACGACTGATTGTTTTTCACTGTTATTCATGGCATGGACCAAATTACGATAATCAGTTGATCGTTGTAATGTTATATCTTACATATATTTTATGTATATTAAATGTGTCTATATGTGTACATGTACATTTGTATCTGAAATACTTAGTACACTATTTGATATAATGGAGATGTTTATATTTCATTTGGATACAATTTAATGTTTTTTATTTTTGTTGGAGTATTAAGTGTGGTCACTAAAGGTCCAAAAATATTATTAATATTATTCATAGGTGGCAACTCTTGTAGTTGTTTATGACAGTGTGTGCTCTCTTGTCTGTGGTCTTTTTCCTCTTCTTTTTTCCAACTGAAACTTGATGTACACGTGAGTCAAAAAGATAAATTAAATATTATTAAAAATATTGTCCGCTGTTTTTATAAAATACCATCAGGTTATGGGCTCAGTCATTTGTGGTGTTGAAAAAAGTTATAAAGTTCTGAAAATAAAAATTATCATCACGGGCATCCACGTGGTGAGTCGACGAAGCGGCAAGTCGAGAATAAAACTTCAAGATGGAAAAGCATTTCGAAAAATTAGCATTCAAGTTAGAAGGAACAAATAATTGGACCACATGGAAGTTCCAACTTCGTGTATTACTTCAAGCATTAGAATTATATGATGTAGTTGAAAAAGACGCTTTGACAAAAATGGCGTCGGAAGATTTCATTAAAAAGGATCGAAAAGCCCAATCATTAATTGTTTTAAACATCCATGAGAAAATAATGGTGCACATCATAAACGCAAAATCGGCATCAGAAATGTGGGCGAAACTATCAACCATATATGAGAAAAAATCGTCTACCAGTCTTCATATAGAACAACAGAAGTTTTTCCATTTACAATGTGAGGATGATGTTATACTTTTTATATCAAAGCTGGAAGAAATAAGAAATAAAATAAACCAACTGGACAGTAATACATCAATTCCGGATAAAATGTTTATTACTAAAATACTCATGGGACTTCCAAGTAAATACAAACATTTCATAGCAGCCTGGGAATCAGTTCCAGAAAGTAATCAAACAATAGATGAATTAACAGCAAGGTTACTCATAGAAGAGGAAAGAATGAAGGAATCAAGTTCATCAGTAGCGTTAACAACTAAAAGTGCTGTACAGTCACAACATAGAAACAAATGTTATTCATGTGGAAAACCAGGTCATATTAAAAAAGAGTGTCGTTATCGAATTGTCTGCCATTATTGTAAAAAATCTGGACACTCCATAGGTGACTGTTGGATAAGGAAAAATAAAGAAAATCAGAGAAGTAAGAAAGTTCAGCACACTAGCAATGATATCAGTAATGCGTTTGTTGCTAATATAAGTGATTCCAGTCAATGGATTGTCGACACTGGAGCTAGTGAGCATATGTCGTTCCAAAGAGAATCATTTTCATATTATCAGAAATTAAACCCTCCAAAAAAAGTAATAATAGGAGATGGAACTCAATTAGATGCGGAAGGACAAGGAACTATAGAGTTGTTGGCATATAATGGAAACAAGTGGATAAAAACAACAATATCGAATGTTTTATATGTCCCTAAACTGACTATAAATCTTTTTTCTGCAAGAAGTGTCATGGACAAGGGCCATGATTTACATATAAATAGCACAGAATGTAAAATTTTAAAAAATGGTATGGTAGTTGCTGTTGGTGTTAGAAAAAATAAACTGTATATGATGAGATTCACACAAGGGGAGCATGCTGCAGTCTGTAAAGAAGTGTGTTTGATAGAATGGCATAAGCGTTTGGGCCATCAAAACTTACAACATGTAAGAAATATATTAAATAAAAATAATATTATGTATGAGGACAGTCAAATTGAAAGCTGCGAAGACTGTATTAAGGGAAAGATGCATAAATTCCCATTTGAAAAGAGTAACTCAAAATCTACCAAAGTATGTGAGTTAGTACATATGGATGTCTGCGGCCCTATGGAGGTATGTTCCTTAGGGCAATCAAGATTTTTTCTTTTAATCAAGGATGATTATTCAGGCTACAGATATGTTTATTTTTTAAAAAATAAATATGAAGTGTATGAAAAAATAAAAAAATTTCTTGATATGGCAGAAAAGGAAACTGGAAATAAAATAAAAATAGTAAGAACAGATAATGGGAAAGAATTCATAAATAATAATGTTAAAAAATTATTTGAAGACAGAGCTATTAGACATCAAACATCAGTAGTTTACACTGCAGAACAAAATGGAAAAATAGAAAGAGATAATAGAACAGTTGTCGAATGTGCAAGAACAATGCTATTATCAGCAAAATTAAATAAGAATCTATGGGCAGAAGCAGTCAATACAGCAGTGTTTATTTTAAATAGAACCGGGAAAACAAATATTCCTGAAAAGTCACCATTTGACATTTGGTTTAACAAAAAATATGACATATCACATCTCAAATTATTTGGGAGTAAAGTTCACATACATGTGCCAGATGTGAGAAGGCAAAAATGGGATTCAAAAAGTTTAGAAGGTGTTTTTTGTTGGATATGGAGAGTCTGGAATAACAGAGACCAAAGGTTATAGGATATACATACCTACAAATAATACAATAGAGGTAAAAAGAGATGTAATCTTTATTAAATCAACAGATGAAAAACAAACAGATACTTTATTACCAGAAAGTGAGGTTATATTAGATTTTGAGAGTATAACTGACTCAAAACAGGGGGAAAAGTGTCAAGAAACCACAAGTTCTATCATAGAACAGAGGACACAAGAAATAACTGAAAGTGATGTCCAAGAAACTCCACAGAGATCTCACACAGATGTACAAACTATAGAAAAACAAAAAAGACAAATAAAGAAACCATTGTGGTGGAATGATTATGAAACATCATTTCTATGTGTCATTGAAGAGCCAAAAAGTTATGAAGAGGCTGTCAGCAGTTCATATTCTGAAAAGTGGCAGGATGCTATGAATAAAGAATTACAAGTGCTTAATGAAAATAACACATGGACTGAAGTGCCTGTGCCTATCGGGAAAAATGTGATTGATTGCAAGTGGGTGTATAGAGTGAAGTGTGATATGGATGGGAACCCTACAGACTTTAAAGCTCGGTTAGTAGCCCGTGGCTTCCAACAAAATGACTGTTTTGAGGTTTATGATATATATGCACCAGTAGCTAGATTAAGTACCTTTCGTGTGTTGTTAGCCATAGCAAATAAGTTACATTTACCAGTTCATCATTTGGATGTCCGTAGTGCCTTTCTTTATGGAAATATAGATGAGGAGGTATATATGAAAACCCCTAAGGGTGCAATAAACAAAAATAATATAGTTCTTAAGTTAAATAAGTCGATATATGGTTTAAAAAAATCCCCAAAATATTGGAACTTAAAATTTCATTCTGTAATAACTAAGAAGGGGTTTGTTAGGTCTGAAAATGATTACTGTCTTTATTCAAAATGTGAACAAGGTAATAAAATATATTTATTATTGTTTGTAGATGACATATTATTATGTGCAAGTGACTATACTCAATTGTGTGAACTAAAAACCTATTTATCTGAAAACTTTTGTATGAAAGACTTAGGTCCTGTCAAAAATTATTTAGGTATATCTGTAAATCAAAATATTGGAGAGGGCACCACCGAATTAAGTCAAGAAAATTATTTGAAATTGTTATTATTAAAACTAAACATGTCAGACTGCAAAACACAACAAACACCAATGGAAAATAAATTACAACTTGTTAAATCAAAGGAAAATGATCCTTTTTATGAGAGAAAATGTAGAGCTTTATTGGGAAGTTTAATATATGCAGTACAAGGAACAAGACCTGACTTGTGTTTTGCAGTGTCATATCTTAGTAGATTTCAAAATCATGCTGATGAAAAATTGTATAATTCAATTAAAAGAGTGTTGAGATATGTAAAAAATACAATAAATTTAAAATTGATATATTCTTGTAAAAGTAGTGAAACAAAATTAAGTTGTTATGTGGATTCTGACTGGGGAAGTGATATTAATGATAGAAAATCAACATCAGGTTTTTTGTTTAAATTGTTTGATTGTACTGTTGCTTGGTCATCAAAAAAACAACAATCTGTGAGCCTTTCATCAACTGAAGCGGAATGTAATGCTCTTAGTTCTGCTATAGTAGAAGCGATTTGGTTAAAAAAATTAATTAATGACTTTAATTTATTTTGTACTGGTCCAATAATAATGCATGTTGATAATCAAGCAACTATAACTATTTGTAATGCCCCAGAAAGCAATAGAAGAGTAAAACACACTGATATAAAATTTAATTTTATTAAACAAAACATAGAAAATAGTATAATTAACATAAAATATGTACAGACTGGAGAGCAACAAGCTGATATATTGACAAAACCTTTATGTAAAGAAAAGTTTATATATTTTAGAGGCAAATTAATGATGATTTAGAATAAATGATTCATCTATGATATTATATATGTGTATATATATATATTTTTAAATTCAGTTCAAAATATTAGAACAGGTTCTTTTTGGTTATTCTTTTTGGACACTTTATTGAGGAGGGGTGTTGGAGTATTAAGTGTGGTCACTAAAGGTCCAAAAATATTATTAATATTATTCATAGGTGGCAACTCTTGTAGTTGTTTATGACAGTGTGTGCTCTCTTGTCTGTGGTCTTTTTCCTCTTCTTTTTTCCAACTGAAACTTGATGTACACGTGAGTCAAAAAGATAAATTAAATATTATTAAAAATATTGTCCGCTGTTTTTATAAAATACCATCAATTTTTACTATAAACAGTTTATAAATAACAATGCAGTCACGATTAAAACCCAGTTTAATTAGAAAGTTTTCTACACTTTATGAACTAGCTACAAATTAGTAAATATCATGTTTTTTTAAGAGGTAATTTAAAAAAAAATCTTAGAAAAATACCTAACCTAAATTGATTTAACATGGTTTTTAGTCATTTGTAATTAGGAATACTTAATTTGGAATATAATGTCAAAATGTATACAAATTGAACGCTTTACAGATGAATTGTAGTACATTTGAAATGGATTGTTTAACATTTGTGTACATCCGAATTATTCACTAAACTATAAGAGAAATTTAAAAATATGGCAACTTATAGCGAGAGAGAGAAAAAAGTCTCTTTGAAAGTTGACAGAGGTGTTCGGAGAATGAATTAATAATTACAAAATAACTCCCTTATTTTATTCTGTGATAGTTAAATCATAATATGTAAATAAATAATTGTTATTAAATTTAGAAATATTAAGCTTTTATGTTAATTGTCCAGTATGAACTATGTTCTATTGAAATTGTATCCAAAGGAAAATTTTATTACAATATCTATATGATCGAATTCATATTTATTCACTTTGTTAATTATAATCTAACTTTTTATGGCTTTGGTCTATAGGTATTAATGAATACAAAAGTGTGTAAATTTATAGTAGAATTATTTGATATGTAAATAAAAGTAAATTTTATATGATCGTAATAGATTTTTTTATTTTCCCCTTTCTAAAGGTAATATCGATTGTAGCTATTGTGTGCTTAAATAAGTACATTAATAAACTGGAACTTCGGCGCTTATAACACAATTGGTTTATCATTAGCCATGACTGTAAATATGAACTGAATATTAAAGTTGCTAGTTTATTTTTGTTTTTAAATTTCAATAGCAGTTGCATGACTGAAGCACAGCATTGTGTGGCCCTCATCGGCGAGATGTTTTTTGTCACGGTCTGTGCCTTTTTATAGATTTTTTTAGATGGCTATGATTCGGTTTGGAGAGTAAAAGATATGGCAGTGAATTTACAGGGTATAAAAATAACACCTTAGTCCTCATTAATAACAACCCAAAAAGGGTATTATGGGTGACATAGTATACATTGTTATATTCATGACACTGTTCATAGACATGAAGTCATCGATTACTACTTTCATCAGGTGGGCCGTTAGCTTGTTTGCTATTCTAAGTTGAAAAAAACCTGAATTTATAAAACCGTGAAGCATCTCATAAATTTATTTTAATTATTATAGTGTTTTGTCTTTTTGTATTTTGTGCTAAATTCTCAATTTGAAAGAAAGTTACAATATACTGTAATAGCTAAAATAGGGTAATGTAAGTTTTGTTTTTATGAATAAGAGGGTTGTAGCGCACTTAATGTGTAATAATTTACTCTTATGGAAAGGTCCTGTAATTCAATGTAAGACTATAATTTGTAACAATTTTGAATTTTTAATATTTTAAATAGTATGGAATCGAACAAATTCTTTTAGGAATATATACATGTGGATTTTCTGTGGAAATAAAATATTACTTTTCAAGAGCTTTGTTTTATTTAACAAATTATAAACCTATTTTTTTTAGTGAAGATTATAAAGAGCATATGGAAAGACCATCTTAGATCACCTTTATAGCGACTAAGTATTGAATTTTGTTCAGAGAGTAGGTACAGTTTGACAAAAAATAGTTTGATGCGGTGACAGATGTAAATAATATTCTTGATTTTGTTTACCTAATTCTTGATAAAATGTCAACAACATTAGTGATATAAAATGTCAGTGTCAAGAATATTAGAAGTCAATATGTCAGAAATGTCAATTTGTCAACATTAGTTTTCTTTTTGATTTTGTCACGGTCACGCATTGATTATTCTATTTTTATCTCGACATCTACTTTAATTACAACTTAAAAACTTATAAATACAAAATACATATCTTTATTACAGTTAGTATTATTACATTGGTCCACGGATATTACGAGTAAAGTGAAAAAATACTCGTGTAAGTAATACAATTTTGTTTTGTCTAATATTTCACAATTACAATTATTAAAAAGAAACTTATAGTATATTTTAAATTGAATTGAAAGTGACCTAGTCGCCACTTATAAAATATCTGATTTCGTCATTATTATAAGGGAAACAATTAAAATTTATATTAGTAGTAGTAGGAAAATAAAATTACAGCGACTAGAATACAAATGAAACTTATGTTCAATAGTGGAGATAATTTGAAATTATTATGATGAGGATTTAATTTTTTTGCAACTGAACACCATCCAATCTTAAACTAAATTTACATCGCTTGTATATTTATACATTAATATCCATATGTATATAAGTATGTTTATATTTTATAGTTATGTATTGGTTGTCACTAGACAAATATTTTATTAAAAATCATATAAATCCATATTTAATTTTATGTGATTATAGACGAAATGAAATTATTGTCTAGTATCAGGGAACTTCCTGTCTTAGCCAAAAGTAATGTACACATAAAAAATGAAGAAACTTTATTAGAAAAATTAAATAAAATAATATCACAAGGTCATGAGAAATTACAAATTGTTACCGATTTTGACCACACTTTAACAAGGCACATTAAAGATGATGGGACACCAGTTTTGACAAGTTTTGGTAAGTTTTAATTAATAATTTCAATCAAATTAGTAAAAGAGTTAATAATGAAATTTGTAATTACTAATTGATATATAATATTTATTGCTTTGTATATTTATTAGAAAATCAATAATTAAATTTTCCTTAAATTAAAATTTAATGACACAATTCAGTAATGTGTGTGTTCACAATTATCTAAGTGTTTTTTAATTATTAATTTAATTATGAGTGAGCATAGGTTTATCAGACTGACTTGTATATTATGTATTCACTACAGGAATGCTAACAGCTTGTCCATCAGTCCCTCAACACTACAAAGATGAGGATATGAGACTATCTGCTATTTACAAACCTATAGAATCCAATGGATGTATCAGTGTTGAAGAAAAAACCAAACATATGGTTGATTGGTATGTGGCAGCAAATAGCCTTTTGAAGTAAGAACTGTTATTATCTAATTTAAGTTATTACTAATTTTTGCATCATTATCTTTGGTGTGACTGAAATATCTTGATTAATCACAATAATTACAAATTAAAAAGTATTTTATCTCCTTCACCACCCTTATTACCATAATGTACACCAAATTTTATGACAATTTGTCCCAAGGGTAATCAAACACTCACTTTTACATTTATAATATTAGTAAGAATAAAGAAAAAGAAATATTCTCCCATATGCACTAACTACATCATGGAAATTTTGAAAATAGAAATTTGGCATGCAGGTAAATCAAATTAAATGTGAGGATCATTAAGAGAATTAACCCAAAAAAAAAGCCAAAAACATATTTTTTTAATGGTAGAGAATCTTATTTAGCATGAAGTCAACCTTTTGTTATATTTACTGAGAGTGATCAATAAAGTTATTGTAAACAAATACATCCATATAAAATTGCAGGACACAGCCAGTTGTTAATGTTTTTATATTAAATAGGATAATTAAATTAATAAATATGCTGTTTTTTATTATTTGTAGAGGGATGATATTTCCAAAAAATGAATTAACTAAAGTGGCTGAAGGACTTAAGGACTGTTTTAGGTGAGTTAATATTAATCTTACACACATGAAATAAATAGTACTTTAACAGATACAAGTATCTAGGGAAAGGGTGATATGACCTCACTATGTACATCAAAGAACAGCCATTTTGAAACATTTTGGCAAATGTAATATTTTTTTATATGCCTGTGTGTCATCAAGGCAAAATTTTGAAATCTGATGATGATAATGATTATTTATGTGCTAATTATAACGAAACAATGTGATATCAGTCATAATTTCATAATAATTAGCACATAATTAAAACCTTTAACTTGCTTTTCTTTATAATATAATTTTGAAAATTGGAAAGATATTTTTATAGCAGATTATTATTACACATTTTTATTGTTTAATTTATGGCATGAAACCCTTGGCATTCTTCATAGTAGAATAGGCCACCCCTTTCTTTCCCATGGGTGTCATAAGGGAGGGCGAGGGATGGGCAGCAGCGTCGCTCTTAAAACATCTCTAAAGCCTGACTGCGGTTGCCAATCCGCCTGCCAAGTGTGGCATCTACTGGCAAAACTCTCCAAGGGGGAGGCTTATGTTCAGCAGTGGACAGTTAAAGGCTGATATGATGATTTGTAATAAACAAGCCAATCTCTATGCAACTGTTTAAAATACCTACTTTTACCAGAGGGAGACTTTGTACAAAAGTCGTTTGCTTGGGTACCTCTGTCCCATTCGTGTTTCAACCGTAAAGCAGTTGTGTTTGCATGGCTGTGTTTCGGTTTGAAGGGTGGGATATAGCATGAATTTACAGGATATAGAGGAATAACATCTGAGTCCTCAGGAATGGCAACGCATGGGAGGTATGGGCGAAACAGTATACTCTTATGTCCATGGTACTGCTCATGTCTATAGGCGACGGTTACCACTTTCCATTAGGTAGGCTGTCAGCTTGTTTGTCATTCTAAGTTGTATAGAAAAAAAAAAACCTAACATTCATTCCGGAATCTTATACTCGTATTACTCATGACGACATGGTGGTAGGACATGGTCGCATTAGTGGAATTTTGGAACAAGTGGATGTGACAAACTCACAAAAACTTAACTTTTCTAATTTCATAACCATCTCTTGACACTTTTATTGTTTGATTCCGAAACTAGTCGAGCTTTTCCGATTTAATTATACGTATGTTAAACCGGTAGTTATTACATTAAAATATCTTGACGGTTTATTTTCATTTAAAGTTGCCTTTAATCTCATTATAATCATATCATTATAATTATAGCATTAGAGTCAGTAATAGGTGTTTATCTGCGCCAGCCATAATTAAAATGTCGTTATAAGCGTTGAACTACATTGACAGCAAAAAGAAGTGATGCGAGTGCGTATGGAAAAGGCGAAATGCTCACACTTTTTTAGCTGGCAATCGTCCTAAATTTCCATTTTGCTGCCCCTTATTTTATTGTCGCTCAGAATAATTTTCTGGCTCTCACTGCCTAAATCAGAGTATTAATTAGTAATATTAGGTAGTTATCCTAGTATAGTAGTTACATATATAGACAGGGTTTTTTTTGATGGGTGAAAATGGTATGGTAACCTCGCCTGCGCGAGATAAGCTAGCGGAGCACCAGTGAAGGGTGATAGACGAGAATGAAAACAGGCCAGTTAGCCCATCATAATGAATTCATCAGGAATTAACCATGATAGGTTCCAGGGAGAAGCGCGAGGAGATCGACCTGGTTGGGTATATTGCTAACAATAGGATTCTTAGTCTCCATTACTAATAATCCCTTTCCCCCCAACGTTATATAGACAGGGTAAAATGGAAGTCGATTAGTGGAAGAATATTCTTAGTTTTTGTATGGCTAACAATACAAAAACAGAGAATGTAGAAACAAGCTTTAGAATATATTAGAAGAGAAATTTAGAGAATTACATCTGGACGCGGCGTTAGTGTGTCGTTAGAGTGGAAGGCTCAAATTTTTATGTCTCTTTTGACCCATGTTTCATTGGCAAAAGATGTGGAAATATTCAGTTCCACTCTCTTAAAAGGATGCTAACGATGTCGATTTCACCCTTTATAATATTCAAAATAACGAATTTAATTTGTTATTCAAACTTCAAAAACATTTTTTAGTCATACTTCAAAAGATTTGAAATTTCTGAATCCTTTCATACTTGCGCTAAAGATCAGCATCATACATTACTTGTCTATTCCCAAATTACATTATTCATGTTTTCCCGGATTTTTTTTAAATGATACTATTTCACCTGATTTCCAGGAGCGGCGTTGAACATTTAATAGAATGGAGTGAGAGCAATAAAGTGCCAGTATTGATATTCTCTGCCGGACTGGGGGACTGTGTCGTGGCCGCCGTGAAGTCTAGCAATTTAATGCGTGGAAACGTAAAGGTAAGATGTTTATATCAAGCTACAATATGTTTGAGCGCAGCTTTTTGAGCACGTAAGGTGCTCAGGAAGCTTACTCTTAAATCTCTGTAATCTCACGCTTACTCAGAAAGTTATTAGACATTAAAAAAGAAGATTGAGATTTATACAAATTTAACGCCTCTTTCGGTTATGGATATTTGATTTTAAGGAATAAAAAGTAGTATTTTATTCATCCATCCATTCAAAGGTTGCTTGGAAGAGATTGCTTTTAGTGATAAGGTCGCCCATTGTTTTCTTATTGTAATTATTTCTTGTATTTTTATTTATAATAAGTTTACTGTTGTAATCTTTTGGAGGAAACAATAAAGAGTATCTTACTTTCTTACGTGTAATTAGACCGAGAAAACTCGACTAGTTTCGGGATCAATTCGTGATACTCAATCACGAGCGCCTGTGACGCGATCGCAAGCTTGACACGTTGTAATTATTACATTAAAATATAATGTGTGCTTACGAAACTATTAACAATAAAATAAAAAGAAGTGTCACGAAGCCCAATCTGGATGTAAGATGGGCGACGCAAAAGTTTAATCAGTATGTTATCTCGGAAGTATCTCGTTTTGAGTGTCGTTTATGTGTCGTCATGAAGCAATAGATTGTGGAGCTGTTCAGTCGCTTGTTTCTCATAGCAATGTACAGTTCTGGTTAGTATTTGATTTTCCATTTAAGATTGTTACTAATATAATGATGTGTAACAAGTTTATAGCAGACACTTTGTTAAAATAAAATAAAAAACTACCTACCAAAATCTTTCTTACGCTTCTGTCGCTTACTTTACATTAGTAGGTAAGTGTTAGTTTATTTTGAAACAACCAAACCGTTGACTTGTACTTTGTTTCTGAAACACATGCGACAAAGAAATAGTTCTCTTTTCATTTAAGAGTTTCCTCTTGTCGCTTCAACTAATTCATGCATCTTCGTCCAGCCAGTTCTATCCCAGGCCATATCCTTGACCTCCCTATACGACATAACACCTAGTGTTTCTTTTATCTATCCCATGTAATGATTCCTCGGTCTTCCTCTTCCTCTATCTTTCCTTCTACTATGATTTAAAAAAAAATCATCATGTCGTATAAGGTGGCCCAGCATTTTGCCTCTTCTATTCTGTATTATTTTAATTAATGTTCTTTTCTCGTTCACTCTTTTCAGGACTTCCTCATTCGTTAGTTTTTCTGTCCAGCTTATTCTTTCCATTCTCCTCCATGTCCACATTTCGAATGCCTCAAGCATCTTTCTTTCCTTCTGCGTCATTGTCCATGTTTCACACCCATATAATGCTATGCTCCAAATATAAGTTTTTATAAATTTCTTAAGGATTATTTTGGAAATTTTTGATGTAAATATATGTTTTTTGTTGTCATAGGCCTGTTTTGCGACCGTTATTCTAGTTTTAATATCCAATGTGCACCTAGCGTCTTCTAGGATTATACTTCCCAAGTACTTAAAGTTCCTAACATTTTGAATAAGCATGTTATTTATTTGACTTTGGGTTTGCAGTTCAATTGGCTTTTTAGAAGTACTGAGTATTTTGGTTTTATTTGTGTTAATTTTGAAATTACATTTCCTTAAAAATTGTATCCATAAAATTTAATAAAGAAATAGTTATGTATTCATATTTATTTATTAATTTTAAATATTTATTACTTTTATTATTTAATATAAAATTTAAAGTTATTGACTCCAAAGTTGAATTTGATACGATCCTTAATCTTATGGAACTTCTCTGAGACCTTTTCCCTATCTTTAGATCTCAATGACCATGGACGCAAACCGACGAGCCCCATCGGGGGATTTTTAGTAAGAGATTGTTAATAACGGTGACTGGGCCTCATTGCTAGCAATATACTCTGTCTGGTCGACCTCTATGTGGACATCATCGGGGTTAATTCTTGATAAAGTCATCGCTATTGGCCAGTTGACTTGCTTTTACTTTCGCCCATCATTTTTCACCACTGTCCTGTCAGCGTGTAGGTATCGATAGCGCAAGCGGGCTCACCATTCCATTATCTAATTATCCATTAAGAAAAGATCGCTTCGTCCCTAAGGCTGGTACTGTTTGAAGTAAAATATTGATTGCACCAACCACGCTGTATAAGAATAATTTGACAGCTATCTATTTACAGTATAATTTGTTGCAGGTTGTAGCCAATTTCCTGGCCATGAACGAGAGAGACGAAATAGTTGGCATGCAAGGTGAAATAATACATACTTTGAATAAAAACGAAACGGCCATCAAGAACACAGAATACTATGGAATGGTTAAGGATAGGAGTAATGTTCTCTTAATGGGCGATAACATCGGCGACGCGGGAATGGCCGAGGGCATGGAGCATTGCGATGTCGTCATAAAAATAGGATTCCTTAGTTGCAAAGTGGAGGAAAATTTACAAAACTACATGGACAAGTTTGATATTGTGCTAGTCAACGAACACACTTTGGACGTTGCGAATGCTTTAATTGATTTGCTGCAGTGATTTGTGAAACTGTCTATTTGTTTCATCAAGCCAACACAACGAGGACTTTGTTTTGAAATAATTGAACCGGTTACGTTGTAAACGAATTATAACAGTTAATTATATTATTAATGTTATTTTATGATATTTTTTTGTTGAACATGTTAATTTTTATTAATATTATTAAATGTTATAAAATTTGTGTTTTGATGTGCCACACAGCATTAAACACTAAACAGAGAGATTAGTAAAGGTCACGTTTATAATAATAATAATAAACTTTATTTGCAATGATTTTGGTTATAAAACATTTGATCTTATAAATTAAAAGTACCTTACAAAATCTACTTAGGTCAAGCGTGCAAATATTGAAAACAAAAATTACAATGATTTAATTTAAAAAAAAATATTATATATTTAATATATATATAAAATATTGAGAATAAATATAGTATTTTTACATATAAACATACTTGAATCGGTATAAAAGGTATATGTATAGGTATATGTATAATAAATTTGGAAGCTGTAACACTCATTACATTTACTTATCTTTGTGAAAGCAGTAAATTCTCAAGGCAGTGCACAACAACTACACGGACAGCAAAAAAAGCAAGACAAGTACATGGGTAAATTTAGTTGTGAAAGCGCTATTTAGTTGTTCTTTTTTTTATGGGTGAGAATGGAATGGTAACCCCGCCTGCGCTAACGGGATACGCTGGCGCGGCACCAGTGAAGAGTGATCGATGAGAATGAAAACTGGCTAGTTAGCCCATAATAATGAATTCATCAGGAATTACCCATGATAGTTTTCAGGGGGAACCGCGAGGAGGTTGACCTGGTTGGGTATATTGCTAGCAATGGGATTCTCAGTCTCCATTACTAACAATACCTTTCCCCCCGCTTTTAAGTTTTTTTTTTTGATGGATGATAATGGCATGGTAACCCCGCCTGCGCTATCGGGATACGCTGGCGGAGCACCAGTGAGGGATGATTGGTGAGGATGAAAAGGCAGGTCAGTTAGCCCATCGTGTTGAATACACTTGGAATTCAGCACGATGGTTTCCAGGGGGGACCACGGGGAGGTCGACCTGTTAGGGTATATTGTTAGCAATGGGACTGATAATCAGCATTACTAACAATCCCTTCCCCCAAACTATTTAGTTATTAGTTCTAGGTGACACGGGCAATCTGCAATCAGTCGATAATTTTTTACTTATTAACACACGCGACGTATTGAATTTGTTTTAAGTGATTCAAGTCCCTGCCGTTGTTCGTACATGAAACCCGCCATGATGGCGGGGTCCTCTCCCGATTCTCCCAAGCATCGTATCGATGTTGGCCGCAATGTTCGCTGGCCAAAGCGCTATAGTTATTATAGTGAGAAACAATTAGAACTCTGAGTCTTATGGCTGCGAGCTTAATGTGATCTATGACCTAGCAGATCTAAACTTGTACCAACGAGCTTCTCTTCTTCCTGACGAGTGCACTGAGAAAAACTATAGCCTTTAATATTTATTGGAATATAGGCCTATGTTTTAATATATTTCTATTGAAAAACTGTTATGTTTCATACTGGATCTAATAGAATATATATGATAATATACAATATATTTATATTCTATTATTTTTATCGTTAAGATGTAGTTAGATATGCGTGCCTCATCGCAACATTATTGTATTATTTTCTTATGTATTTCTCTAGCTCGCAATAAGGTTCAATTATTTAGTGTTAAACTTATTTTATTTTTTTTTTCTCTTTATTTTGACATTATATCAAGGCTGGGGGCAATGGTTACGCCGCTTCGATTGTACCTGGGTTCATCTATTTTATTATGCTCTGTGGGCAAGTGACGTACCAAAAACGCTACAGGGCAGAGTGCAATTATCCCGCTTGCCAAGCGAACCCGTCGCGCGCGCGCATCGCAGTGAAAAATATAGTATACAGTTTTGTTTTTTTTTTTTTTATACAACTTAGAATGGCAAACAAGCTGATGGCCCACCTGATGGAAAGTGGTAACCGTCGCCTATAGACATGAGCAGTACCGTGGACATAACAGAGTATTCTGTTTCGCCCATGATACCCCCTATGCGTTGCCATTCCTGAGGACTCAGGTGTTATTCCTCTGTACCCAGTAAATTCATGCCATATTCCACCCTTCAAACCGAAACACAGCCATGCAAACATAACTGCTTCACGGTAGAAACACGAATGGGACAGAGGTGCCCAAGCAATCGACTTTTGTACAAAGACTCCTTCTGGTATGATATGTTGGTATTATTATTTATGTTGGACAAATTAAGTAAAAACTATTCCGTGTTATTCTGCCCATCGAAGCCATCCAAAAACAGCATAGAAGACAAGGAGCTGAACTGCCGTGGTTAGGTCATCCACTTAGGCACACCCGCGCTGTACTCGTGAGTTGAAGCTATCGAAGGTACGCATAACTTCCACCTTTCGCCTTGTCCATGTTTTTGTCCAGGCGTACTTTACGGGGATGGCCGTAGGCCGTGCCCATTCCAGAATTGCCTGATGCCTACCCTAGGACCCAAACTTCACAGGTTCGCCTGGGAGTACATATGTATGCGTTTTTTTAAGGAGTCATGCCCACCCTAGATAATTATTTTAAATATGCCATATGCCTATGATAGAAAATATAACAGAAAATACTATTCCTCCACCCTTATTTATTACTTTCAACAAATACCATTATTTATTATTTTCAACGTAAGTTTATAAAAGTATATGTGAATATTACAGGAAAAATTTAACGATATTTCTATCACAATATTTTAAATGTCCTCCAAAAACAAAGTCATATGCTGTTGGATTTGTAGCCATAAATAGAAACTAAACTAAGGAACAATTGAAATAACAGCAACAATATTTATTAAGCATTTATTGCATATAAAAAATACAATATGGTAATTTTATTTCATATGCTCTCTCTATACATTTAAATAATAATTTCATATTCACATAATTCAAATATATTTCTATCCAAAGAAAACAAAAATCTATTTACAGATTATTTTCTGTACGGAACTCTCGGTGAGTTAGTTTAAGTCACACTTGGGTTTTTTTTACGTAGTGAATCACTAGGACTCAACGACATTGTTACCAATATATGTATACTAATCGCACAATTTGCCGAGCCTATTTATGTAGGCGTTTTAAATTTTTATATTCAGTTAGTTTATCCTTACAATCACTTTAACCAGCTCACAGAAGGTCTCTACTGGACACGGGTCTTTTCAAAGACACGCCATTAAGCGCGAACAATTGTTACCAGCCACCAGTGTATGGCGTCACTCTACCTAGCCGAAGGTAGCTTTAAACTGCGTATGCGGGGGGAAAAGGGATTTTACTAATATATATATATATATATATATATATATATATATATATATATATATATATATATATATATATATATATATATATATATATATAATATAATATAATAATATAATAAGGTTATGAATATTCCATTGCAATATAGCAATATAAGTTTGTTTTTTAAATTGGTTTGACTGAGCATCAATAGTAGTACTTCGTCAAACGTTAGAAATCATAAATATTAAAATACTAATAACCCAGCCCAGCTTCGCACGGGCAGATAGAATTTTCGACCAAAATATATAGCATATGTTTAGATTATTTATAGAGGAATAATTCTTTCCCACATGTTTTTTGGGTAACTTGAACAGTTTACTCAGCACACGCAACGGAAGCCCTCAAATATGAATAAATTTTCCCGTTTTTGCAACATTTTTCACGGACGTTTTGCTCCTATTGGTAGCAGCGTGATATTATATAGCCTAAAGCCTTCCTCGATAAATGGACTATCCAACACAGAAATATTTTTTCAATTCGAACCAGCAATTCTTGAGATTAGCGCGTTTAATCAAACAAATTCTTCAGCTTTATAATATTAGTATAGATATGAATCTATGTACTCAAAGGATTAATTAATAATCTGTAATTATCTATAACATATACAAATATATAAAGACAGATCAGCTAGTTTGCCTTCATATTATTGATATTTTGCACTAAATTTGATGCGGTTTTTCCAGTTGTTCTCCTGAAAGTGTAATTTAAAACTTTGTGAACTTGATACACCATCTAGAAGCGGACGAAGTAGCGGACAAAAGTTAGTTTGTAATATTAGTAAAGATAAATAAATGTAATATGTAGACTTCTAATAAATTTATATTATAATTTTCCTTTAATAAGTTTATCAGTGAAGCGGTAGCCCAATTGGCAAGAATGGTTCCGGCATGATAACTTAAATCCCGTCCACTTTGAAATTTTTCAACTATTTAATAATTGTTATTATGTTCATCAAATAGTATCATAAAGTGCAACTTAAAACGCATTGGCGTTCTGGCAACACTATTATAACTATTATTAATATAATAAAAGCAGCGCTTTAGTATTGATGAGTATCATATTGATTGAGTCTGTATGTGTGTCATATAGCCTGTTATTATTATTTGATTATAAATTTGTGTAGTGGTTTTTCAGCGACAGAAACTAGTGTTCAAGCTTAAAAAATTTATTGACTCAGAATTAATAAAATGTAAGTACAATTAATTAAATAAATATCTATATTGTTTGAAGTGTAGACAGATTAAAGAAAGTTAACTTGAGTTTTAAATGTAATGTAGTAACACTGTTTTTACAATGGCGCTGGGCAGCTCAGTATGTATTTTAATTATTAACTTAATGGTTTTAATTATTATAGTTATTATAGAAAACTTAAAAAAGTTTTTCTTGCAACAACACAACATACTAATTATAGCGCATTATGCTCTTAGTAGCATCTTAAGACATTCTTAACTATGATTGTTTTATTAGGATAATATAAATAATAGTATCCATTTTGTCTCACTAAAATAACAAAATTGTTTAAGAAAATTTATATGGGGAATTTTAATAAGAACAATAAAAGCGAAGAAAAATCTTTTTAGAAATGTTATCTGTCTGTTTATCTATCTATCTGTATGTTTGTTTCGGTATTACTCAAAAGCTATCCCACCAAATTAAATGCATTTCTCAAAGTTGTGTTCCTAAGGGTATAATTTAAAATCTGGTGTGTGTGTTGTATCTTGATATGTTATCTGGAAGTGATTTGTTTCATTGGCTTTCTACTTAAATTGTTAGAGCATTTTTTAAAGGCATCCATTTGTTTTATAAAAATTGACAAATAATTGCGATGTTACTACATAGAATTTTTAGACGCTTCGATAAAGTACGTCTTTATCTCCCTCCCCCCCCCCTTCCAGTACCTGCATGCATCCCTCCAATTTACTTACGTAATATACCTACTACATTCGTTCGTCTTATTTCATTATTCATTGTCCTTTAGCCAAAATGACTGTCGTGCTTAAGGATATTTTGCCATTGAATCAACAAAATGTCTTCATTTCCAACGAGGAACAACTTTTGAAGAAGATCAACAGTATGAAGTCGGATACGTATGCGAAACTACAGATCGTTACTGATTTTGATCACACGCTGACAAGGCCTGATGGGCTGACTTCTTTTGGTAAGTAGAAATGGTCTAATGTAATGTACACTTGTCTTCATTCGTTTATATTTGCCTACTGGGCCCATAATAATAATAATTTTTATTTCGGACTTTTTTGGTCCATTAAATATTTATTAGTAACAATATTCTTAAAACGAATGTTAGTAAATTTATATACACAATACACACACAGATAATATATTAAATAATATATAGATAATCACCGTTGCACAAATTCATTGGAAATTGCGCAGCAGTGATTAACGTACACACAGTCCAGCCTGCTTGCTATCATACTCAAGATATTACCTAAATATACAGTATAACAAAACTATGTACTAGTACTTAGTATATTGATTATCCTTTAACTGTCCACTGCAGAATATAAGCCTCCCCCTTGAGGGGGTTTTGCCAGTAGTAGCCACGTTTAGCGGGCGAATTGGCAAACACAGTTAGGTTTTAGAGATGTTTTAAGGGGGACGCTGCTGCGCATGCGAAAGGATGGGGTGGTCTATAGAATACTTAGTATAATACTATAAAGTGAAAAGCTTAACCCTCATCCAGGGATGGGCATTAGATAATTCAGAGATGTCTACCACCTTTTTAATACGCCTAAGAGTGAGGCTATCCTTATAGTCTGGGGGGAAAGGCCAGGATATACCGCCAACGTATATACGGCCAGGTTTAGATCAAAATAACTGGTATTGTCACAGTTGAAGTCGATTTTTTATGCTCAGAGTCATTGTTCAATATGATGCCCACGGCCACTTTCTACCATCGTACGGCTCGCCATCGACAGGGAGTTCATCCTCATATCCTACAACCGCAATGGTCGCGTACACCGCGGTTTTAGAGATGTTTCCTTCGACGAACACTCAGGTTATGGAATGAGCTTCTTGCCGAGGTTTCCCCAAGAGCCTACAGCATGGGGTTGTTCAAATGGGGAGTAAAGAGGTTTCTTCAAAGAGGGTCGGCAACGTACGCGTAATACCTCTGGTATTGTAGGTGTTCATAGGCTACGGTAACCACTTACCATCAGGTGGGTCGTATACTTGTTTGCCACCTCAGTGGTATAAAAAAAATTATGGGAGTAAACTTTAATTATTCGTGACACATAATTTAATTATAAGAATAACATTTAAAACAATTCGTTACAATTGGCTATTTATCTATGTGGGGTTTACCGAAAGAATTCACTTTTAGAGATAAGCTCGCCCCTGTATACTATTATGTATAACTAACTGTACCCCACGGCCGCGCCTGCGTGAATCAGTACGTAATTACCTTATGTACTAAATTAGGAGTATAATCTACAGCATTATAACAGGATTATTATTTTGTTATAATGCTTTTTGTGTACAATAATGTATTAATATGAAAATTCTGTTGACAAATAAAGAGTGTGACTAATGCAGGCCACACGCATTGCATTGTATAAATACATAGTGTGGCATACATTATTGTCTGCAATTTTTACTGTGTGGTAGGTCAGACATGCGGTTTAGCATAAGACTGTCAGCATATTAATTGCGAAATTATACTTTATTTGGTGGGAAATTTAAAATTGCCACAGTGTATTTGCGTCGGATTTTTTTTTATACAACTTAGAATGGCAAACAAGCTGACGGCCCACCTGATGGAAAGTGGTATCCGTCGCCTATAGACATGAGAAGTATCATGTACATAACAGAGTATACTGTTTCGCCCATGATACCCCCCATGCGTTGCCATTCCTGTGGACTCAGGTGTTATTCCTCTGTACCCAGTAAATTCACGCCATATCCCACCCTTCAAACCGAAACACAGCCATGCAAATACAGCTGCTTCACGGTTGAAACACGAATGGGACAGAGGTACCCAAGCAATCGACTTTTGTACAAAGTCTCCCTCTGGTAAAGTTAGGGTCAGGAACTCACAAGGATAAAACATTCAATCAGTCAATCATAGTCGTGGATAGATAGATAGATAGATAATTTATTTGCATTACTTACTTACAGCACACAAATTACAACATAGATATAAAAAAAAGTGAGATAATATAAATGATAAAAATTTTTATATAAAGCTAAATACAATTTTCGTTTGTGCGTGTGCCATAGCAATACAATTATTCGTATTTATTTATATCGCATTATCAAAAATATATAATTATAAAATGAATAAAAGTATCTACAGTCTAAACAATTTTTTTTAATGGACATTGATGGGACATCAGTGAGTGATGTCAGGTAAGAATGAAAAGGCAGGTCATTTAGTCAGTCCATCGTGATTAATACACCTGGGATTTAGCACGATGGTTTCCAGGGGGACTATGTGGAGGTCAAACTGACAGGGTGTATTGCTGGCAATGGTAGTCCATTTTACTAACAATCCCTTCCCCCCTAGTCAAAACTATTAATCTGGAAAGTTGAAATTTAAAACAGGTTTATTTTATAACGTAAGTTTCCGTTAATGTTGAATTTTTAAAAAATCCATTATTTTAAAGTGTCAATTTGATAGGTAAACACGATAAAAACACACATGTAAAATTTTTGGCAACTGCTAGTTAATTAGATATGAAGTTAGTTTCAACCGACTTCGAAAAAAGAGGAGGTTCTCGATTCGGCGATATTTTTTTCATGTTTATCTCATTACACCTTCGCTTATAAATCGATTTATATATTTTTTTATCTGAAAAGATGTACTATCAAGTTGGTTCCATGAAAATTTTATCAAAATCAATTCAGAGGGCCTACCATGAAGTATTTTCCGAAATTTCGGGAACGAACGAAACAGAAATTTGATGTTAAAATTACATAATACATGCTGTTTAAAATTATTAAAAAAGTTAAAATATCGTTCCTTTCGACTATTAGAATAGGATTTATGATGAACGAAATGTTAAGCTCCATTTACTGGATCGATTTTGATAGGAACAAAAACACGAAATTAAGCCCGAAATTTCGGAGTTTAATTTCATGGTAGACCACCAGTACTTTAGTTTTAAATATAAAATAATCGGTTTTGTCATTCAAGTTGATGTTTTTTTTTCTTGAAACAATAAGAGTAGATCTGTCAAAATTCATTAGATTGTACTGACACTGATATGATGATTTATAATATTACAGATATGTTTAACAAATGTCCGTCAGTACCTGTTGAATACGTACAGGTAAATGAGAAATTGAAGAAAGAATATGGAGATGCTACGAAAACCGTCAACATGAGCGACGGAGAGATAACTGAGCACTATTCACAATGGTTTAGAAAAGTTTACGACGAGCTCAAGTAAGAGAATTATGTTTACAGTCATTATCATATAGATTTATTTATTTACTAGCCTTTATTCCAGCAAAGAACTCGTGTGACTGGGAATGAAAGTAGCTTATAATGTACTACTTCGTCCCAAATAGGCACTAAGTGTACCTGATAATTCTTGGAGTCGAAAAGTGACAAACTGAATTTAATATTAGGCCAATTTATCTCGGTCAATCGACAATGTATCCTGATAACTATTTGCGCATTTAAAATATTTGCATAAATGCAAACTAAACTGTGATAGACTCTATATAAAATGTTAACTAACATAACAGAGGAATAACATTTGAGTCCTCAGGAATGGCAACGCATGGGGGGTATCATGGGCGAAACGGTATACTCTGTTATGTCCATGGTACTGCTCATGTCTATAGGCGATGGTTACTACTTTCCATCAGGTGGGCCGTCAGCTTGTTTGCCATTCTAAGTTGTATAAAAAAAAAATCTTTTTTCTTATTCTGATCGGACAAAGTTTTGGACTGTTATATTTAATATATCTACATTTTCGTTACACCTTGGATGAACAAGTTATAATATAAAGATAAAAATCCTGACTGACTGCCTCATCAACGCTTAACTAAACTAATAATGATTAAATTACTAAATTTTTAAAGTAAGTTTCTTTTACGATCTACAAAAGTGAGATTTTTTTGATTAAATAAGAGAGATTTTTTAAAAATGCGGTCCATAAGTCCCTATATATACAATATAATATAATATATAAGGGTGGAAATTGATGTGAAAATTTTATTAACCCATAGATCTAAAAATTTCCCATAAATTCTCTTAAATAAAAATAATGAAACTCAATTTCAACATTCCTCAAATTTTAACCCGTAACTGTATTCAAAAATGCATGAAGCAAAGACAAATGTCCTTCATCGCACAGACGTAAGAATTAAACCTAAAAATACCAAATTTAGTTAGAAATAGAATAGAATAGAAATTTATTATTTGACAAAAACATAAAGTTACAAACACAAGATACAATGAGCCCCATACTAGGCGAACCTGCATCGTGAGCACCCGACAAAGATTAACAAATCACAATGTGTTATAATGAAGTGAACATAGTGGACGGGTATTAATATAAAAGAAAAGGAATATAACATTAACATAATGCTCATTTGCTGAGCAATTCTGAAAAATGAAATAAATAATATAAATACACAAGCAATTACAACAGAAGGTAAGATAGAAGGAAGAAGGGGGAGAGGGAGACCGAGACATAGTTACATCAGACAGATGAAGGAAGGAGTTGGTGTCGTGTCGTATCAAGAGGTGAAGAGACTCGCTGAAAATCGTAGTGAGTGGCAAGAGCTCCACCGATAAGAGTGCAGCTCTTAAATGGATAGATAGATAGTAATATACATATGTATGCCCTTAAGAGAAGCGAAAATGTGTATATGAATGTGGGTATATTTGTAAGCATGTGTGAATGTGTGTTGTGTAGAAAGATGTGTACTGTATGTTATTATTTTCCAAACCACAGTTTTTTAGTTCAGATAATAGATTCCTTTATGACCTACATACGTAATAACAAAAATTTTAAAACTTCGATGCCTTAGGTAAAAATAGGGATGGAAGTTTCAATATAGCGGGATCATTTTTTCTTATTGTAATTAAAAAAAACTATTTTATCTCTCAAGTTGATTGATTTACAAAATTTCATTAAAATCGATTGAGCGGTATCAGAGATTAGCGTGAACAAATATCATGACACGGGATTTTTACATTTACCATATTAAATATTTTTTAGGCTTAGTATTTAATACAGTCTTCTTTTACAGGGCGCATATTGAGAAATTTCCTTTGAGTGAACTTGATGAACAGGCAGACAAAGTAAAATTCAGGTAAGAACTACGAATAAAGGTAAACAGTATCACAAATTGTATTGCAAAGAGGATGTCCTGAAAGATACTCTTTATTACCTCAAAAAAATTACAGTATTAAACTTATTAATATAAAACAAATTTCAAGAAACGATCCAATCATTCAGGTATTACTCATAAATATGACTGAGTAGTAGGTATTGAGGTTTTTTTTTATAAAATAATTAAAATGAAACCTAGGCCATGGTGTTGGTTAACGCTGGCGGCATATTTTATTATTACTAGGTTTATGGTAGATTTACATGCTCCCTCCCGTTCTGTGGAAAGTATCATAATTAATTCCTGTGAAATCCTTACGATGTTACGAGGTCTAACTTCAACATTTATTGTTACTGACTGGTTCCTAATATACAATTATCCCTTAAAAAATATGAAATTGTCGCAATTTTTTTTTCATCGGTAATAAAAATTTACAGGTATGGCGTGGAAAACTTGATAAAGACGTGCGAGGAAAAAGAAGTGCCTATATTGATTTTCTCCGCTGGAATGGGTGAATGCGTTGATGCAGTTATCAAAAAAAATAATTTACAGTCCCTCCCCAATATTAAAGTAAGTTAACAGGTATTTCTAATTGATCAATAAAATATGATTGTAATTTAATTAATTAGGACTTTAGTGGAGGTTAAAGTTTCTGTAGATTACTAAATTTTGTTGTACATAAATAAACTATACCTTAGTTAAGTACGTATCTATTTTGAGACTTCATTATTTTTAGATCATCGCTAACTATTGTGAATTGGATAGTAATGGCAAAGTGCTCGGTGTGAAGGGTGATTTTTTGATGCACTCCCGTAATAAAAACGAGGCTATCAAACACTACGTCAAATTAGACGAACACTTCAAGGAAATGGAAAAACGTCGCAACGTGATTCTAATGGGTGATATGACGGGCGACGTCGGCATGGTTACAGACGAGAGCTGTAACATTATCAAGATAGGCTTTTTATCTCTTAATGGAAAGCAAAATATAGAGGAAACGGAGAAAAATAAAAAGAAGTATCTAGATGTATTCGATATTGTACTTCTCAATGAAAATACCATGGATGTACCGAATGCTATATTGAATATAATAAATAATGCTTATTGAATGTCACCATATCAAGATTAAGCGTTACCGTAAAAACAATTTGCATATTATCAAATTTATTTATATAGTGTCGATCATTTTTTATACTTTTATATTTTAATATTTATTTTTTATATGTCCGTATTATTAAAACAATATTGTAAATAAACGTATTCATCGAATTTATTGTGTTTTATTGTAATGTTATTTCTACTTACTTGTTTTGTATAGATACTAGGTAGATAAATACTTCAGTCAATAACAACATACAATTTTAAATTGTTAAATAAAAAGAAATTTTGAAATAGTCGACTGAAATTGGAAAAAAACCGAAATCCGATTTTTGTTGTGTAATATACGACACCAGGCAATAAATAAATCTATATGCCTGACAATTTCGCCTCTTTGTAATTTGCAAAAAAAAAAAAACAATTGTATAAACAATTTAAGAATTAGAATATCAATTCAAGAACATATACTAATTCTACAAATAAATTATCAAGATTTCAACAAGATATTCTTATGTAAAGCCAAAAACAGACATATTAATTATAATAGTGTTTGTTAGTTTTTTTTATGCAGCTTAGAATGGCAAACAAGCTGACGGTCCACCTGGTGGAAAGTAGCAACCGTCACCTATAGATATGAGCAGTACCATGGACATAACAGAGTATACTGTTTCACCAATGATACCCCCCATGTGTTGCCATTCCTGAGGACTCGAGTGTTATTCCTCTGTACCTTGTAAATTCATTGCCATATCCCACTCTTCAAACCGAAACACAGCCATGCAAATACGAGTACAACTGCTTCACAGTAGAAATACGAATGGGATAGAGGTGCCCCAGCAAACGACTTTTGTACAAAGTCTCTCTCTGGTGGGACTTGTTAATATCATACATACATACATATCTCTCACGCCTGTCTCCCATTAGGGTAGGCAGAAACAATGGAACGACAAATGTTTCGATACAAACAAACCTCTTTCGCTTCTTCCACATTCATCAATCTTTTCATACATTACGGGTACTTTTAATTTGGCCCTTCTTCAGCATGTCACCTATTTGGTCGGCATACGTCGTCTAGAGCGGCTCCTACCGACATCTCCATCCTTACTTGATCGATAAATCTCTTTCCTCTTCTTCTTTCATCCATCCTCTCCAATTGTCTTTCAGTCCACACTTCATTCTAACCACACTGTTTCTTATTCTATCTTTTAATGTAATACCACATATACTTCTCAAACCTCATCTCTACAGCATTTCCTACTTCTATGCATCTTCTGCCATACCCATGATTCGTTTCCATAAATGAGGTGTAGGTGTCTGAATTATGGCAAAGCTCGCCTTGCGATATATTTTTGCTTGCCATAATTGAGAGCAGTGTATCCCGTTTTCGCTTTTTTTTTTTAATATCTCTCTCAAACTTTCCATCCCTTGTATGCATATCTACTTAGTGATATATGTATTATAATATATCAATAAAACTACAACATCGAGCTTTTTTGGATAATGGGAGGGCCCTGTCTAATGAATTTACTAAGGGTTGCACTATCGGTATACACTGGCGGGGCACCAGTGAGAGATACTACCTACATAACAATGGAGCTGTGGCTGTTGAACACTTATGTCTCTCTTTTACGCTAAATTCTGAATTTGAGAGTGACAAAACAGAGCATTACTTAAAATAGGTTTGTAGAAGATTTTAATTTTTATGAATAAGGGGATTAGATCTGTCAGTGAAAGTAAACGTTTTCACCAAAGAAGCGTAGGTTGAAAAACGATAAAAATTTCGAGTCTTCGATACTAACCGGCGCTTTGCGCTGTTTGTAGGTATAGAATCAATTTTTTTTGTCATTTTCTACCCACTTCAAAAAAAGGAGGAGGTTCTCAATGCGGCTGTATTTTTTATGTTTGTTACCTCATAAACCCATCGTTGATTTGAAACATCCTATTTATCTGTAAGGATATACTTTCAGATTTGTTCCATAGAAAATTCATCTAAATCGGTTTAGTAGTTTGGTTTTTTAATAAAAATAATTGGATTTGGTACAATTGAAATCGGTTTTCTTTCGTTTGTGCAACAAAGTCTATTACTTTTTAATTTGTGATCATGGAATTTTTGCCCTAAGTATTTATTCTTTTGTAATTCTGTAGCGTGGACGCATTCTTACTTACATTTATAGCTGCTTTTTTACTTTACCTTAACACTATATATACCAAATCGAGCTGTGAAAAGAAAATAGAAGATTGAAACAGGAAGCATAGGATATAAGGTGTATGAGAAATAAAACAAATTTTATGATGAAATTAAATATTTCGTTATTATTGTAAAACAACATGTAATATTCATTATGATGTATTTTCTAGTCACTGCTGTGTTCGTTTTGCTATAATAATTTCCGAAGTACCAAAACTAGGTTTATCTTCTATTAGGCAATATCACAAATTATAAATGCATTAGTTAAGTAGTTATGGACACAATTTATTCAATGGAAGAAGCGAAATAGATACAAATGATATACTATTTTTAATTAACGATTCGAGAAATAAAGTTAGAATAAAATATAAATAAATATATGCCCCAACAGTCAACAGTTACAGTAAATATAAATAAAGGTAACTAGGAAATATTTTATCTATCTGTATACGACATATGGGACAACTAATTTAAAAAATTACTAACATTTTGTTTTCATTTCTACAAGATATAAGGAAAGTAAAAGTAACATACTTATTTCACTAAATATAGAAATCAGATTCTGCTAATCACTCAGCACGACCGAGTGATCTCGCTTTAATAAAGAGTCAGTGATTGTAGAAAAGAATAGAATCAATTGGCTTTATTAGATTTTTTTATAGACGTTGAAATCCTACCCACATAAACGAAATAATAAAACACTAAAAAGCTTAAAATGCGAACTTGTACCAAAATTTGTTTATATTAAATAAAAAAAAAAAAAGATTAATTTGAATTACATGGCAAGAAATTACAAATTGACAGCACAAAAGTAAGCATTACTACATGACTGGAAAATACATGTTTCTTCATATTTATCACTATATACTAAAGTTTAAATTAACTGAACAAATTAAAAGCTCTAAAATGAACAACAGTCTTAGAACATAAAGATTATTTACACAAAGATTTTTTTTTTTTATACGAAAATATTCTACTGTACATGATAACAATCGTCATTAATATAGAAATATATAATTTGTATGTACAAACACTAGAAACAATAATAGTAAAATAGTTCAATCTTTTAGGTATTATAATTCTTTTAGAATCAACATTGTTGCGTTGATGGAAATACACACACTGCTCTGCGCTATGACAAGGCACACGTGAATGTATATTTACTAGGACTGTCCATAATTACAAAAGCTGGGCGCAGCGAGTGCAATAATATCGGATGGGAATAGAACACCTGCGTCTGCGCGGCCCTGTGATGGGCCCATTAAAACTGCATTATTAGATTGGCACGCTCAATAGATACAATTGTAACATGAGTTTTAATCGATATATATTACCAGTATATATTAAGAACTAAACATTTATTTATTGACATTTGGCAATTGAATAATTGAAGTTATTATAGGTGTTTTTTTATTATTTATCTGTACATATAATGAAACTCTAGAAGTTGAATATCTGTACATAGAAAAAAAAAGCTCTAAAAACCGAGTCAGGGATGTTAGAAATGAAATGGAACATATCCAGATTTTTCCAATTTTTTGTTTCTCTGTTTGTACGGGCTAACCTCCGAAACTGTTAGATCTATTTTAATGAAATTTTGCATGGTGCTATTTTACATCCTTGATCATCATTCTCAACTAGTATGAATAGAATATATAAAAAGTTTAGATTTTTAAGAAGTATTTGATTTGACCTAGAGATAAACAGTTTTATAAATCTAATCTCATTTTTTTTAAATGCGCAATACATTTAAAAAAATGAGAATTGATTACATATTCAACAATGAAACCTTATAAGGAGTCATAAAGAATACCTATTATACCAAAGCTAATAAAGATTTACTAACAGTTGTAGTGATAACAACATAATGTAATTCTTCGAATTTTTTTAGTTATAATAGGAATAGTGTTGCAAGTTATCTGGCAACACTATTCCTATTATTTCATAATGCAAGAGGGATCAAATCTGACTAACGACCTCTTATCTTTTGCTTTGTGCATTTTTTATTAAATTTTCAATTCTTTTTTGTGCAGGCTGTTTCTGGTAATCATTGACTGAACAAGACTCTAATAGGGTTACCTCATCAATAATCAAAACAGGATATTGTTCATTGACACAGAAAACAAAGATTAAAAAACTACGAAATTATCTAATCATAACAACTTTGGAAAGGCAAAACGTAAGCGCCTCTTAAGTAGATTTTGAGTTATATATATATATATATATATATATATATATATATATATATATATATATATATATATATATATATATATATATATATATATATATATATATTGTATTCTATTGTTATTGTATTGTCTGTAATCCTGACATAGAATTGGCCATTTTTTCCCATTCCCGTGGATATTATAAGAGGCGACTAATGAAACTTAATGGTCGAGGGATGGGCAGAAGCGTACCTCTTAAAACCTCACCAAACCCCAACTGCGGTTTCCTACCCGCATAGCAAGCATTGCAACTACCGGCAATTCTCAAAGGCACGCACAAAATGACCAACCAAAAAAAAATTACGACAAAAAAACTAAAATTAACGTTTTACCATACAATACTACCTTCTATTATCTCTCATTTTGCCTTCTTGCTTCCTTTCGTATTTTTGTTCTCTTATAAAATTCAATAAATGGCGTTGAATAAATTAGGACTTTAAAAAAGTATACGCAAGTTTGAAATTTGGACTTTACTGTATTTTAAATCCATTCTTATTCACACTTTAATGTTGTTTCATAGTCACTATTTATCGTATCTGTCATTATTTGGTTAGATACAGTAATCGCCAACAGTGAATGTATCTATAAATACATATAATATATGGCAAATGCAAATAATTTTATTCAATATTCTAAGCAATGCCATTTGTTGTTTCGACTAATTTGAACCTTTAAATTACATTATGATGTCCAAGTGCCAGAAAGGTGATCGCATAACTTATATTAAATGTATAAATTGCTTCAGATATGACCTACTTATTGTTGCATTTGTAATTTAATGGCCTGTGTAGAGGAGGAGAACTTTGATTGTATACAAAATTTCCTATTAATTTAGTGACTTTCCTGAATTTTAATCTTCAAAAATGTGTGTTACTTACTACATGAAGAAAATTACGTTGACGGTAAAATGGCTGCCACCTGCGTAGGTCTTAAAACTACCTTACATGTTGACATGTATTGTATGTACATATATACGCACACAAATATTAGAGAATAAATGAAACATGGCTGTATACAAACTTATAATAATTTAAATATGGAACGCAGATAAATCTCAATTGGATGCGTGGATGTATTTCCATCAACGCGGGTTAAACATCGCCCTATTTGCAGTGTTGGGCAAGGCAGCGGTCGTATTATAGCTATCTATATTATATGTATAAGCATGTGTACTGACTACAATGTTCATTTTGTATTATCACTGCTTTCTAGATGTTATTAATTCTTGTTAATTAAATTGTTATCAGTTTATTGAAAACATGATTTATTTCCGTAGATATGTTTATATGACATGATAATAGATAAGGAGTGATAAAAATAATAAAATATTGTAAAAAAAAAATAATGGTGGTTAGATGTCGTCAGTCATTGTAACCGCACCGTCTTGATAAGTAACCTATCATACAAATTTGAATGTTACATGTTGTACATAAGGTTCAAAAGTTATAATACAATTTAAAATGCTCAATGGTAGCGGAAAACATGCTAACCGCGATACATTGTCTATATCTCGTTTTGTGGAAACCATTTATTTATAATTCATACATTCAAATATGCACAACAAATTGTGGACACGTCTGGTATTACGTTCACTACGACGTCAATCACTTGCAAATCCCATGTAGGATAAAATTCATATACACATGTATATATGATTTTTACTAAAGTCAATATAAAAATTTAAAAGATAAATTTGCCTATCAAAGTTCCACCACTTTTTATGGAACAAAACCATTTATGCAGTATAAGACTACATATTTTTTTGTTAAAAAAAAATCGCTGATATTTTTTGTGACATGAAATAGGCTATATGTTATATATAATTCCGGTTCGTATCTGGCTCAAAGGATATCTTTGGCAATCCAACGCGGAAATGCCGCAAGTGTCATGAGGACCTTTGGGTCGGGTACGGATCATGAATAAGACTGATCATTAATCTAATTTTTTTGTGATTGAAACATTATTACATACAATAAATACATACATAAAATATTACATTAAACAATTAAATAAAACAACTGCAATAGAAGAGCAAATAATGAAATGGAAATTACCAACACCTATCTTTTAATTTGTCACATTTTATTCATACATCAATTTTAAGACGTACAATGATGGACATAAGTAATTTAGTATAATTCCTATTAATTAATCCAAAAAATCACTAATCACGAAAAATTACGAATGCGAATACGTCCAAAAATGCAAATCAACAAGCACAAATCGTTGCGACTTGTTAAAATCAGAATTAGATTTTATAAGTTTTGATGTCTATTCGTCTTTTGACGAATGGTCAGTGATGAATGGATGTATGAACACCATAGTCAGTACTCACATTAAGAACGAGAAGGAAGCCAACGACGTCACGTCACACATCTAACATACATTATTTTATCACTCTGCTTTCACACTAACGCATAGTATTACTAAAAATATTTCTATACATTGAACAAAACTTGAATACTTTGTTAAAATAAAAAAACATACAATTTGTAGCACTTCAGCTAATACGTGTCATTCTAAATGACTTGCAAAGTAATTTGGCCGTTAAGCGATTTTGATAAGTACATATAATTTTTTTTTTGTTGATTTTATTTTGAGATGGCAAAACATATATGGTAGTATTCAATTTTTAAATGTTCATTTTTTCCCAGGAATTAAATAAATAAAATAGTATTACAATTCAACTACAAACCTGTCATTAGTTTCTTTTCTTCATCTCGCATCGTTGTACAATACTGATTAAAATTAACAATAATAATATAACAACGATAAAAAGATTTGACATACCTATTACGGCGGATCCGCACCTGCGAACATGAAGCGCACGTGCCTAATCCAACATTGCCAGTTGCATTTTTTTTTATATTTTTCTTAAAATTTTTAATATATTTTCTTTAAATTGATTTGATTTCCTTCATTTTTACCTAAATATAAATTTTAGCCCGTTTTTATTACGTTTTATCAAGTAATCACTACACAAGGAAGGAAAATTTAAACTCTGTACCTCTATGTTAACATTTTAACGTCATCTGACTGCTTTCAATGATATATTCTATCTATATAGGGCTTACAAATGCCAAAATCTTAAATTACCCGAAAAAAAAACCCTACATCGATTTCATGAGTTATCAAAATTTTTTCTAATAATTCTATTTCCCTAAGATCTAAATTTTTAACCAATATTGGAGGAAAAATATCCAATCTGGCAACGCTCGAATAATCCTAATGCATATCGAACATGTTTTTATGGTGCGTGAGAACAGTACGGTACGTGCGCATGCGCAGGCGCGGAGTGCCCACAGTACACCGTGCGATGAACTCGCGGCGAACAATAACATATTGTTCTCAGCCGGGTACTTACATTACCAACCAAAGACTAGATCCACTTTTCGAGAAAAAATTAAATAGATTACATACCATAAATAATACCTTGGAACTGTATAGTCCCTTTATGTTGCCAGTATTCATAATAATTTCCTTCACTTGTATTCAAAAAATCGTTACACTCTCCTTTCGCAATTGCTATTTGCCCGATTTTTAATTCGAGTCAGTTATATTTAAAATTTCAATACTGTCTCCATCACCATTATCATCACTTCAACCTTCATCGTTTGATGAATACTGGCTACATAGAAGTCATTATCATTAAATAAATACTTAGTTTTTTTTTTAATTCGACACTATACTGGATTGAAATTGAATAATTTCGTGTCTTCATACAATTTAATAGACAATATATTCGAGTGAAGCTCACCAATAACGTCTTTAGAAATGTCAATAATAAATTTCATCCCGTCAAATGTCGAGTTGTCGACTCGAATTAAAATTCAGAATATACTATATATAGTTACACTAAAAAATATAAACGTAGATACTAAAATGGAAAGTCGTGGCTCACCCAAACTCTCTAGTTTCCATCGCAACTGCCACATTGGTCCCCGTGGTTGTAAAAAGCACTGTATATATTATTCTAGGGTTATAATACAATAGTTCTAATGACAGATCACAGCCTAGGTTTAACGTATGGATCAAGGTAACCAACTGGACAGTGGGCGGTCGGCGCCGCCGCTCACCGTCAGGTGATCGCCGCCACCTCAGACGGTGGCTTGTGCAGACCGTCCTCGTCCGTCGACCTGCGCCAAATATATTTTATTAAAGGAAGTGAAAGACAAAGTTCAAGTTGAAGTAGGTTTACAATTTTTGTTATTTAAAATTGACATTTTTTATGATTCTACAGGAATTTCGGAAGGTCATCCATTGCGAAGAAACTCAACAGTTCAATTTGTCCATGATTTAGAACATTATATTATAAATGTGTGAGCTATCTCCTTGAGTTATTATATTAGTATACGCTGACGAGGCATCAGCTAGTAATGACAGGATGAGGATGAAAACAGATCAGTTGATTTTTTCTGATGATTACAACAAGAATAGGCTACTTGACTGATTTCTGGAAACCACCTCTGACTATTCTGTGTTGTTTATAGATCCATCAAAAAGTGTGTAAATTTTCCAAATCCGGCCAGTAATTTCAGATACTATATTAATAACTAATACGCGATTTCGTTGGCGTTACTGGAATATGGTCACAGAGAGGAACAAAAAGCAGCCTATGTTTTTCTCCATCCCATATAGCACGGTTCCGCATAAATTCCATAGAGAATGTAAAACCGTTAAAGTGATACAAGAGGGTAGCAAACAAACTACATTGCACATTTCTAAGATTAGTAAGGTTAAGTATAGTTTATTGGATGTTACCTGTAGACGTGCGCCTGCGCAGGGTCGGTGCGGTAGTGCGCGGCGTACGGCAGCCGCGAGCGAACATGCCGCCGCCGCGCCAGCACCGCCCGCCGCAACGTACCTGGCCGGACCGAGTTACGGATTGCGTGGTATGCTAGCCTGTGTTCAAATACGTAAAAAGAGATTAATGAAAATAATAACACATTGTAGTTGAGATTTGAAATTTCTTTTTTCGTGAATGCCTTAAAAGGTAGGACTAAAAGAACTTAATGATTGCGAGATAGACAGCAACGTCTCTTTTAGAACATCACCAAAGTCTAACTGCGGTTGCCAACCCGCCTGTCAAGCGTGGCAATTACTGGCAAAGCTTCCCTTATGGAGGAGGCTTATGTTCAGCAAAGGATAGCTGAATTAAGAAATAATCTTTAAAAAAAAGGCTGAAAAAGAAACAGAAAAATCATTCCAAAAAACCATGAAATCTGTGTTCGAATACGGTGTATATTATTAGGTTATTAAAAAAAAAAAATGATAATCGAGTCTTACTACTTGAGTCAACCCAAGTCGGTACTGTTTTTTTTTTAAATGGATGATAATGGAATGGTAACCCTGCCTCTGCACTAACGGTATACGATGGCGGGGCACCAGTGAGGGACGATAGGTAAGATAAAGGGCAGGTCAGTTAGCCCGCCGTAATGAATACACCTGGTATTCAGTACGATGGTTTCCAGGGGGTACCACGTGGAGGTCGACCTAATATATTACTACCAATGGGATTGATAGTCCGCATTAACCGGTGGAGCGATCGGCTCTAGGCTAGTTCGTTAGACCCACTGCACCACCGATTTTTGAAATTACCAAATTTCGATTAGAGGTTATGAATAAATGGGTTTATTACCTACATAAATTAATGACTTACATAAATTTAATGAAAACGACGCTGCAAATTCGAGTTATGCAACAGACGCTGTTGCATTAGCGCGCGGTACCACATTTTTGTTCGGTACAGCGTACGATGCATAAACACTCGAGGAGTTAATAACAATCCCTTTCTCCCCTTCGGTACTCTGTTTTCTTTTTAATGGGTGAAAATGGAATGATAACCCCGCCCGCGCTATCGGTATACACCGACGAGGCACCAGTGGAAGATGATAGGTGAGAATGAATGCAGGATAGTGGGCCAACCATGATGAATTCGACAAGAATTAAGCATGATAGTTTCCAGGGGGAACCGCGTGGAGGTCGACCTAAGAGGGTATATTGCTAGCAATGGGGCTATTAGGCCCCATTACTAACAATTCCTTTCTCCCCTTCGGTACTCTGTTGTTACTCTGTGACAATAGATAGGCTCACCTGGGTGCGAGAGCGGTGACGGTGGTAAGTATGACTACAAGCCAGTAGATGGGGTCGGCTATCGCGTGCTGCATCACGTAGTACGTAGACGGCAGGTTGAAGCACGATACGCACACCGATTGGTATATCAGCGTCAGCACAAAGAACGCTATTAGCGAGCCGCTTAGCGCCAGCAAGTGTATCACCGTCTGGAATCACATGGGTTTCCTTCAAACATGTATTACATACATAACTAGTTTTTAGTGTGAACTTTAGAAGATATCCAATGAAATAATCCACTCCTAGATCAAGATACAAACATATGTCAGATTTGAAGAACTTCAGTAGCACAATTGTGAAAACCGGATACAATTTGGTGCAGCAATTTTTGCGTGATGATTGAACAAACATACAGACAAATTTTTTTCTTAAACGTCTCCTTTATTATACATATTGTCTAGTTACAATTTTGCTATACGAGTATTAGTAATATAATAGAGGATTTTAAATACAATTGACAGATATAGGTATATTTAAGATAGCGAGGGGGGGGGGGGGGAGAGGGGGACACAACGCCGAACCCGGAATCACAAATTAGGAGAAATGAAAGTATTAAGTTATGTGCTTTATTTAATGAACATATGAGCCTTTTTTAAAGAACACGGCCATCTCTAGAAAATAATTTTAAATACATCAATGTTGAGAATAGAAAATAAGTGAAAGTTAAGATCTTGTAAAAATGTACACACACATAAACAAAACCACATGAACACACGTATTACTCACACTACTATTTTACTATTTATAGAAATAAAATAAAACGTGACATCTAGAGACACACGTGTATACTAACCTAGATAACAAAAAAAAAGTACGCCTGTGGGCATATAATAATGTGAGCGAATTTACATCTAGTGAAATACCCACAGTCACTTACGAGTTTCTTAAAGAAAAGCTGCATGGAAACATCGAGTTACAATTAAACGACATTCAAATACATATAGTAGACACCTTTGTTTTACACAAACATATATTATTGTGTAGACACATATAAATTTAATAAAATAATGAAATAGTTCAGTTACTAAGAACAAAGTTATTGGTAACACTTAGGTCACATAACAATTTATTACAATATGAGTTACATTCTTTGTGTGTGCGACACACGGAACTAATGAATGGATTTTGGTGAAACTTGGTATGGTGACAGCTGAGTAAACATTTATAATTTCAAAATGTTTATTCAATTTGTATCATTAACAACTTCCTGCCTAGGCAAACATTGTTTTACTCAACAATATTTTTTCTTTTTTTTTTAATTTTTTTATCTAACTATAAAGAACATTAAAAAGAGTAAGTTTTGTTCCGCAAAAAATAAACGATTACAGTCGTGAGCACAGATATACAAATGAACGACGAGATATTATGTAATTAAAAATATTTGAATATAGAACGCGAACGAAATATTTTAATTATATAAATAAACGAATTAAGTACCATCTTCTTTTGAAAGTCATTTAGAAATTGCCAAGGCCCTCTCTGTAAGAGGACGATATGTCTGTTATTGCCACTAGGTTAGGCTGTTTAATATAGATAAATAGGTAATACAGGTAAAGATTAATGGATTTAAATAATATTCGGTATACGCATAGGCTATTTATTATTATTTCAGCCGTTAACTGTCCAGTGCTGGACATAAGCCTTTCCCATAAGGAGAATTTTGCCAGTAGTTGCCACACTTGTCAGGAGGGTTGGCAACCGCAGTTACGGTTTTTGAGATGTTTTAAGAGAGACGCTGCTGCCCATCCCTCGCCCTCATTTAGTTCCCTATTACGACACCCACGGGAAAGGAAATGGTGGCCTATTCTATGCCCGAGCACATATAGCGAGTAGGCTATCCTCTAATTTAACTTAGTTCACTTTATGTGTGGATTGCGGCGGTGACACCCGCGGGTTATGACTAGTAAATAAGTAATAATAATACATTACTTACCCAGCTCCTGGTCTCGATGGCGACGTAGACGAGCATGATGACGAGGCAGCAGGTCATGGCGCAGGTGCCGAACTGCCAGACGTCGACGTGGGTGTCCCAGTAGGCGCTGGCGGCGGTGAAGAAGATGACGACGCTGATGTAGACGGACTCGGCCAGCACGAGCCAGTACGAGTGGCGGCGGTAGGCCAGCCCGCGCCGCGCCGCCGCGTACAGCCCCGGCCGCTCCGTCAGCAGCGACGCGGGCGCCGCGCGGTCGTACGCGCCTGCGCACACAGCGGCATCAATAATTCTATACCTAACACCACGATATTTAAGTAAAAAACGATTACGTTCTCGGTCCGATTCGGTCTGTATTTCTTTTTTCTAATAGTCAAAATGTGATAGTACTCCTTGTTAATTGTTGTACTATTATACATTAAAATATTTTCAAATACATTTAAAAAATATCTAAGAGTTTTCAGTGGGTACTATTATTTTAATATAGTTTCCGTTACAATAATATCAATATAAATGTATGTATATGTACAATAATAAAGTGCACCATATTATTAAATATATGTAAAAAAAATATTATATATTTTTTATAATATCGTTGTTGCCATTTAATAAATCTAAAGAATGTATCTTTAGAAGCATACATACCGATCACGAGCGGTGGGAACGCGGTGAACATGAGGTTGTAGGACATAAGGTGAATCTGATCAATCATCACCATGGCTGAGAAGCCGCAGTAAAGCTGGTACCAGAATATCAGGAACACAAATGTCTGTTGGATAAAACTATATGTCACTAAAATGCATTGTACGAAATTGCATATAATCATATTGTACCTCGTATATAAGTTAAATTAAGTATTCAATGAATTAGAAGTAGGTTAAAAATTTAATAAGCATATTATTTTATCTTCAATTTACAGTAAATAGAGATATATTAAACAAAATAAATGTTAAAACATGATGTATAGCCAATTATAGTGGACTACAGGGGTGAAGCTAAGTTTACCCACGCCTCCTTCGTCCTAATGATTGGCTAAACTTGCTTTGTTTAATTTTATCGCTGCAACGGCTGTATAGTAACAAACTTACGGCATTTTTGAGGAAGAAGTATAATATCATCCTGGCAAGACGGTCGTAGCACCAGTGGCCGTGGACTAGCAGTAGCCGCTCTAAAAATTTGAACCGAGAGAGTGCGAAGTCCGAAGCCATCACAGCTTGCCGTCCCTCTTGCCCCGACAGCCCTGTTTGGCAGTATTAGAAGAATGAGAATTTTTTATTTAATAGAATACCAAACCTATCTAAACTTATATCAGAAATTTAGTAATTCACGGTACTGAATAACTGTTATCAATTAATCACGATGTATTCGAGATCGAGGTCAAGGTGAACAAACGCCGCCGAGATCTGATGAACATTTTTTTATCATCATTCTCAGAGGAGCTGCTGGGTGTTCGTGAACATTTTGATCAGGACACCTTATAAAAGATGGTGACCTCTTTTTTTCTTTATCGTCAGTCAGGAGAGTCGCCGGATGCCAACAATAATTTGCTTAGGAACATCGAAGAGTAGAAAAAGGTCGTGACCTTTTTCTTTTTGTCATGGCGAGGGGACATCATTATAAAACATGCCCAGAGGTGCTAGGTAATCTAAGCCCAAATCTTTGTATATATGTAAAGTGGGCAGTGTTAGTATAAACCTAATACATAAAAGATTGATGAAATAAAGAACTCTGGACTTACCAACTCCTACATCGGCAGTTTGTATCATAGACACGTCGTTGGCCCCGTCGCCTATGGCGAGGGTTGTCACATTGAGCTCTTCTTTTACCGCCTAGAAAATAAGCAGAATATAATTAGATGTTGTATACATATATAATGACCTGTGATCCCGGCATAGAATAGACTACACATTCCTTTCCCGTGAGTATCGTAAGAGATGACTAAGAGAGGGTTAGGGATGGGCAGTAGCATCCCTCTTTAAACATCTCCAAAGGCCAACTGCGGTCAAAACGCTTGCCAAACGTAGCAACCACTGGTAACTCCCCTCCCACAAAGAGCAGGCTTATGTTCAGCAGTGGACATATAAATGCTGATGATGACATGTATGATCAGTATATTGTACATATATTTTTTTTCCACCAGTGACTTCCTTTTGCAAATTTATTAAATGTATGATGTAAATAAATCGTACAGGTAGATAAGAGTAGCAGTAAAATATTTAAATAGAACTGACACTCTCATGGCTTCTCTAACAATAACTATGTCGGTTGGTATTAGTTTTAAGAGTGGAATCAAAGATGCTTTACAAGCAATTGACATAGTATTGAGAATGTAGATTCACACAGTCGCAAGTAGCATTCGAGCGGGTCGTATCATATGTGGAGTTCTTTTTTAATAGATGTAATAGAATGATAACCCCGCCTGCGCTAACGGTATACGCCGGCGGGGCATCAGTGAGGGCTGATTGGTGAGAATGAAAAGGCAGGTGAGTTGGCCCACTGTGATAAATACACCTGAAATTCAGCACGATGGTTTCCAAGGGGGATCACGGGGAGGTCGATCTGACAGAGTATATTGTTAGTAATGAGACTGATAGTCCGCATTACTAACAATTCTTTTTCCTCCCATATGTGGGGTTTGAGGCGAAGAAGAGTGCATTTTGGCGATATTACCACAGTCAGAAAGGAAAGTATATGGTCAGGCCATCTAATTGTCCGCTTGCCGCCGCTCCGCGTCTCGCGCCCCGCGGCCTCCTCCGCAGACAGGTCATCAGCATAGTGGCAACCGCACGCGCACATATGCGTTCCGTAAATTTAATTGTCGGGCTGAAGTTTGTATTTTATAAGCCAGTAATTATTAAATTAGCCTATATTATACAGTCCATTATTATTCTACCCTGAACAGTATATGAGTGTAGGCGTGTGGGTTGCAGGCGGTGTATGGTGTATGGTGAGGCGTGTACCTTGACGATGTAGGCCTTCTGCAGCGGCGTGGCGCGGCAGCACAGCACGGCGGAGCACCGGCGCGCCAGCGACAGGAACGGCGTGACGAGCCCCGAGCGCCGGTCCAGGATGTACGTGAGCGTGCGCCCGTCCACCACCAGCGCACGCCCGCCGCCGCTACCACCACCGCCGCCCGCCCCCGAGCTCGTCTCCAGGTAGCTCTTGATCGTCGACTCCGCGTGCTCCTGCAAACGTTACCGTATATTATAGCAGGTTCAGAAATTGTGGTCAATAAAATTTGTGTGGGATACTCCTTAGTGAAATGGCAATGCTGTCTGTTACTGTATATCTACTTTCCCCTCTCCCCCCGTATGTTAGTCATCTTCATCCCAAAGAAAATTCGTTTTTTAATCTAGACGTTTATATCTAAAAGTTTAGTTTTTTGTATGTTTGTTTGTAATAGATAAACCTAATAAATTTAGAAATACATACATATATGTGTCATGTCTGTCTTCTATCCCTATCCTATCCTAGACTCCCTAGAGTGACTCCTACAGGCCTTTCAATTAATTTTTGCTCGATAAATCTTTTTTGTAATTCTTTCATTCCAAATAGCCAAACCAACGCAACATTCCCTTTTTTATTTTTGTCACTACATCGTCTTTCAGAGCATGCTTCTTTCTAATTTCACTTTTTTGCTTATAAAGAGCTACATTATTAGCAATTAATAAGGGCTTCATTTTATTAAATAACAACCGTGTGAAGTGCTAAGAGAAGAGGTCAAGGTGGAGGTGTGGAGGCGGCGGTCACCTTGTCGCGCGACATGAGGTAGAGCAGGCGGTCGGCCTGCGAGAAGAGCGCGGCGGAGTAGGCGATGTTGACGGCGGTCTCGGGCTTGTCGCCGGTGAGCACCCACAGCGCCAGCCCCGCGTCCAGCAGCGCGCGCACGGTGCGCGGCACGGCGTGCTGCAGCCGGTCCTCCACGCCCGTCGCGCCCACCAGCCGCAGCGCGCTCTCCAGCCGCGCCAGCGACTCGCGCATGCGCCTCTCGCGACCTGCCGCCCATATCTACACCGCTTGCAACGGTTCAACTTTTTGTCAGTTCATTTGAAAATTAGCTGACAGAAAGTTGAGACGTTTTTGTAACTCGCTATCTATGTATATCGGTGTTTCCCAACGTGGAGCCCACGTCCCACAGGGGGGCAAATTGATACTCAAGGGGGTGTGCAATTAAAAAATGGACTCGAAGCGATTTTAACCCTCTTGTTCCGAGCCATTTAAATGCAATGCTACGAGTAGATATCGGTGCCAAATTTAACAAAAAAAGTAAAATAAAAAAAAATGCTGTAAATATTTAATACGTATAATTTCATTTGACATTACCAAAATATCAACTGGGCGATTAGAGTCGTCAAGTGAAATTTGTAGGGAAAAATGATGTATGGGAGGGGGGGGGGGGGGTATAAAAATGTTGTAAATGTTGAAGCGCGGGCAGGCTACCTTCGCCGGGCTCGGAGGCGCGCGCGTGCGCGGCCAGCCAGTCGTCCCAGAGCGCGGGCGGCAGCGTGCGCGCCGCCATGACGAGCGTGCGCAGGCCGGCGCGCGAGTACTCGCCGAGCAGCGCGCGCGTGCGCTCCGCCGCCGCCGCCTCCGCCGAGCCCGCGCGCAGCGGCGCCAGCGCGCCCAGCACCGTGCTGTCCGCGCCCTTCACGTACAGCACCACCTGCCCCACCACCACCACCACCACCACATTACGTTACTTTGTTTATTTATTCATTACTACAAATATGCGTACATGGCGGACTTAATGCTAAATGCATTCTCTCCCAGTCAACCGTAGGGAAGTGTCACAATACTCGAATGCGGTACTAGTAATTATTGATATAAACCAATAAATATATAAATAACAAATATACTATATTATACACGAAATTGAGAATAATATAAAGTAATTACTGCTCGGATAAAGAAAGTGACCGTTAAAGGTCTTTTTAAAAAAAAAAAGTTTAGTCGGTAGTCTCTTAATGGCACCAGGAAGCGCGTTCCAGAATCGTGAAGAATGCAGGAGAAAAGAATTTGAAGCGAAACCAGTTCTTTGAGAGAGGATAAATAGCTTTATATACCTTACATTTCAATAACATCATTGTATTTTTTAAATAGGTATTTTGGTTTTGTTACATAATACTATTATTAGCTGTGAATCTGTGAATTTTTTTTTATTATAAAATTTAATAGTTGTTGGTTTTCTTTTAAAAAAAATTATCATCAAGTGTTTTTGACGAAAGTATCCACTTTCATACTAAATTTCATGAAACAAAGTCTTAAACAATTCGCAGTATGATTTATTTAAACAATTTTACAGACTCAAACCCAAGTAGCTTCTGAGTACAAACATTAACCTTGCGTCATATAGCTTTTTGGAAGTTGGAGCAGATACATAAACATCTTATATATTTATGTATTCTTTACGGACTACATTACAAAAAAGTTTAGTACAAAATACACTTAATGGTATATAACATTCTCTCCCTGTTAACTTTTGGCAAAATAGACATGTAATTAAGCGGTAAAAAATTAATGTGTTTATTAGAATTAGACCTTTTCTTCTTTTTTGTAAGAATTGAGATGGCGTGGTCCATGACAATCCCCATAATATTAGCGAGGGATAAGAAAACTTGGACATTTTCTTTAAACTTGGGTTTGTTTTTTTGCTACTTAGCAAACAAGCCGACGGCTTACCTGTTGAAAGTAGTAACCGTTGTCTATAGACACGAGCAGTACCGAGGACATAACAGAGTATACTGTTTCGCCCATAATACCCACCATGCGTTGTCATTCCTATGAACTAAGGTGTTATTTCTCTGTACCCTGTAAATGCACTGCCATATCCCTCCCTTTAAACCAAAACACAGCTATGCAAACACAACTGCTTCACGGTAGAAACACGAATGACACCGAGGTAACTACTAAGCACACGACTTTTGTACAGTCTCCCTTTGGTAGTACACTCTCTACCCTTCCCACAGCATCCTCAACCAGCTACGAACACAGACATGACTTACAACGCAACGTACCTGTCCATTGGGCATGCGCATGGCAACCGACATGCACTTCCTATTGGCGTCGAACTGCTGTACGCGTAGCACCTTCAGCCGCGTGAGTTCGCCCCGGATGCCCACCTCTACCTCGTCGGGCGTCCGCGCCCGCAGCTCGTAGCCGTAGGCCAGTGCCGCCTCCGCTAACGCCAATTCGTCGGGGCTCTCCGCTTCGTATCGTGCTAGCTGTAAACAAATATTGTAAAATCAAGTAAGAATACTACTATTTACAATAACAGCATAAATTTATGAGGGTGTTTGGGTCGTTTTTACTCTTTTAACTTCTTTTAATAAAAACTATGTTGTTGTATCAGCCGTTAGCTGTCCACTGCTAAACAAGGCCAGTTAATTTAAAAACTAAACTACACTATAGGATCAATAAGTATATCATTTTAGATAAAAGAATTTTCCATATGAGTTTATAAGTAATAGAGTTACGAGGTAACAAACTTTATGTTTGTAAAGAATGCGACCGATTTGAGAACCTCCTTCTTTTTTAAGTCGGTTGAAAAAAGATAATAAAGTAAATAAGAAATAAATCTTTACAACTATTTTACAAACGTCAGTTAAAATGTTTTTGCGGTTAACGATCGTAATATGTTTGTATTCAGATATTGTAATAGATGAGTGAAACGAAGAAAGAAACAAAATAATACACCAGAGTACAAGGAAAACTGGAGTTAAAACTATAAATAAATATCTAGGGAATAAAAAACTTGTTAGACATGAATCATAATACAATTCATTTTACATAACTGGCCAATGATACGTTATTAGTTCTTTAATACCCTGTCAGCGCCAAGCGCCTTATTAAACTCGGCGAATGAAATTAATTGTATGACGATTCGCGTAAAGCGGTGAAACTGATAATTTTCCACTTTAACAAAATTATATATTAACTAACGACAGTCAGTATTTCTTTTTTTCCTATTAACTGTCGACATTTTACTCACTTGTTGCTCGGTAGATGTGCTCGGTTCGCTATTGTTATCGTCTCGGCATACAAATGGCAATTTCGGCAAGCGAATCCTGAGTGGCGAAGTCGTGGACGGCGGCGGCGAGGGCGTCGTAGAACGAGATTCGGTCAGACGCGCGTACCTGCGGAATGAACCATAACACATAATGATCATACGCAGACCTATATATACCTTATCAAGTGACTACAACAAATATCTTATTGGAAACCTAAATTTTCCTTATTCCTAATACTGTTCACGTCTACAGGCGACTGTTACCACTTTTCATCAGGTAGGCTGTCAGCTTGTTTGCCATTCTAATTTGCATAAAAAGAAAGATTATAATAAAAAAATAAGTGCCGTCTAGTGTTTGGGATAGTTACCATATTTTTTATCTTAGTTAATCAACGCATTCCGGTCATGTGGATGAAGTCACCGATATATAAATATGAAATTTTGTAAAAATGTTTTCATGCTTGTTACTCAATTCATATCCTAAATTTGTATTTATCCAGGTTGCATTTAGGTATACCACACTTCGTACACTTCATACAAATTTGCCGCGATCCGTGCTTGTACAACTACTACAACTAAAAGTAACGTCTATAAATGTGACAAAATATGCGTCTGTAGTTAGGATTGATGCGGGAAAATAATTTGGATGCTGACGCGTTTTTGACGGGTAACAGCGTCCCTCTTAAAACGTCTCCAGAGCCTAATTGCGGTTGCCAATCCGCCTGCTAAGCGTGGCAACTACTGGCAAACCCCCTCAAGGGGATCGACAGTGGACAGTTAAAAGCTCATATGATGATGATGATGTACTAAGAATACGACTATAAAATAAATGTTAAAAAAATAATAAACATTCCTCTCCACGCAAACGTTGCTTGGTAGAGATTAGACATTTTTATCGATAAAACAGTATACTGTCTTTGTTAACTATTTCTTTGAAAACATTTGAAATATTGTTATCAAATTAATAATGTGAAAAAAGTCTATAAAAATGTTAGTTTAAAGTGTCGTGCGAAATAAATCATTTGTGACTTTACTAAGAAATTCCACAATACCAAATGATGGGTGGAATAGTCATCTATTCTACTACTACTTAACAACTTTGGGAAATAATTACCAAGCGACCTCAATGACAAGGCCATTTCAAGAATCAATCTAGATTAGAAAAACATACTCATTGATTACAACGCCTATAATAAAACTATTAAAAGATAACCCATAACATGGATTTAAATTATTCAATTAGTTATCATTAGAGGTCTGATAAGAGGTTGTTACACGAATAATGATAATAAACAAGTATTTATATCGCTTCGCAAAAAAGAGACATTAAACATAAACACAGTGATAAACAACGAGACTCCTTATACCGTAAATATTGAGTGTTTACATTTAGATTTTACTTCGCAACAAGCGGTTCATTCAATATTTCAAATTGTCACAAATTTTAAATTGGTACACGAGAGTAATCCCAATTGATTGCTTAAAGAATTGTGAAAAGCGATCAATCAGATTTCGCGAAGTAATGACGTAAAATAGTCGCAAAAGAATTAAAACAAATTGGAACCTCCTTTTCCTCCATTTTGGAAGTAGCTTAAAAACTGTTTTATGTACGAATAGGCCAACCCTTCCTTTCCCGTGGGCGGGGGAGAGGCGACTTAGGAAACTTAATAGTCAAGGGATGGGCAACAGCGTCCCTCTTAAAATATCACTAAGGCCTAACTGCGATTGCCAGCCCACCAGCTAGGCGTGGCAACTACTGGAAAATCCACCAATATGTCTAGCAGTGGACAATTAATGGCTGATACGGTAAAAAACTGTAACCACTGACTTGAAATAGAGCAGTGACAGCTCATTTGATGATTTCTTTTATGGGTTGAAAACTGAAATAGTAACCCTGCCCGCGCTATCGGTATACGCTGGCGACGCAACAGTGAGGGATGATAGGTGAGGATAAAAGCAGGTTAGTTAGCCCATCAAGATGAATTCCATAAAAATTAACCACAAGTGTTTCTAGGGAGGACCGCGTGGCGGTCGATCTGCGGAGTACATTGTATACTAAATCATTTACTAGTATTTAATCTGCCTTATGTACAATAAAGATTTTTACAATACAATACAATACATTAATAGGAACAAATAATAATAAGCCATCTTTCGTAATAGTAGTACTCACTTATCATTGGATCGGAGTGTGCCGTTGGAACGACTCGGCTTATCGGGATACTGGTCGCCGGAATGAGAGCCACTCATCTGCATGGTGTCGACGTGCGGTTGACTCACCGCCACGGTGTTGCATACTGCCAGAATCAACAGGAACTCGCGGACCTAGTGGGACAAGATCACGTCAGACTAAGAAAGAAAACGTGACAATAAACTGTTTCAATGAAACTTAACGAAAAGGTGATTTTTATATTAAGATCTATTGAAACGGATATAATAAACTATTCTTTTCACTTTATATAAATTAAAAGTCATTGGTTTGAAAGAGTATATAGTAATTAGGGTTGAGAAAATTATGTTTAATTTGGAATGCTGACAGAAGTGAGTGGTTCTGAGTGCTTTGAATGGTATGTAATTCAGGAATGGCAACGCGTGGTGAGCGTCATGGGCTTTATCCTGTATTCTGAAATGTCCATGGTACTATTTAACTCTATACATTCCGATTACCATTTTCCATCAGCTTGTCTGCAATTCCAAAATAATTAAAAAGTGGATCCGACTTGTTCAATTACTCCTCCTTAAAAAGAATGTCGGTTTAGGATGAACTTATATCGACAAAGTGGCCATATTCTAAAGAATAACAAAATAGAAGTACCAAAAACTGGCAAGCTTGTATGAGATGTATGAAATGAAATCGGTAAAAATGAGGTAAAGGTTTTAGGTCAGAAGCAGGTGACGATCTATGTAGTTTATAAAAAAAAAAAAAACTATTCAAATACCTTCTGTGTATGTTGGGTATCGTTACTGTCTAGCAAGTGTTGAAGCATTCTTCTATTTGGCGACACTTTAGTTATGGGTGTGACTATTGGCGGCAGAGTTGACGAAGGTTCAGCAGGCGGACCAGGCGGATGGTCATAGTCCACGCCTCCTACCGTGCATCGCCTGAACACCATCTTGTTCTCTGTTAAAGTCCCTGTTTTGTCGCTAAATAAATAGTTAATCTGCCCCAATTCTTCGGTTATGTTCAACGCTCGACATTCGGTTCGAGTGTTCGTTGCTGGATCGTACATTTCTACATCTTGATGTATATGATACACTTGGAGGAGTTTCGTCATTTCTATAGTGACATATAAAGACACAGGTATCATGACTTGAAGAGCTATTATGTAAGTCCAAAATATCAATAAACCCTCGTACGCCGGTTTTGCATCGTATGGAACAAAAGGGACAAATTTATACATCGGCATGTCAGGTGTGTAGTATTGATCTAACCAAACTTTGCAGCCAACTGCGCCGGCGCAACATAAAAAAAGCAACACCAAGACACACCAAATGATGTCCGTGTTCATCTTTTTCTCTAAACTGGAGCATTTGTATCTCGGACCACCGTTGTTGAGCATAGCTTTAGTTTCGTGTCCCGCGTAAACAACAATGCCTTCTACGTAATCTGTATTTTTGATCGTGCATTCCCTTAAAAGAAGATGTTCCGAGTTGAGCGGTACTCGTGCACCGTCCGGATGTGAAATCGTGCCGGTAAATCGATAAATTTTAGTCGATGGTCTTTCCACTTCTACGGTACTTCTAAATTTTAATGGATTGAACTCTGCGTGCTGTAAAGGAAAAGCATTTACAAATTCTCAATTATTCAACTTGTATATAGTAAGCAAGTAATAAATATAGAGAATTAGGTTACAGTGTCACTATACAGAATTGCGCGTCTGTAGATTTGAATAGTGATTTTAGAGAAAGTTTTTCTCACGGTCTGTTTCTTTGAGGTAACCATTCATAATAGCAAAAAAATTTTTCGGATATTACAACGCCCATTAAAACATCAAAGCGTCGTTTAATCGTTCTGCTAGACGCACGATGACATTAGAACTGTTGTTTTGTGGAATAATTTATGACAATATTCTAGAACCCTATGTTTAGGGTACAAATTATATGTAAATGTCAGTAAAATTACTCCTGGCGGGCCGTCAGATAATTAGTTTTGGTATATCTAATGTATATAAAATACATTTAGTTTTAAAAATTTCAACTGAAAGGGTAAATAAGATACCACGGACAACTGTAAGTTAGTCTCTTTCTTTCTTTTTACTTTATTTTTTTCTCTTTACTTATTATATGTATAAAGTCAGTTTGTCCGTTAGAGACTAGGAGGCCTTCGGAACTGTCTTTTCAACCGACATTGAAAATAAGAAGCTTGGCAGGCGGGTTTGCAACCGCAGTTAGGCTTTTAGAGATAATTTAAGAGGGACGCTGCTGCCCATTCATCGTCGTTTTTTATGCTTGTTACCTCATAACTCTGAATTAACTACAATATTACTAGAAACTATTAGAATCCTTTAATAATACGGCACGTCCACCTTTCAAGTACTATATGATACTATCTGTATAGGAGACAATTTATTGTTTTTGACTCAAGTAAACATATTACCTACTAGTTGTAGACCGTGGCTTCGTTATCGTAAGTATATGTAGAGGATAAACCGATAAATGATTGTATGGAAGTCAGTGATTTTCAAAGTAAGAAGTATGCAATTTCATTCCGTTTACAAAAAGAATATAGTGACGTTTTTATTTTTCCTTATATACTCTTATATATTTAAACAGAGTTTAAACTTCGCTAATTCACTAAAGATATATAAAGAAAATATATTTCTTGCACCTCTCTAGGGAATAACATTGAGACTTTTTGTATTTCATTATTTGTACAAAGAAGTATGTGTATAAAGCGAACATGCCTATATAAACGTGTAAACTCTTAAAAACAAGAATAAAAAAATGCCATCCCTTTCTTGTATGAGGGGTAGAATTTCACTTTATTTTCAAATACAACATGTATTAGTTCAATCAAGAAATATTCAAACAGTAAATTTCAAGTAGATCTAACCATTTTTTTATTTTTATACTAATGTTTTCACTCCATTTCTTCCGTTTGGGATTAAATTTCTAAAAACAAATAAATAAGTATATATGTATTTATTTTCGATAAGAAGCATTAAATATTACTTTCTTCTTAAAAAATGACAGAGACTCCTTATAAAGCTTCCACTCCTATTTCATTCTTTTTGGAAACAAATTCAAAATTTAAATTCGAAAACAGTGCAATACATATTTATTTATTTCTAAGTAGAAGCTTGTATATGAAATTTTATGTTTCTAACTTGGAAAATTACAAGTTTCCATACAACCGCTCATCCATAGTTTAGGGTAGAAATTTCAAAAAATGTTTACGTCTTAAAATGTATCAATCGCCTTAATTTCAAGTTTTGAACCCTTGTGGTTTAGGATATGCACTATGCATTGACAAATCAGTCAGTACAAACGATTTTATATGTACAGAAGATTTACCTTGTCTTTAAAACCGGGCGCCACTATTCTTTGTTTCAAATTAGTTTCCCCGTCGAGATTACACGTGTCTAGGTAACAGATACCTATGGGGTTTGAGGAATGTAACAACACCATATCGGCCGGCACGGCTTCATTGTTCGACAGGTGTATAATGTCTCCGACGCGGACATCCCGCCACTTCACTCGCACGTACCGCTCTACTGATCTGCGAAAGAAAAAGAAAAAATAGTTATAATTTTAATAAGAGATAGGTAATATATGTATAACAGTATCTATATATTGTAGTTACAATTATATATGTTTAATACCTAATATTTCTTATTCCCAGTTTTAATTCTTACTAATATATCAGATATGAAAGTGAGTCTGTTTCTTCTATTTATAATAGCATAACACGAGATTACACCATACTTAACAAATATCAAATTCTCTTAAAGATTGTTACTAAAGGGCTCTAACAACACTAATGCTAGCAATATAATCTCTAAAGTCGACCTCCAAGGCGGTTTCCCTTGGAAGCCATCGTGGTTAATTCTTATAGAGTCCGTCACGATGGAATATCTCATCTATCATCTCATATAAATCGATAGTACAAGTAAGGTTACCATTCTATTCCTATGCATAATCTCGATTACACGGATAAAGTAGCGAGTACAAACACGTTCAAAATATTATTTTATATAAACAAATGTAAGAATAATTTCTTTTTTAAAAAAGAGTCAATCTAGAATACATTAGAATTAAAAATTCTATTTAAATTTGATGAAGAGTATCACTTATATTAATTTTGCAGGTTCGTCGTTATTATAATACTATCAGAATTAGGATTTTTCCTGTGAGATCTGTAAAATTATGTCCATGTTAGTTACGAGCTACTGTGGTTAACCGTTAATATAGAAGTGTAATACGAACTATACGGTGACACCATAAAAATAGCGATCGTAAAAAAAAAAACTGTGCGATATTATAAACTGGGTTTTTTTAATCATAATTATTAACGTCCAATTATTAATGTGGGAACTAATAATACCGAAGAATGTGAAAATTACTCAGACATGAGAATCATAGAGGGGAAAAGTTAAGCATGATTAAATATAATTGTTAAACTATGTTTTCCTTATATAACTATTGGAATTATGTAAATATTCTAATAAGGAAACGTGTAGTGTAATATTAATAAATTGGCATATAAACATTAATTGTATGTTAGTAGATAGGTATTAAACAATTATGTAATTTCTATCATATGCCATGAAAATATTAAAAATTTCGAAACCAAATTCAAAATAAAATCACGATCATTATCAGCCATTAACTGTCCACTGCTGAACATAGGCCTTCTAGGGTGATTACGAAAATTGTATAAAATCTTCTCTCTCTCTCTCCATGATAGAATCTTATCTCTAATTTTTTAAACTCTTGTTGAATAGTTTAAAAACGTATGCCAATTGGATCGTTCTTCGTCGTGTAAAGCCGTCGTGTTACTCTTGATAGCAGAGGGCACCATCCTCAGGCAGTAGTAATACCAGTTCCATATAACCAGTGCCATTATGAAGTTCCGATGATATTGTAAGGGCAATGCAAGTAATGGCCTGAGTAGACGATGGATAGGTACTGTCTGAAGATAATAATTCTTTCTATGTTTGCCATGTTCGAATTTTAAGATTTTGTAAAATCAACGAGAGCCAATCATCGAAATACATTTTGAATACAAAGATGCATGCATACAAACTACAATCAGTGTCTCTTTTTTGGAATCATCAATTTATAAAAGTAACTGTTAGTGCATCGTGATAAATAAACCTGAAATTCAGCATGACAGTTTCCCCCACCCCTCATGGCCCACCTGGGCCTGGTTCTACCAGAGACGGTATAATGCTAGCAATGGAGCTGGTATTTCGCATTACTAACAGTCTCTTCCCCGTGAACAAGTGTGAGTTAAACTCGCGTGCAGAGGGTTTCGTACGTTATCTAGGTCCTATAAGTTATTTTAAATCTGACCATTTTTTTTGTCGTAACTTAAAAAATTTATGTATGAAGTTGTAATAATATTACAGCAAATAAAATTCATACGCACAAATATTGAGAAATTCCCTATGTTAGTTAAAATACTAAAGACTTTTTATAGCTTTTCCCGTAATCAATTGGTAAAGAATTCGAGACTCTCATAACAAGCCCATTCATTTGATATGTCACAAGATACAGTCAGCAAAACATTTATTTTTATTTCTTAAATTAGTCCCCATATTTAAAATTTATTTATTTTATACGTTCGTCGTTGAGTCACTCATTTATATATGTGTATAAAATTTTAACTCAATTCGTCTAGTAATTTCAGAGCAACATTGGCTATGACAGACGAACAGATAAACAGATCGAAGTCCTTCTGTCAGTGGGACAGAGATTCCCTTTTTTTTTCTTTAGAGTTACAGAACCTTAAAAATTAAAACGCACAGATATTTGTCACAAAAAAAAAATAGAAATTACAGGTTGTGTCCCACAAATAAAAACCGACTTTAATTGTGACAAAGCCAGTTAGTTTGACCTACAAAATAAATTACTGAACCGATTTTGATAAAATTTCCATGGAACTAATCTGTAAACCTATCCTTTCAGATAAAAAAGAATTTTCCAAATCGGTTTAGAACTGAAGGAATTATGAGGTAACAAACATAAAAAATAATACAATCGAATTAAGAACCTCCTTTTTTATAGTCGGTTTAAAAGCAGTTTTACGCCGACAAATGTCCATCGTCTGCGCAGGGTTTAAACCTTCGAAGTACGGAAAAGCAACAGGTCACGAACTCGTTAAGTAGCGGTAAAGAATCACGAACGAAAGTGATTCCGCAGCGATAACAGAATACATTTTCCCGCTTTCTGTCACGAACGCTGACAAATTGTGTTGTTACAAGTATTTGTCTATTGGCATAACAATACAAAACGTCGGTATTACAATCGTTTCAATGTAAAAAATACAGACGTGAGATTCGGATGTACAAAAAAATCTAAATTTACAGATTTATTTTTCTTCTCAATGTATTTAACATTTTGCCATTTCTCACTAAATAGTTGTATTGTTTGTTTATTTTATTGGTATAATTAAATAATATACAACATTAAGGTTATAATTTAAATGAAAAGAAAACTTTATAAAAAAAAAAAAACTTTATAAATTAAAAACAAAATATAAATCTATAGTATTCGATTCATTATACGTGGTAGATTTAGTAGAAAATATAACATGGCTTTTAATGTAATAGCTACCTTATCTGTAATTAAGTCGAGAAAACTCAACTAGTTTTAGGACCATTTGTGACCCTTAATAGTGAGCGGCCGTGACGCGAGCGCGAGCCTCTGACGATGAGGTCTGATGATGACGATCTGTGACTATGTCGCGAATATCTTCAGTTCACGCTCAGCGAGCCGAGGTGCGCAGCCAAGCGTTCATAGGCTACGATAATCGTTCATCATCCATCAGGTGGGCCGTATGCTTGTATGTCACCTTAGTGGTATAAAAAAAGTGTACTTACAAACCTTTTAGCAATAAAATGACATTACTTTTATTTAAGTGTACAAATTTTCATTCAAATCCGTTCAGCCGTTTAATTGCAAAAAAACATCCAAATAACTTAAAAAACTTTCCCATTTATAATATCAAACTAATACTAAAACATAATAAAAGTAAGTAACTATAAAGTTTCGCTACTTTGTCACATCTATTTATTTACGTAATCAACAGTAATCTGTATTTGCTTTCGATTTCCAATGTTGCATTTTATTATTTGACCAATCGATTATCCATTCTGGAAGTATAATTTGATTTGATTCTAAAAAGATATGCCAAGACTGTTTTAAATACCTATGCTAAATAATAATAATAATGGGTTATAATCGATTTTTCTGTGACTTCAAAAATTAAGAACTTCTTATCTGTATTTTTTAATGTATCATTACGGGATATATTAACATTATTTTTTGGAATCGATAAGATTTACTCCCTTAAATGACAGTCATATATATGTGGCCACTATCCACGAAAATAAACAAATGTGGGTATATAAATATTGATTTTCTTATAAATTGGTTATTCTTATAACAAAGATTGACAGCTACCCCCCGTACTAGTGATACACTGTATAAAGGCAGAGTAGTGAGTCAGTTCCGTATCATTGTATTTGTTTTCATATAGTAAACGCAAACAGAACAGAGAATTACTCTCTACTTAATTAAGAAAAAAAGAAAGAAAAAAAAAATATAACGATGAGAGTATGCAAAAATCTTACATTATATAGATAGTCACAAAAACGAGTCAACTTTTTGTTAGCTAATTTGACAATTAGCTGACTTGTGTTTTTTTATTACTAATATTTGTTTTCTTATTATGTGTTCGTTATACTTACACACATAATTTATCTTGATGTATCTATATAATTTTTTTAAAAATAAAACGATTTTTTACGCATTAAAAAGATACAAAAATTTTAAGACAAAAAAATCATAGAAGTTATAAAGGAATCATTTATAACTATTTACTACGCAAAATTGTATGAAAAATGTGACCTACATTTTTCGAAGCATTTGTATGGAGACACTATCTATATAATCTAAGGCAATAATATATTTTTTAACAAGATTGCAATCAGTGTTTTGTGTTTGTGTAATGTTTGCGGAGCAAAATCACGAGTATGGAATATATCAATGATTATAATGTAATGTACTTATATGAAGTAGATAATATCGGAAAGCGTGTCAAGCACTTGACGTGACCAATTAGAGAAGTCATGAAGTGGACAAGACAATGGCCACGTCACCCCGTCCGGCCTGTCGTGGGCAACGCTGCAAACAGTGGTGATAATGCAATACGGAATAAACATAGGCGTGACCGTATCTGTGACGCTTCATTGGCTTCTTTCGTAGCTCTGCGGTATGCAAACATGGTTTTAAGCGTCAAATTACTAGGTAATTTGTTACTTAATTATTTAATTAACACCAAACGTAAACTTCGGGTTAAATTTTGATGCAACTGTCGTTTTTGATTGAAGCTTGATAGGGCAATGAAACATGGATCCATTTGACGTCTATTTTATGTAATTTTGATTTCGATAGGTACTAATATTACATTTACATTGCATGTAACTAAACATGCAAGTAATGTCTACTTTATCAAATACGTAGATCAACTGTTCTCTATTTTTGTATTTTATA